CAAGATTTTACCACGCAGTGATTTATTACGATATAGGGGTGTACATTTTACTGAAAAAATCATTCTCCCCCCTCTTTGATACTCTATTTTGCCCCCAGAAATGAAGTATGTTTGCACGAAGCGCTAAAATTTTATTTTGTGTTTTATTCTCTGAATCTGGGAAATAATGATTTATTGAAAAAGAAACTTTTTAAGTTAAAATAATTTTAAAAAGATGAAGAACCTTGCCTTTTTATGTCCAATTTTTCATTTTTTTAGATATCCAAAAATATTGAATTTTTAATTCTTAAAAATATACAACCCTCAAGACCCTTAAGGATACGTAATTATTTTTTTTCATATTTTTTATTTTGTAGGATGAGGTTTGTACTTGAGAAGAACCTGACAAATAATCTTCATTGGAAGGATTTCAATTTTACATCAAAGGTTAGCAAAGTGTGTGAGGGGGGGGATTATACGGTGGTAAGCGATTATATCCATATATTGAAGACGACTTTATATTGAAGTTAACAAGCTGTTTGCGAAGTCCAAGTTTACAAGTAAACAAGGCTTCTTTAACTTACAGCTTTACTTTGTTTCCATGTTTTTGTGTATCCATAGCTTGGTATAAATCAAAATCAAAATTGAAAGTCGTCTTCATTAAATTNGGGGGGGGGGTAACCCACTTTATCCATTTTATTTTAAGAAGGAAAAACGAGGGAATAAATATTTATTTTGATTTATACCACAAGCATATATACTTTATAAAATTTGTTATACGAGCTCTTCAGCTAGTTTTTAATAAAGTATCTACTCTGGGACGAATACAAAAATTATTGATTGGCAATAACTTTGATAGTTTTTTTTTTTAATAAAACTAAGGTTTTGGACTTTAAAGGGTTGAGAATTTTTACCAATTTTAAACCTTTTTTTCTATAAACTTGCTTTCCTAACACTTCAAGCCAAATTTATTCACAGAGAAAGTTATAAACAAAAACAAAGCAAAAAACTAACGTTCATAACGATAGTTTTTACGATTTTTTTCGGGTTGATTTAGAACGATCGTTCTTTTATTCGTTTTTCCCCATATGTACTCTTAGGAAACATATCAAAGATTTAAACTTTTATAGAGCATTTTGAAAACCATGAAGGTTCTGATGAAGAAAAAAACGAATTTTTGTAAAAAATTAATATTTTTTTCTAATTCAGTGAAACTGATCTTAACATAATTTATTGATACACATGATAAATTTATATTGTTCCAGGATCGACAAGAGTCCCAGAAACTACGCAACCTTGGAAATCAAGTTTATCAGAAGAACAGATTAAATGAAGCTCTTGAACACTACAGTATGTCCATCTGTCTTGCTCCCCATCCTCTTCCACCCAATACATACATAAACCATTCACAGGTATATCATACCTCAAAACTTATTATTGACGGTTTTATTTAAATGCCCGATTTACCATAAAATGTATCATAATTGGTGTCCAATTTTTAATTTTTCCTTTAATCTTGCAAAATAATTTCTTAAATTCTTTGAAAAATATATTCTACCCCTATTGTGAACCAAATAGACTTTACTCTTCAAAACTGTTTATTCCTGTCTCCTCTTAAAACCCTTGAAGCCCATTGATCCCTGTGATTGAACTAGGATATGGAGGATAACTATACGTACGAGGAGCTCGCCCTGGGCTACGCTAACCGTTCAGCAGTCCTCTTCCAGATGAAGGAATACGAACTCTGTATCAGGGATATCACAAGGTATTATGTACACTTATAAGGGTGTCCCTCCCCCCTGTGATGTTGCCCTTAGAGTTAATATAAGAAATGGTATATGCATGTTTTGAATCCAACTTTTCAAGGCTAGTGAGGTTTTAAAAAACCCTAATAGTAGAACGGAAAAATGTTAAAAAGAATTTTTTAGTTTGACAAATAGAAACATGTGACATGTTACTACATTCTTTTTCATTGGTTTTGAAATAGTTAATTTTAGATCTGTAGTTAAAATAATAAAAAAAGTTATGGACTTTTTTGATTTGTTTTAAAAACCTACCAGCCGTTAGATCATCCATTTTTTAGTTATAAGAAAAAAAACAGTGGAAAGGGTTAAAAACACCCCCCCCCCATCGTGATTTGGTGTGGTCTTGAAAATCATCCTGGGGAATGACAAAGAGTGAACGAAAAAAAATGTCGGAGATATCAAACATTTGAACAATTTTATTGATTTGATAAATCGGATTATGGACAAATTTCTCCCTCAATTTTGAGGTTGCAAAAATTATTTTATTTTTGGAAATCCCGGGACGTTGAGTCAGCTTTAATTGTTACAAAATTAATAAAATGAAATCATATTCAATTTTTAGAGCCTTCAACTACAGTTATCCAAACAATTTGATGTACAAGCTTTTTGAAAGAAAAGCACGATGCCAAAGAGCCTTAAAGGTAAACTTTTGATTAACTATTGAAATTGATGATTTAAAGTATTTTTTTTAATACTACAAAATAAAAAAATTACAATTGACTTTCTGATTAGTTAAATATAAAATTTACATGCAAGTTTGGATTTTACTAAATAAAACACTGAATGGAAAATGGTTAAAAATGCACCTACAAAATCTGATTGATTCGATTTTTTGATTAATTGATTATTAATGAATTGTGTTGATTGAATGATTTGACATAAGTTGATTTAGAATTTGATTATACAATAATAAATTAATTTTTTTAAAGTGGATTAAATTATAATTTGATAAATTATACTCTAATTCTTTGGCTCATCTTGAGATTTTATGGCGGATTTATGGACTAAAATTCTAGTTGTTCTAGATTTTATGGACTAATTTTCTAGTTGTAGCAGATTTTATGGACTAAGATTCTAGTTGTGGCAGATTTTAAGGATTAAGATTCTAGTTGTGGCAAATTTTATGGACTAAGATTCTAGTTGTGGCAGATTTTATGTATTAAGATTCTAGATGTGGCAGATTTTATGGACTAATATTCTAGTAGTGGCAGATTTTATGGATTAAGATTCTTGTTGTGGCAAATTTTATGGACTAAGATTCTAGTTGTGGCAGATTTTATGGATTAAGATTCTAGATATGGCAGATTTTATGGACTAATATTCTAGTTGTGGCAGATTTTATGGATTAAGATTCTAGTTGTGGCAGATTTTATGGATTAAGATTCTAGTTGTGGCAGATTTTATGGATTAAGATTTTAGTTGTGGCAGTGGGTAAAATGTCCATCCAGATTAATCCTAGATAAACTCCAGGTATAGTTGGTCGACTGAATAGAGGAACTGGAAACGTAATTTCAAATGACTCTCCATGTAAAGAGGACAATGCCTGTTTTATAACAGTACCCTTGAAATCTTTGACTGTTCATCGAGTACAGAGAGCTACATGTTTAATTCTCTCGAATAGCGATTGAATTGCTTGAAAACCTGGTGTACGCTACGAACTGTGTGAACTCAACACAGCTGATCCGTTACTTGCGTTAAAAGAGGCTTTCAAATATTTATTATCTGGCACTTCTAGAAAGTAAGCATTACTATTTCATTAATCAAAACAGCTTGCAAACAAAGTACTCAACCATTAAAACCGTTTCAGTAGATTAATACGGAATGTCCGACTTCCTTGATTAGTCAAAGGTTTTATGAGAACTGTGAATCGAACATGCCAATCTACATATGAAAGGTCAAAATGTAAGTTACGCATACTGTCCCTTTAATTGCTTTGTGTTGTGCAGGATTATGCGCGGGGACTAGAGTCTATGAAGGAAGCTGAGATGTGGATGAAGTATTCTACGTTGAGTGAGACCAAATCTCTTACCTTCAAGAAGGAGATTTCTAAAAATATTGAATTTCTGGCGGAGAAGGTTTGTGTTTCTGTCAGGGGATTATACAGGGTTAAACACAGAGGATTAGACTTCAGAGCCGATTGTACGAAATTTATTTTATCTGTTTTCTTACATTTTTGATTCTCTGCAACTGAAAACTTGTTCCTTCCTTCGGGAAATCATAAGGCCAAAGAAAAGAGTTTCATGTCGTCTTTACAGTCGCATCCTTTGTTTGTAACCCTGCTTGAAATATTATATACCCAACCTAATCAAAAATGTAATTTTTCCATTTGTGTTAGAATTGTTTGTTCGGGGCCAAAGGTTTTACCGTGTGTGTTATCCCCAAATCAGGGAAAATGTTTTTTGTTGAATGTTTATTGTTGAATGGTTATTGTTGAATGTTTATTGTTGAATGTTTATTGTTAAATGTTTATTGTTGAATGTTTATTGCTGAATGTGTATTGCTGAAATGAAGAACATAAGTGACTTTGGGAAGAAATTGAGTAAATGGGTTAAAGTATAAATTAATTTTGTTTTCTTATTTAAATTTTAGATTTTGCACTTGTTATACTTAATCATTTGGTTATTAATTCTTTGTTAAGGTGAGTTTACTAACGATTGACGAGGTCCAGAATATGGCCGGTCTAGGCCCACAAACTTCGGGATGCTTAGCAAAGGTAAGCTCTACTTGAAAAATGAAAAACCTAAATTTTATCTTTTTCTTTATTTCAACAACTTAAAAGAGTTTTGTGTCTTTTTTGCTTTATTTTGTTCCAGGATTGTAAACTTATAAAATGTTTAGAGCGTCCCATATTATATTGGATTGTATCCAGGGCGTATTGCCAAATACGTTCAAATAACAGATAACTCAAAAAGTCTTTAACTTTCTGCATGAAACAGAAAATTCTTAAATATCAACAATAATTTTACTTTATATAATATTTTAATTTTTGGTTTAGGCAAATCCCAATTCAGAATTAAGCACGATCCAACATGAGATTGTGTACCCTACATATCAAATAAGATCTTCATTAGATGAATACATATGTTGGTTCCCTGGATTAGGATGAAGAGAACTTAAATATTGTGGATCCAGAGGTTCCGTGAATCCAGGTTCTCAGTATCAGTAGTTTTTTTTTCAGAGTCCCCCAGTTCTTGAGAACAGAAGCACGGAGATACCCTGCGCTTCTTCAGATGTTACCCTTCGGTATACTCCAGAAAAGGGACGGTTCTTGGTGGTTAATAGAGATGTTAAACCAGGTCAGCCTATTCTCCTTACAGGGGTTTACATTTTCTTGACTTATCAAGATTCCCCCTCTTCCTCTTCCACTTTTAAAGGGGATAACGCTAAAAATAAATTCTTGATTGTCGTATATTTTTTTTACCGCGGATCCGGATATTTTCTTCTTTCAAACTGGATTGGTTCCGACTTCAAATTCCTTGAATTTCTTTAAATTTCTGTAATATTATACTCATATTTAGACGTAAATAATGTTTTTCATTTAGGAGAGATTCTGTTGGTTGAGAAACCTTACTCTAGCATTCTACTTCCTGATTTCTACTCATCACATTGCCAGACTTGCTGTCAGAGACTTCTTGCACCCATGCCGTGTTGGTGTTGTTCCAAGGTAAGATAAACTTGTCAGAAACTTCCTGCACCAATGCGTGCTGGTGTTGTTCCAAGGTAAGATAAACTTGTCAGAAACTTCCTGCACCAATGCGTGCTGGTGTTGTTCCAAGGTAAGATAAACTTGTCAGAAACTTCTTGCATCCTTGCCGTGCTGGTGTTGCCCCAAGGTAAGATAAACTTGTCAGAAACTTCTTGCACCCATGTTGTGCTGGTGTTGCTCCAAGGTAAGATAAAATTGACAGAAACATCTTGCACCCATGGCGTGCTGGTGTTGCTCCAAGGTAAAAAAAAAACTTGTCAAAATCGTCTTGTATCCATGTTGTACTGGCGTTGCTTTATTATATTATAAAATGATTTAAAAGGTCGGTTTTCTTGAATTACGTTCACTTTCTGTATCATCATAAAGATTCATGAGATAGAAATGAAAAATCGGACTTTAACTCTAAAAATGTTTACTAAAAATTCTTTTAATTTTCTCTCCATTCAGTGAAAACAATCGTATAACCCTCAGAAAAAAATTTGGTTACGGAGATAACAATAATAAAGGGGGCGCCGGAAATAATTCTTAACAAGAAATACCCTGAATTTTTTTTTAAATATCTAAAAAATGGATAAAATTAATTATTTGTTTGTAGGTAAGGTTTTGCAGTGAGGAGTGTAGAGTTGAAGCTTGGGAAAGCTTCCATAAAATCGAATGCCAGCAACTGGATCTTATTGTCGGAGCTAACCTGGGAAAAAACGCCATGCTTGGTTTCAGGTAGGCACTAGGCAGCTTTTCACGCTACTTACACTAGTTCCAGGTAGGCACTAGGCAGCCTTTCACACCACTTACACTAGTTTCAGGTAGGCACTAGGCAGCCTTTCACGCCACTTACACTAGGTTCAGGTAGGCACTAGGCAGCCATTCACGCCACTTACACTAGTTTCAGGTAGGCACTAGGCAGCCTTTCACGCCACTTACACTAGTTTCAGGTAGGCATAGGCAGCCATTCACGCCACTTACACTAGTTTCAGGTAGGCACTAGGCAGCCTTTCACGCCGCTTACACTAGCTTCAGGTAGGCACTAGGCAGACTTTCACGCCACTTACACTAGTTTCAGGTAGGCACTAGGCAGCCTTTCACGCTACTTACACTAGTTCCAGGTAGGCACTAGGCAGACTTTCACGCCACTTACACTAGTTTCAGGTAGGCACTAGGCAGCCTTTCACGCTACTAACACTAGTTTCAGGTAGGCACTAGGCAGCTTTTTACGCCTAGTTCCAGGTAGGCACTAGGCAGACTTTCACGCCACTTACACTAGTTTCAGGTAGGCACTAGGCAGCCTTTCACGCTACTAACACTAGTTTCAGGTAGGCACTAGGCAGCTTTTTACGCCACTTACACTAGTTTCAGGTAGGCAATAGGCAGCCTTTCACGCCACTTACACTAGTTTCAGGCAGCATCTCAAATTTAAGCCGCGGCTCAAATTCTTTAAATTTGGCCTCGGGATTTATAATTTTGTAAGTTCAGGATTTACAATCGATCATAAATCAATCTTTATTTAGGATTTTAACTTCTTCTGGTAAAATCTATCTGGAGTATGTTGTAAACAAGGTATTTATTTGGTATTTTCATTTAACCAGTTAAAATTGATTTGTCTTAAATAGTTAAATATTCAACAATGATGCTGTAATATCTAAAGATGATGAATGATGATGATAATATCAAAAATGACAAAAGTGATGATAATCTGATGAAAATGATGATGATGGTGATGATGATAATGATAATGACGATGATTATGATGATAATGATGATAATGATGATAATGATGATAATGATGATAATGATGATAATGATGATAATGATGATAATGATGACAATGATGAAAATGATGATAATGATGATATCTAGATGAAAGAAGAAGCTAGTAAACCTGAATCTGCCCCTGTACCGGAAAAGGTTGGATTTAATGAAGATGCTGCTTACGATTCATCAGATTATAGGTAGATCATTCATTTATTAATCTTTTTATTCTAACTTACATTAATTCATTCATTCATGGTTTCCTTAATCCTTTTATTTATTCAAAGTAAAAGTAACCTGTTTTCTAAAATATTTTTTTGTCATTTCTTTACTTTTTTTACTTCTTTCTTATTTTTGTACCTTAAATTAGTTTTGACGTTAATCCACTTCTTTCCTTATTGAGTTAATCAATTACTCTTTTAATTCCATTTTTATCAACTAATCTCTTTTGTTATTCTTTCTTTCAATTAGTATTTCTTACAACAATTTTCCTTTCATCTTGATTTTCCTTTTTATTCATCATTGATTGATATTTTTTTTTCTAAAGAATAACACCTTTTGACATTGAGGATAATTTAAAGACTTTTTTCTCTCCTAGAACTATCTACAGCCTAGTGGGAAACACAAAGCAGCGTGGGGTAGGGGATCTGTTTAAACGCGGTCTCATGGCGGCCTTCATGCTTAAGATGCTAGAGCTCACGCCGTTCTTCTTCAACGGGGGCTCAGACCCAAGGAATGTCAAGCTTCAGGTAGGTTAAGTCCGGCTCTTCTTCACCCTAGTATCTTCTCCTTTTTCCTGCACACATGCAGTCTACAAATCCTTTGCGATATTTTATAAAAAAAAATAGACAATTAAAACGAAGACGACATTGATTTGATATATTTTGTTAAGGATAAAGTGCTGGTGGGAGGTATACTGTTAACCCATCTGCAGAATCTGCCCTGTAACGCACACGAGATTGCAGAGATTGAAATACCAGCTGGTAGTGTCAAAGATTCAGCACAAACTGAGATAGGTAACACACATATATAGAGAATTTTTGGCCTCTCTTTTTGCTAGAGTATATATTTTCAAAAAAATTATGCTCTGCTGAAAAAAAGGAAGTTTTTTATCCTTCATAATATTTCTTAGCCGAAAGCTTACTTATTTTCCACTGAATATAATTCATAACTTCTCGGGAGAAATATTATTTTTAAAAGGGAGTGGGGAATGATTTTTCAAACTAATATACACCCCTGTCTGTCTTTTTGTATTCAATATTTGGAAATCCGTCAATGTAAATGGAAAAAAGCGACATGATTTATTCCCCAGGGACCGAATATAATGACTTTAAACGGCCTACCACTGGTTCAATTTTGAATCACCTATTCAAAATCCTCTTAATGTTTGAATTCACATTAAATTCAGTCTCTTGATAATCTTTAACTTTAACTGTGGTATTCCAGGCGCGGCTGCTTTTGGTACTCTATCCCTGTTGAACCATTCATGTGATCCGAATGTAGTTAGAAACTATTATAGTACACAGGCTGTTGTCAGGAGCATTAGGTAGGATTTCAGTTCAGTTGGGAGGTTCATTAGATAGATTTGTCTTTAATAAATTTATCGATTGAAACAATAAAAATGTTTAATTTAAGATTCTTTTATTTATGGTTGTTGACTCATTTGATAGATAGAATGGTTTGTTTAATGTGTTGATTGGTTGGTGGGTTGGTTGGTTTGTTGATTGGTGGGCTGGTGGGGTGGTTGTTTGGTTGGTTGGTTGGTTGGTTGGTTCGTTAATTCGTTGATCAGTTGATTGGTTGATCGGTTGATTGGTTGATTGGTTGATTGGTTTATTGGTTTGATTAATTTTTTCTTCTTTAGGAGTTTAAAGGCTGGTGATGAGATTCTAGATAACTATGGTTACCACTATGCTGTAATGTCAAGGGAAGAAAGACAGAGAAAACTTTACAATCAGTAAGTTTTTTGTTACCCAGTCGCAGAGTTTAGAATTCTCCCCAAACCTCCCAACTTTTCTATTATAATGTTTTTTTAGCTCTGAAGAAAAAATAATTGTTATTGTTAAAATTATTTAGTTATAAGACAGCTTATTTAAAACCAGTATTTTTTTTTTAACTGCTTATTTTAACTAGGTACTATTTTAACTGTGACTGCACGCCTTGTCATGCAAACTGGCCGCTGTACTCTTCACTTTCGGTGTCTGCCGTACCTCTTCCTGGTACGCAACCAGAGCAGGTCTGTACTCCATACTGTTCTCTAGAAAATGTACACTGTGAATTTTTCAACCATTTTAACAAGATTTTAAGATTAGTAACTTACACAAGGCTATGGCATATGAATTTTTGCAAGGTTTCTCAAAAATCTTAGAAGCTTAAAGTTTTTTTGACTTTTATACTGTAAAACCTTTTATTAATACACGAAATCTTTACTTTGAAGAAATGAACTTACATTTTATTAACAACAATTTTGAAACTTTGGTACGCCTGCTTGTTTGTGTCAGGGTGAAAGTTTGGCACTGTGTAATCAAAACATACTTTAAACAATTTTAGATTTGTAAAGCTTTTTAATTTGAAATCCCTGATATGTTTAAAAACTAACCTAACTAAGCTGCCTTAATACTTAACAATCTTGTTTAAGGCAAAGCAAGTAGTTTCTGACCATCACAAATCTGCGAAAGCTTACAAGCGCTCTTTCGACCTTGTGCTTACAGGCAAATTCAGGTATGTTTCCCAGGGACAAATTTTTAATTGAGAGATTTGAACTGGAAAGATGGATTGACATATTTATTGATTGATAGACTGAATGCTTTGATCAATGGATTGCAGGAGGAATGAAATGATGAATTAGATATTGGATTGGAGACTTCCTTGAATGAATGAATGATTGATTGATTGATTGATTGATTGCTATATTGATTGATTGACCGATTAATATATTTATATAATGTGTATAGTGAGTCCCTGCCCGTTCTGCTGGATCACCTTGAGTTCCTGGACAAGAACATCACCAGACCCTTAAAGGAGTACAACGATTGTCAGGTACAGGAGAAAGTGCATTGGTTGATTGATTGATTGTTGGTAGTTCACAAAGAGTTGAATAACCTACAAGTACATTTTGAGATGAATGGGTAATATTAATAGGTTGTTTGGTTTTAAGTGTTCTTTACCCCGTGGGCGGTCTGGGTCTCCCATATGTCGAGGGCGGCCTTTCACATTTAATCTATTAATTCTTAATCTATTAATTGATGAATTGGTTGTTTAACTTATAATGGTTTTAAAGATTTCTTAATCGATTTATATTTTTTTTTGTCATTTATTGAGTCAATAATTGATTATTTTTTTATAGACTTCTTAAGTGATTAATATATTTGATTATTTTCTTGAATAGTTAATTTATTGACTGATAAATTGATTAATTGATTGATTAATTGATTGATTAATTGATTGATTAATTGATTGATTAATTGATTGATTAATTGATAGATTAATTGATAAATTGATAAATTGATAAATTGATAAATTGATTGATTAATTGATTGATAAATTGATTGATTAATTGATTGATTGGTTGATTAATTGACCAGTTGATTGATTAATTGATAAGTTAATTAATTGATTGATTAATTGATAAATTGATTGATTGATTAATTGATTGATTGGTTGATTAACTGACTAGTTGATTGATTAATTGATTAGTTAATTAATTGATTGATTAATTGATTGATTAATTTATTGATTAATTTATTAATTTATTAATTTATTAATTGATTAATTGATTAATTGATTAATTGATTGATTGATTGATTGATTGATTGATTGATTGATTGATTAAGTGATTAATTGATTATTCAATTTAGGAAGCGATCAAGCAGTGCTATAGTTCTGAAGGCAACTGCTACAGAACCAAGGGTAAAAAAGACAAAGAGATGATTGTCTAGAATGACGTCTTTATTTAAACCAGCAAACTCTCAATATGCTCTAAATTGCAATCTACAATCTACAATCTACAGAAAAGATCTACAACCATTCAAAAATCTCCAGTTAGCACACAACCTACAAAGCAGAATGAATTCAATATCTCACTTGTATCTAAGAACCGGTTTGTTAAGAATCAGATTTACAATTTTCTTGTAAGATGGTTTTTTTTCTATGTCTAATTTATATGCCGAAACTTGATTCACCTGTTTCATCCAAATCTCCTTTTGAGAAAGAAAAACTACTTTGTTGCGTATTTTGTTTTAAAGAGTTTAGACACTGGGTATAAATTTTCATATATTTAGATATTAACAATAGTAAAACTATTTTATCATAAAAGTACATTGCAACTAGAGTGGAACATATATTATTTTAAATTAAGCTAGACGTGAAATATGAAAAATCATGTTGAAAATAAATTAGATTATTCTGGTAGAACGGAAATTATATTCATTTAACCCCTTCCTTTTTTAAACATCTATTTAAAACAAAAACTATTTGATAATAATATTTATCGCATCAAGTTTGGAGCGAATATTATTTTATATTAAGGATGATTCAAAATAGGAAAAAATTGTTAAAAATAATTAGATCATTTGGATAAATTGCTGACAGATTCTGGATAATCAATTTTTATTCTAGATTCTGGATAATATAAAAACATACGAAAATAGAATTGTTCAAATTGCTATTTTAGAAATAGCAAAGACTGTAAAAATTGTAATTGTTAAATAGAAATTATAAAGAGGTTTTTAAACTATGTCTTAAGTTTTTTTATTGCATGTAAAAATAATGGTGCTAAACTAATTATAACAGTGTTGATAGATTTAAAGAATTTTTATTTGATAAACATGAAATTATTGAAAGTATTGTAAATAAATTGTTGCCATATCAACGTTGTTTCGTGGGACCCATTTTACAGTTTCATAATTGTTAACTGAACCTTATTAAAACTAGTGAGCAGTTTTTTAAAATAAAACTTTTGTGTTAAACATATTTTTTTCTATTTTCAGATTTAAAATGTTTTAATAAACACTTGATCGATTCTTCTTTATCAATGGCGACAGTACGAGTTCCGCAAAGATTCTAAGCGAGGAGGGGGGGGGGGGATCCGGAATAAGAAAAGGGATATTATATCACTGTCTCGATATTTGTTACTCCGCCTGGCGTCTTTGCCTTATATTATCAATTACTCCGAAGAATTTTGAGTTCTAAAGTAAAGTTATTTTTAAAGTTTGTTAATATTTGATTTGTTTAATTACTAAAATTTATTCTGTTTTCGAGCAAATTTCTTAATTTTTTGTATTGACCGTGTGACCTAATAATCTTATCTAGGAGCGCCAACCGTTCTTTCCTTTTAATGCAGGGTTGTCCGTTAAAAATAATCATAATAATAAAAGTATTAATGTTAGGATCGGTCTATATTTTTTCCTTTCAGACATCTTCTTCTTTTTAATTCCTCATAGTTGTCTCAAATAGCTATGTTATTTTTATTTCGGAAATCTACAACTGAAAACTGAAAACTGAAAAATCTGCGAAATCAAATACGAAAATAAAGTGATGGCATGAAAAACAACAACTGAAAGCGTCTTAACTGTATTTTTGCTCTTTTAAGAAGAAATGGATTTTCACGAAGAAAATCTAAATACTAGTGATTCCTCGATATTCAATTCCATTCTCATGTCTCAGATATTTACAAAGGTTAGAATTTTCTTATTTTCTCAAAAAAATCTGTCATATTACAGACTAGGGTAGGAACCCAGCTTTGCCTGGAAACAAAGTTTTCTTTTTAAGAGTCAACCTATTTAAGTATGAAGTTTTTACCAAGCTTAGAACATTCCCGTGGTTCTACCGAGTTCCTCAGTCAAAATTTGAGGCAAATCGGTTATGGGGTCCCTAAGTTATGATCGGACATACAAACAAACAAACACAGACTACTACTTTATGTTTATAATTAACTGAAAAGGTCTCGTTGAATTAAGTGTAAACATCTGAAATATTTTTGAACATTTTTAATTGATTTTCACTTCTTCTTAAGTTCTAATAAACGAGCTGTAACTCATTAATTAACATGTAAACATTTAGATATCTGATGACAAGGATGAAACATTTTTGAAAACAGACCAATCTGATCCTGACTCCAGGTTTTTTTAAATTTTTTAATTTTCATTTAACAAATATTATAATATTGAAATAATGTGTTCTCTCTGTCTATTTTTACCTACCGCCAAATAAACTGTCTTGAAGCCTTTTTCATCTCATTCTAAACGTTTTTTATCATCGACAAATCCTGGATCACTGATTCAAGATACGTGGTTGAACCGTCTCTGAACCTAGCTCAAATTCATCCAATCCGGTCCCTGGTATAGTGGGATATAATGAGCTTCAATTCAAGAATGTCATAAACGTAAAATACATTTTCTTTGAAATGAACGCAGAGAAAATTCCACTGTTCATGACTTAAAAGACTTTAAACTTGGTGAATTTCTTAAATTTTCAGACAAAACAAATTTAACTTCCATCATTGAAACTTTGTAAGGCACATAGTTAGTAAATCGTAGATGGCAAATGACGATTAAATTAGGCGGTTTTTTTTTGGTAAATTTGTTGAAGTAATCTCTAAACCCCAGCGGCCCCAGCAATCATGAATTGAGTATAGATTCACCGATAAACCATTTCTATCACCATTTTTACTCAAACAATTTCTCCTACATATTGTTGTAATGTTATAATTTTTAATCATTACATTAATTGAGAATTTTAATTAATTGTAATGGAGTTTAGTTTAATAAATTGAAAATTGTTTAAGAGATTCAGTTTGCGTACAGTCATATATGTTTCAAAATGGACAGGCTTATAATATTATGATGCAGGTAACCCAATCATAAAGAATAGAATATATCTCATTATTATTTTCTATTATCATTAAATACAGTGCTTAGGATCTAGATCCGGGTCCGTTGGATCCACAACATTTTGGGTTTTTGGATCCGTATCCGCTACAGTCTGTGGATCCAAGGGGCAAAATATCAACAAAAACTCTTTTAAAAAAACTTTTTGTTCTAAAATCTGAACGGTTGAAAAAAAGAAAGATTATCAAACCTTTCTTTATTTCTGAATGGTTCATCAATGTTTTCGCATAAGCGAATAAGAAGAAAAAATATTTAAATTATTCTTGTCTTCTGGATCCTGATCTGGATTCGCATCAAAATGAAATGGATCCTAAGCACTGAATTAATGAAGTTAACGTAGTTTTTTTCCGGGGCGTAGTCAGGAATTCGTCTAGGGGGGGCTTAAATTATTTTCTTTTCATGGGGGGAGCTCGGCATCCGTTAGGGCCTGAAATCCCACTGTTCCAGCACCCCCGGCCCCCCCCCCCCCCCCCCCCCCACTACGCCTCTGGTTTTATTTATATATTTTAGGAGCAATGTGCTGATCTAAACATCATCGTCGAACAAAGTATAATAAGGGTACGTTGTTTTCTCTTCAAAAAGAGGAATTCTTTTTAAAACTATTTTTTAATAGGTTGACCAGCTAGTTTTAGCAGCACATTCAAGCCTGCTAGAACATATGTTAAAAGACCTGCAGGTATAAACATTTTGAAATAGACTGAAGATGTATTTTTCAGTAACCTTTCTTCTTAAGAGTGATATTTCCGATTCACAACAGTACCTATATAATATGAGTAATAATGAGGCCTAGACATCTTTAAAAGTTTTGCAATCTGCCATTTTTCATCACTCTGTCTTCCGAATAAATCAGCCAATGATTGATAAAGAAACCACAATTAAAAATAATACATTTTTAGCTAGAAATATAAAAATATCTCCTTCACTCTTGTCCAGAAAAAGATTTTAAGGTCTACCGTTTATAAATCAGACATTTGGACAATGGACATTGGACATGCGTCTCTTTAAATGAAGGGTCACTTGAATTCATGTCAACATCCCCCTTTAATGAATATTTCACTAACCTCTTGTGTGTAGATTAGACGTTTTTTCTAGCGATACTTGTCAAGTTCAACACATTATTAAAAAAACTCGCTTAATCCATAAGAAATTCATTCAATATCATTGCCTTTTAAAGCTTTTCATTATGATGAAACTTTTTATTCTTTGAGAAAAATGTTATTTTACAATCATGTACATTGTACACATTGTAAAGTCATAAAAAAACTTGTTTAAGTCCCATATCTTCATTGATTTAAAAATGTATTTAACATTTTTGGTATTTACCTTAAACCTCTTTTAATAGTTATTACTGATTACACCTAGTATAAAAACATTTATTGTTCTTATTTGTCAAACCCAATTCGTTGTCTGTACTAAATCACAGGTCGGAGCTGTTGAAAAAAAATTTATTAAAAATTTCAAATGTTTCATTTCAGGTAGACATATGGCCTGAGATTGGCAGATCCAGAGACCACAATTTAGGAAAAGGAATTATTTCATGATTTTTTTTAGTTTTTTAGACAATATCATACCTCGCACAATCTATATATAAATTTGGCTTGTCTGTTTGTTTGTCTGCTTGTTTGTTTGTATCCAATAAACGTCAAAACGGCTGAACCAATCGGGCCCAAATTTTTTGTGGGACATCTAGGGACCCCAGGGAAGGTTTATGAATGATCAAAATTTTAAATATTTGTCTCCATCAAAATTCGTTCTTCATTAAATTTTTTAAAATTTTGAAAATCCACGAAATTTTTTGTGAAAATCCGCGAATTATTTTTGTTTTGTTTTACGATGTACACAAAGAGAACATGTTCACAATTAATTTAGAAGATAGGCGCGAAGCGCCCTATAAGGCTAGTCTATATATAAATTTGGCTTGTCTATCTGTTTGGGTGTTTGTTTGTTTGTATCCAATAAACGTCAAAACGACCGAACCGATCGGGCCCAAATTTTTTGTGGGACCTCACGTGACCCCAGGGAAGGTTTATGAAAGATCAAAATTTTAAAAATTTATGTTTAAAAATTTTTTATTTTTGAAAAGTTTTGAAAATGCGCAAAAAAATATTATGAAATCCGCAAACTTTTTTGTTTTTGTTTTATACTGTACAAAGAGAAGATGTTCAGAGATAAAGTCACAATTAAAAGTTGAAATAGAAGCCTAGAAAGTAGGGCGCGAAGGGCGCCCTGAATTTCTAGAAATACAAATTACAAATTATTTACTAATTATTAAAGGCCTTTAATCTGACATTTCCTTATTAGCCCTGGATGTACACATCGATTGTTAGTATCTTTTGTTTTATTGGAGTAATTTGCAAAACTGATAGACTTGCGTCAAAAGTTAATTTGTTTAATTAAATTAAATTTCATAGTGATTAGTACGAACATAAAGTTATGTATATATAAATAGAAACATTTTCATCGAATGTTGTGTTGTCCTTTAATAATAATGATAATAATAATAATGATACAGTAATAGTACAAATGTAATGGGAGCCTAAAATACATAATGCATATTGTAGTTTAGTTAACATTTTATTAGTCATCTAAGAAACAAAATCAAGACTTTTTAAATGGCTCACTGCAATAGTATCTTTAAGGATAAAGTAATTTTCAATTTATCTTTATGATTTCTTTTTTTCTAGAAGAACCAAAGATCTCTCTTATTCTACCCCTTGTCTCATTATCGGTAGAGTTTTTTTTTTAAATCTTGAAAACAAATTATATTTACCAAGATTCTGCGAAAATGATCTAAAATACTTTGGAAAATAGATCTTTAGATCGTAACTCTTGTTTTGTAGCCGATAAGATTAATTATAATAAACGTGATTTAATCGCATGCAGGTATTGTGATTTATTGATTTAAGTTATTCAGTGTCAATGGGTAAAATGTGATTAAAAGCTAAGCGTAATTTTAAGTGACAATCCATTCAAAGATAAAAAGGCCTGATTCACAACAGTACCATTAAATGATTTGTCTGATCAAGTAACATTAATGTTCATAATTTTGAAAATTAAATAATTTTCATCTTTAATTATGGTTTCTCTCCCGTAAGGGAATCACGCAGTTTTACTGCAAGGAAACATATAAAAATTATCAGAATTAAACACTAAAATAAAAAGACCGTATCTTCCACATTATTTATCAAATGAAGGTTTCAAGGGTACTGATGTTAATCTTACATGAAGGGTCACTTGAAATTACCCTTACAGTCCCTTTAAGAGGGTAATGGACTCCTCCCCCATAGTTTAACTAACTGAATCTTTTCTATGTACAGATAATGACTAGGATTGTGCACTTCCTCTACTCTGGGGAGTTGATGTACAATAAGTCAGAGCTGAAGGAAATGAGGGAAATTGCAGATATTCTTAAATTACGATTTCTAATACAGCAGGTAGTAATTATTAGACTTCAGGTTTAAAGGATAAAATCAACTGGTGAGGTTTTTCTCTAGTCTTGATTCTTTTCTCAAAAATATTCATTATTTTACCTAAAAAAAGTAATCTTTTGTCCCTAATATCTTTTGTTTTTTATGAAATTCAAATATGAAGTAAAATATGACATTTTTAAAGCCCAAACTTTAAAAACAAAATTTATTTAAATTTTAGCTTCAAGAGCTGGAAGATCTGAATTTACAGTCTCTAAAAGCAACCCCTGAAAACAGTGAAGAGATCACTGAACAAAACCTTCCTGGACTTAGCTTGGAAGTCAGCTGTGAGATAGGGATAGACACAGAAATCCACGAGGTGCTGGTTGGCAACGGCGGGAACCACTCCGAGATCCTGATTGGAGAAGAGGATACCGCGGATTTGTTCCTGTGTGGGGAGAAAGTGTTGTTTGTAGAGGGAGATTTAGAAACCCCTGTCCAGTCCCCTGCAACAGAACATGAAGGACAAGAAAAGCCATGTATTCTATCGGACATCAGCACTCTGACAAATATTAACCAAGAACATCAATGTGATGAGTGTAGTCAAAGGTTTTTTACAACCATTGATTTAGAAAATCACAAGAAGATTGAACATTCTGCCGTTCCTATTGATGTTGGAGAATTTAAATGCGATGTGTGTAACAATTTTTTTAACACAATGGGAAACTTAGAAGAGCATAGAAGAACTGTTCATGGGAACAAAGAGTTTTCATGTAACCTTTGTGATAAGCATTACACCCGTTCTCATCAGTTGAAAATACACAAAAGAACTCATACTGGAGAAAGACCTTACCCTTGTAGTGACTGTAACAAAAGATTTATAGATAATACGAGTCTCAAACAGCACATGAAAATTCATTCAGGTAATTCGGATTCATTTTAATGTTTTGGGATTTGTGTGATGGAAAAGAACTATTTTAATTGTTGCTTAATTTTGAGTGAAATATTCATAAAAAATTTTGTTTTTAAAAATTATCGTAGATATTCAAAACATTTTTTTCATTAAAAGACTAAAAAAAACTTACACGAATATGATCATGAGTTTAGGCTTCTGGATTCAATTGTTAAACCGGGGTAGTGGTAACCCCTTAATTCTCAAATCCAACCATTAGGTCACATGAATAATTCCATCTATCTATCATATAGGAGACATTAGTTCCAAAACTAACACTTGGCCCATTTATAACATTGAATGTTAGACATGTGCACAGATTGAAAGACTGGGTTTTTAAGGATCCCGGCCCATATCGAGAGTAAAAGTCGATGATTAAATCTATAACCAACATTTTATTAAGAATGACGAGGACAAAAATTCCTAATTTAAAACTATTTCTGAAATCAAAATGATAAAAGGAGTTCTTTTAATATTTAAACCCTTGACCGTTTTCAAGACAATGTCAACATTCAAATGTCAGAATAAGTTTCCCAATTAAAATCTGCCCCCTTTATCTATAAAGATGGGTAAGGCCTTTTCTTCGGGGGTGGTCGAGGTCACGTGATCTAATTTTTTTTAAATCACGAAACCTTGGGTCAAAATTTGTCCTAGGGAAGTTGCTACTACCCCTACTCAGAAATTTCCGGCTTCTAAAAAAGAATAATTTTACAGAAACTAATTAATAATTTGTTCAACATTCAGATGAGCTTGGATACAAATGTTCATTGTGTGGGAAAAAGTTTAAACTTCGAGCTGTTTTGAGACAACACGAACAAACCCACAATGCTGAAAGGCCCCACAAATGTGATATCTGTGGAAAAGGATTTACTTGCAAACGAAACATGCTGAGGCACACAGAGATACACACGCAGGTAGAAACTAATGATGAAATAAAGATCCAGTTTTAGATGATAAAGACGTAATTTAAAGTGACACTTTAAAGTGTCATGTTATTTTTACAACTATTCCTGAAAAACCTTTGCCTGTTCAAAGATGAATGAGGCATCCTTCCTTTTATTACGGAAAAATGATTTAAATGTAAAAAAAAACAACAGCATCTTTATCCATACTCAGATAAAGGTTTAAAGGGTACTGGTGTGACACGCCACCCTTTAAGTGGAAGGTCATTTGAAGTTACATCTACAGTACTTAAAGTAAAAAATATTTATATTTACTGTTCAGGTAAATCTGAGCATTCAGAAGCAAAGCCAGCTCTATAGCTGCAACCTTTGCTTAAAACCCTTTAAGCTAGAGAATCAGCTGATTGAACACAATGCCGCTGAACATCCGAACAATACTTTAGTATCAACTTCACTTGTATTCAGGTACAGTGTGCCCCACTGAACAAGTTAAAGGCCATCTCGTCTTCTTAAAACACAAAATCCTAAACCTTATTTTACAAATGAGATTATTGGAAACCAAAAAGACTTGGAAAGGCATTTCAAAATTATGGACTGCCTTTTTGTGCTAAAAAATATACTGGATAAATTCCTAACTTGTTAAGATTCCACGTCAAACTAAAGTAAATTTGACGTAAGATTGAAATTTTGTTTTCAATCATAACTTCTCAGAGCACTTGATGGGGAAAAACATTTTTAAAATTTTTTATATATTTTCTTATACTTGTTTAAAATCAAAACTAAAGGAGCTACGAGGTCACAAAGTCGCACCAGTAATGTCGCATAAATTTGATCTTCTCCTTTGTCAAGTTAATTCTGAAACATTCTTTGTTCAGTTTAACCCAGAACTTCGGAGCTATCAAAAGAATTTTAAAAGTGTTGTCTTGACAATTTTTCAATGGGTTTTGTTCTATTTATTAATTTTTTTATTATTTTTCGTGAACGTTCACAATTTAAATAGTTGGTACAAATTATACAGACAAAAAATTTATAAAGGTATACATCAAAATAAATACAAACACAAGAAACAAAACCATGACATAATTAGGTCGTGCATACAAAATTAATAATATCGTCAAGTTTATCTTGGTCAACTCCATTGATAACAATCTTATTGTTTTTTGCAGAAATTAGTTCATTTAAAAATGGAATCCTCCATTCTTCTTTCACTGGTATTTGAAATATAATACAATTTTTTACAATATGTTTGTCGATAATATTCAAATCTTTGTTGCATTTGTCTGCAATATTTCTCAGATTTTTTGCAACCACTGACCTTTGATTAAATTTTAAAAGATTTATCAAAAGTCTGATACAAATTTTTAACAAATATTTCAATAGAAATAAATCTACTGTAGAGCATAGTCATTAAACGAGATGACTGTGACAGTGGTTTAATAAAATATCTATGACAAGTGTTACGTAATTTAAACATAATTCTAACTGAAATTCTGAACACATCATTCAAAAATAAATTCCAAAATTGAATCCATAAATACAAGTTGCATAAAGGTTATATAATTTAATCAAAACTGTTGAATCTGCAAAGTAAACTTCTTGATTCAGGGAATGAATTTTAGCAATTAACTGTCCACGTTTCTGATTTATATCACGAGTGAATGTCTGTTTGTAGCGTGCATTCAAGATGTTTTACATGATCAAGATATGGTAAACCTGACAAAACCTGAAATTGAGTTCACAAACTGAGTATTTCTTCTAAAGTCACAGTTTAGATCACCACAAATAAGAACACTGGAAAGCATATTTTTTTTATCTTATAATATCATTGATCTCAGCCAGAGTTTGAAGAAGTTCTTGATCATTAAAATCATGTTGAGGATCGTTCATCAAATACAAGTTGAAAAGAAGGAGTGAACTTTGTGGAAAAGTAAACTTTGGTGCCTGAATTCTGAAGTTTTCCCATTTAATTTGTGAAACATATTTTAATAAACATTTCTTCTACATTGTGATTAAGCCTCCCTTCCCCCTTCCTCGGGTTATAACATTGTTATCCTTTCCAGCTGGTGTAGTGATCATATTGAAGTTGTCTCCACACGCCGAAATATTATACCTAAATCTCTGTAATTTTAAAAATAAAAAATAGCTATGAAATATTTGGGAACAGTTTTAAAAAATCATTATTTGCCGAATTCCATTATTAGTATGTTTAGAAAACGACATTTTTAATATTCTTTCGATGTCTCCAAAATTCTGGGTTAAACAGTGACTTATTTGACCAGCAGTAGTTTTGCTTTCTTCTAATTATTTTGATATGTTGATGACTGAGTTTATTTTCAGATGCTGTATGAAGAACTGCAGCAAGGTTTTCCCTTCCCAGGAACTTCTTTCATCACACAGGGAAGAGAAATGTGAATCAACAATTATTTTTGGTTTTATTAAAAACTACTAGAAGCGCACGGCGCTACCTGTGGAATGTTGAAAATACTGAAAATATTAGAATTATAAAATGTTTCGATTTTTTAGCCTATGTAACCCCTAGGGCACTCAAGGATTCCCTCAAAAACTTTCAGCAAATTTGGTCTATCCGTTTGGCAAGCTATAGCTAACATATAACATATAAATATCACGGGCAGCCGTAGTACATTTGAATTTCCTAGCCGGGTCAACCTTTCCTGTACCTAGCTCTATGGAAAGGACTAGCTGGTGCAACAAGGTTGACGCGGTCAGCCTTTATGCTTCATATAGGTTGAATTTACTTTTACTTAAGGGGCAGAGGTGCGTGATATATATATATATTAGAAAGGAGCTTTAATATATAGATTAAGTTTAGGATTCAATGATCGGTGTAAACTGTAAACTGTTAACTGTGGTATTTCTGATTAACAATGGTGTCTATTTCAAGTTTGTATGAAAAATGTAGAGATATTTATCATCTTCTCTTTCTTGGTTTCTTTAAAGAGACGCATTACTGTCTCAAAATTTAAAAACAAGAAGTTCGTCAGAATTAAACACTGTTCAGTGTCAAGCCAGAAAAACGATGATATCCTCCACATTTTCGGTCAAATGAAGGTTTAATGATTAGATCGACCCCCACCCCAACTCAATATTCACACATCTACACAGTTTGTTTTTAATCTTTGTGAAGAAACAATCTCAAGGAATAATAATTGTCTAAAAACATTTTTTTAGAAAGTGAATATTTGCAAATTATCTTTTTTCCATCTCATAATCTGAGTTCTTTTCCCTTATGTCCATTTGACAGCCCAAATTTTTATTTTGAATAATCTTTTTGTTTGTTTATATTCTTGTGATTTTTACATTTTTTTAATTTTTTAATCGATTTTGATGGTTATTATATCGTTAGAACTGACGATGGTCAACCCAGACCGAAATATATTTTCAATAAATGTGGAACTAACATCTACTTTTTTACTCTACAGAGGTTTGGTCCATCACCATCACTGAATTTTAAATCGGTTTAATGATTAACGTTGTGAATCGGGTGTTCCCTTATTAAAACTAAAGGTTACTGAAATTACAACAAGTCCTTTAAGAAATTAGCTATGTTTGCAATGTGGTCAGAACTATGTGGCATTTGTTTTTCAACTTTAGGTGGCTAGGCATTTTATATTGTCTCGGAGTTGATATATATGAAAATATGAAAATATAACCTTTATATATATATAACCTATATGAAAATATATGAATTAAAGGAAAATATATGAATTAAGGGGAAAATATATGAATTAAAGGGAAAATATATGAATTAAGGGGAAAATATATGAATTAAAGGGAACATATATGAATTAAGGGGAAAATATATGAATTAAAGGGAAAATATATGAATTAAGGGGAAAATACTAAAAAATTAGGTGAAAAGTATCTAAAACACTGAGCATCAATAATCAACGCACAATGTCATTTAATATTGATTTTATTTATTATATATTTGCATTAAACATTTCTCTTTATGTGCAGAAAAATAGTTCATGAGTTTAAAGATAAAACTGAAACTGAAGTTGAAAATGCTGAACCTTTCATCTGTAGCTGTGGTGTCTCTTTCTCCAGTTCGAGAACATTAAAGTAAATACCTGTTCAACAAATATTTAGTTTCAGCTCCTTTAATATTAACAAATTCATTATTCTATCAAATCATGTGCTTACTGTTATTATCAATATGCTGATCAATGAGTTAAAAGTGAATATTTTTTTCTAATTTCTGAATCTCTGGACCTAGTAAAATACGTTTTCCCTTTTTTTATTAATTTTCTAGTTATTTTTTAATTTCTTTAGTTTATTATTTGTTAATTAATTATTTATATATAATTAATAGGATTTTTTTACTTTTATATATTAATCTCTTGATTTAATGCTATATAAATTTTGTATCTCTATATTTTTCGTTTTATAGAAAGCATCAGAAAACCTCCCATACATCCGGAGGTCCATTTAAGTGCAGCCTCTGCAGTAAAGGGTTTAAGAACGACTGCAGCCTCATGAAACATATTTTGGTTAGTTCTCTATAAAAATAAATTTATAATCTCTGTTTGTATGTCCGATCATAACTCATGAACCCCTTGACAGATTTGCTTTAAATTTTGATTGGAAAACTCGTCGGGAGAACCACGGGAATACTTTTTAGATAAGTTTGAGATTTCAAGCTGAGTGGGTTTAGCTATTTAAAGGGGAAATTAGCTTAAATCGTAATTTACGATCAAGCGCGGGTAAACGGCGGGAGTAAGTATGAATACCCTGGGCAACATTTGGTTCTTAATGTACTATTATTATATTTTAAAAATATTATTGTCAGTTTTGTTTTTGTGGTGAACTTTTGTTTAAGGTTAGAGGTTTGATGCTTGAAAAATGAAGACTTTCAGATCTATTCATTATTTCTTATTATCAATGTTGATTGTTGGCATGTGTCTCCAAATTTGAAATCAGTGGGTCTTTTTTTGAAAAGTACGTTTTTTTAATCATTTGATTTGTGTTTGGTATGTTTAAGAACATGTTCTATTATATGTTTGATATGTATAATGTTTGAGAACTGTGTCTTGTTATTTCTTTGATCTCTGTTTGATCAATGATTGATTTTTGTTTGATAATAATAATAATAAAATATATTTGCAAATTTGGTCTTCTATTGATTCTATTTTATTCAACTGCTTGATTAGCTTCAAACACGTTAAACAGACAAAAGATTTACTCTGAGAAGTCAGTATTAGTTTCTTATTTACTTTTTTCTAAAAAATATTTTGCCTAGGATCATACTGACGTCAAAATGCGCCATATTTGTGACTACTGCTCAAAAGTTTGTGAGAGACCCTCAGATTTAGCCAAACATTTAAGGTTAGGATTAAAATAATATCAGTAAACTTTAAGTTTCTTTTAAAAATAATAGACTAGTAAAACAGTGTTCAGGTTTTAAATCGCCAAATACTAATTTTAATGATATAAGTATCAGAAAATACAAGCAGACTTATCTTGTGGTTTATCCTAATATAACTACAATTGTATTTAATTTGAGTTTTAAACAGAAATTTTAAGTGCCATATTAGATTTACAACTGTACCATTTTTAATCTTTAATCAAGGATTATCAGAAAATTAATAACTTTAAAACTGACCTTTTATATGTTCTCACTACCTTAAACTACTGCATTGTTTAGGATTCATTGTTTTAATTGATACTGAAAATCCTTCTTTATGTAATTTTAAGTTATCCCACGCCTATACAAGTGCACGCCCTATTCCCAATGGTACCTTTTATAGCATGTTAAATCTTGTCAATGTTATTCCTTCTTAGATAAAAAACCTCAATTGAAAATGATCAATTTACAGGAAGTAAAAAAAGAAGATCTCCGTCATGTTGGTCAGACAAACGTAAAAAAGGTTACTGTTGTGAATCGAACATGCAGATCTTTTATTAAGAGATTGCTTAAAATGACGTCGATAGTCTTTTAAATAACTTCCATTTCTGGTTAGAATCCATACTGGAGAGAAGCCCTACCACTGTGAAGTCTGTGATAAAAGATTTGCGGATATGTCTTTTTTTAAACGACACCAAAGGAAGCATGAAGAGACAACAGTTTTCTACTCGTGTGATGTTTGCTCAAAATCATTTCAAGTTTTGAGCAATTTGGAGAAACATAAACAAACTCATGATGGAATTTCACTTTCTTGTTCAGTTTGCAGGTTTGTTTATTAAATTTTTCGATACAAGAATTGTTATTGAGTGGAGTCCTGAATTTTCTTGTGAAAATGCGCACAAAGGAACTGATTTATCTTTGCAACCTGGTGTCGTTCAAACTGCAAATTCTATCCGATCAAAAAAGTTTGAAATATCTTAGCTTTACACCATCAGGTTGTAATGATATAAGAATTCATAGAAACTTTGAGTTTCTGGAAAAAACTCCGTATTCTTAAAGAAACTTTTAAAAAAATTGCTGAACATTTTTTCTATATTATTGTAATAGCAGGCATTTTTGATTTAAACTTGGTAAAAATTTTAAATTTTTTTGTTTGATACACAATATTAAGATTTGTTATTATGATATTACTCTATCTTGTAATCTATATAATAAAACAAGACATTTGTGTGTATATATATATATAATATATATATATATATATATATATATGTTGCGTATAGTCGGCCAAACGGCTGGAGCAGTCGGACTGTTTTTTTGTGGACACTCATGGGTCGCCGGGGGTTGTCATAGGCTAAACAATTTTTTGTTTTTAATATTGTTTTCTTTTTATAATTAAAAAAAAAAAAAAAATTCTCGGGCAACACTGGGCCCTTCAGTTAGTAAATTATAAAATATTAGATGTTCAAAACTACACATAATCTATTTATTCAGTAAAGAATTCTATGATGAGGTTTATCTTGAAGCCCATCTCAATCTTCATAATGGTGAGAAGACTTTTTCCTGTTCATTCTGTGGCAAAGGCTTCAGGCACGCAGGTTTGTAATTTTTCTTTCTTAAAATCTGCCAGCAGGGGTGTATGTTTAATAATTTTGTTCTGATCGGTATTTGTTGAAACAGACTATTTATATTAAAATCTCAAGTGAATATACATTCATTGTGGATTTACAAGTAAATACTTAGTCAGCACTCAAATAATCAAAACATTTTCAGGAATGCATTCATTCAACTTTTAAATAGGTGTGAACCCATTCTTGTTGTCTGTAGTAGACTTTGACATCTACCATTAGCAAAGGGTGTGAACCCATTCTTGTTGTCTGTAGTAGACTTTGACATCTACCATTAGCAAAGGGTGTGAACCCATTCTTGTTGTCTGTAGTAGACTTTGACATTACCATTAGCCATTACACTTTTTTTTTTAATCCAATCATGAAAGGAAAGTTCCCTTTTAATAACCTTTTCTTTACATTCCTTGTTTTAAGGTGATTGGAAGAAGCATGTAAGAATTCATACTGCTGAAACCCCCTACTCCTGCAGTATATGTGGTATACAGTTCTCTGATCCTAGCTCTAAATCTAGGCATGAGAAGCGACACTACAAATTTGAGGTAAGCAGTTTTTAATGCAATGCAATTGAGTTCTGTGCTTTAATTAAGTTCCATGTTGAGACAAATGGGCGTATCAGAAAGTTTAATTACATTTTATTTCTCGTCTTAAAATTTTCATCATCTAGAAGTTGATTTATAATCTAATACTTTAATGTTAACTCACACACAGGCTAGGAGGGGTTTAAATCTATTTTTAAGAGCTGGAAAAGGGACATTTTCTGTAACTGATGAGAGCAAAGACTATTTTTTTAAATCTAGAAATTAAACTTGTCTATTACATTTCAACCTGAATGAGACCAGTTTCCTAATGTGGCATATTTCGGTGACAAGTAAAGATGATTAATGACAAATTCTCACAGAAACATTGAGAAAGTACTGATAATTCAAAGGTTCTCCCTACGCCTTTTTTCATTTTTGGCAATCCCTTCTTTTAGATTAATAAAACAACTGCAGTACACCCTTAGTTTAGTATTATATTTCACTAGGAAGTGTTGGGTCAACCAATGGAGAAGAAGATGAACCTTTAGAAATAAGTTAACGATTCTCAAAAAGTTTATTGTGTGTAACCAGAAAAAAAATCCAATGTTTATATGCTATGTCATACCTGACTAAAAGCTGTTCTTGTTACTCAAATTTAAAACCTAAGGTGCCATGTAGGTAAAACATGAAAAAGGATAATATGAATCGTTAATCATATATAAACTATAAATTTGCTTAGAAATATTAATCATACTTATACTGAGAAACTATACTTACCAATATGTGTTGTTTTCTCTTGTTCTTTAATGTGTGTATGAATTTTCAAATTTTCAAGGTAAAAATTAAGCCAATTACCCATTTCCACAATTCCTTGAAGTATTTATTTTGGCAAGAATGAAGAATGATATCTATGTTTTGATTCAAACATTTATCAAAATAGTTTTTAGTTTTAAGGGTAAATATTGCATACTAAAACCAACCTTTTACCAACAACAATCTTGTCATCACTGTGAACCAAGATGTGCATGCTCTCATGCTAAAATCGAGCAACAATATGCCAATTACTCCTTTTAAACTTGCCAGAAACATTTGCCTTGCTAATGTATATGCCTAGGCCTACAAAAAAGAATAAGTGAGTTAGTGAGGTAAAACCAAAGGCCAAGGTGTTGCAACACTTTAAAGTCTAGTTCGTATTAAGATTTGGTGAAAAACTTTCAGAGTTGTCAAGATATCAGGTTTATATATTTTTAGTTCTTCCTTGAAATGGTCTTATTTATTGAAATAATTTAATCTCATATTTCGTATTTAATTATTCATATTCACATAATTTTAACTAATTGTACAGTTTACAGATATTTTTTATGAAGAATGTCGGAGGCCATGTTCTGGTGATATGTGATAGAAATTCAACCCAAACTATATGAACTCCAGTGAAACATATATAAAGGTTATATGAATTTAAATTTGTGTGCCTACCTACTGGTTCTTGGCCCCCCTGCAATTCAAATCTCTGGGAAAAAGTTCTTAATAGAGACAGGACAGGTAAATTATTAAATAGATTTGGTTGTCCATAATCTCAATTGACAATTGATCTCTCCTCATGATTGACAATGAACTTCTGCAAGTGCAAAATTGCATTTCAATCAAAAGTTTCCAAGGAAAATGCGCACATTTACTGTGTCCAGAATGGCATTTATAGTTAAAAAAATGTTGCTCATTTTATCCTGTTTATACCGCGCGCGCCCTTTTATCTTGAATATTTTGATTGTTTGTTTTAATCCTAAACTGCTTAATTTGTTTAGAAACACTATACTTTCTTTAATTTGATGAAAAAAATGACGGACTCTTCTAAGGACGACTATGAAAGTAGAATAATTCTATTAAAATTTTTCGCATTTTAAATACAAGTTTTTCTGTGCGACCGTGCGCATTCTTGTTTCTTTGATAAAGTTCCTACAGATAATTGTAATCCACAATAATTCCATCTGGTTAAAATCATTTGTTTAATGTCGATATTTTACTAATCAATTAGGCTCATAATGGCAGAAATGTGCAGATTTTTTCCATAATTTTAAAAGAAAGTTTTAAAAACTTTTTCGTCAAAAATAGATTTTTATATACCTTCATAATTTCATCGAAACTTGCTTATATAATGCAATAAAGTTTTTAAAAGTCTTCTAACCAATCTTTACAGTAATAGCTTTAAGAAAAGTTATTAACCAGCTCTTTAGCCAAAATAGAAACATCAAAATAACATTTTAAAAAAAAGGTCCAAAAAAGGTTTTTTTTAAATTTCTGATCGGCTAAAAAACTTGCTTTTTGACGATCTAACTTCAAGTAGCTATAAATCCTAAACCAAAAAATATTTCTTAATAATTCCATTTCTGATCCCAAATGGGAACAGGGTTAAAAGTACATTTTGGGGCATTTTGCGTGTGTGCACTACACTTCAGAAATTAGTACTGCATTTGAGGTGTTAAAAGATGTAAATATCAATAATCAATATAAGAAATGAATTATGAAATGCAGAAAAATAAACACTCCCTTGCAGTACCATACATTCTGCGTATGGAATTTTTTCATGCTTCCAATTGTTAACAATAATAATATATATAATTTCTGTCTTTAATATCAGCCAATCAACATTTGGGATCCTTTAAGATGGAATAATATTTGATATCCATGAAGGATGTTGACTGGGAATTTTATCATATTTAAAAGTGTGAAGTTGCACTTGGGATTAAATATATTAACAAATACTTTACATCCTTTTGATCTAGAAATTTGCTGTTCAGTCAGAAGTAATCCTTTCTTCTACTGCAGATTAAACTGAATTATTCAAAACATCCCTCATTTAGCATTATTAATAATTTTTTGTTTTAGAGAAAAGAAAAGATCCAGGAATATGATTCAGATTATCAATTATTTGGAGGGGGAATTGGATTTGGAGGTTCAGTTGTAGTTACATCTAGACCAATTATAGTTACATCCAGAACAATTCTACTTCCTGGGCCACCAGTAGTAAGAAGAGTAAGACTTCCTAATCCAGGAATAAATGTTCAACAGATTCTAGAGACAATTAGGGATATACCAAGAAATAGGAGACCAAGACCACCTAGGCAAAGGAATAGAAGACCAAGACCACCTAGGCCAAGTAATAGAAGACCTAGACCAAATGAAGAAAGAAATAGGGGACCTAGACCAGGTGGAAAAAGAAATAGGAGACCTAGACCAGATCGTGAGAGAAACAGACAAAGTGGACCAGGTAAACAAAGAATAAGAGGACCTGTGAGCAATGAAGAGGATGATTATCCTTCAAACAACGAAGATGATGATTTTCCAACTGTAAATGAAGAGAATGATGATCCATATTTTGAAGAAGAATATGATCCTACTGTAAATGAAGAGAATAATGATCCTTCTGTAGATGAAGAGAATAATGATCCAACTAATTTTGAAGATGAAGGTTCTACAGCTAATGAAGAGTATGATGATCCAACTAATGATGAATATGAAGGTTCTTCGGCTTTTAGCATTTAATTAGAATCTCACAATTATTTTATATATGGAATGTGCATTGTGCATGAAAAAGCAGAGCCTTGGACTAAGATTGCATTTACTGTGGTTGACATTTTTGAACCTATAAAGCTTAAACACTGTAACACTGGAAAACACATAGCTTATACATAAAATCTTACTGCAATAAATAATTTAATAATGAAGAATTTATGAAATTATATAAAAACATTTTGCTTCTTTTTTTAAGGTGTGCAAAAGATTCCTTTAAATATGACTGCAATATTAGTTGCTAAAGCAAGCCTTTAATTAAAAATGTCAAACTTCTTTTGAATAATATTTATATTTGAAGATTTAAGAACAGAAGAAAAACAGGATCACAAATTCTGAGTTTAATCAAACATAAGACCATCTTATAGTAATAAAAAATGTAAAAACAAAACCTCCCGAATTTACAGTGTAACAATGTACATGCAAAGGATTTAAGCCTTTGTCACAAACTCTGATTTTTTAATCCCTATATATACATAACTATGAATTTGTTAGATCAAATAACCTAAGTTTGAAATTTGGTCACCATCAGGTTTCAAAGAATATAAAATTCAAGTTTGTGGCAAAGACTCAATTCCTTAGAGACCTTGCAATGCATATGAGGCTTCAAAACACCTCAAAGTTAATAAAAATAGATTTTTACTAGAAATTATCTGTGACTCAAAACTTAACATATTACTTTTATTTTTACTGTAATAAATATTCATAAATGTACTGGATTAAGGTATATAGAATAAGGATCAGACAAAATAAGATTTTAACTAAAAAAAAATCAATAAACAAAGTTTTGTAAAAATGTGATCAATACAACCATTCTTTACTTAAACAAATCGAAGTGGTATTTGATAGAGGCACTGCACACGTTTGAAGTAGTGGATAAGATAATCACTTTTTTTAGTAATGACAATATGTGTGAAGAAATTTATCTTGTTTTTACCAATCTAATAAAACAAAACATATTAATAATGTATTCTTGGTAAAACTTTTTTTTTAATAATTGCAATTTAATCCAATTATAGAAAGTTATTTAACAGGTAATCATAGAATTTTTTTTAATGGTAATTTAATCTTCAATCAGCATTTAATCTTTAAGTATGAAAACTCTAAGCTTAGTTAATAATGTAACGACATTAGCATTAGTAACAGAATCCCCTCATATAAAAACTTATTTGCAAAAAGGTATGGTATGTAATTGATGTTTCCAGTACTGCGGCAATTTGGCAAGAATCATCATGAAGCTGTTGTCAGCATCAATCAGAATGAAAATGTATGTTTTACTGAGTTTTTGCTTTCTGGATAAGACCATTGGAAAATCTTTTCTTATAGAAACTTCTCAGGTAAACAATTTACAATTCTTTATAAATTGATTTACTGATGTTTTTGAGATCATTTAGAATAAGGTGCATGGTAGTGACTATCAGTTCAATGCCCTGTTTCCAGGCGTGGAAGCTGATTTACAACGTCAAGTAGATCAAGCTGCAAGAACAGCAGCAGATGAGTTGGCACGCAACCTTGAATCCCAAGTTAGCAACCTTGAATCCCAAGCTAGATATCAAAATTATTACAATGGATACTATTACTGACCCTAGCATGTTTGTCACTATGCTTTTAGAATCTGACATCTTAATGATAAATATAATAGCAATTTGAAGAATAAGATTACACTTTACTTTAGTCAACCAGAGATGGAATTTAAAGAATTTGAGCCGCGGTTTAAATCCGCCAAAACCCGGTTTAAATTTAGCACCGGCTTAAATCTTGAAAAATTTGATATAATTTTAAGTGGAACCAACCATATTTAAGCCGCAGCTTAAATTTAAACCGCCGCTCAAATTCTTTAAATTCGGCCACAGCTCTTATTTGAAATTGAAATGTAGAATTTGTTTGCATTTATTCATGCAGAATGGTAAGTAATGATATTTTATTTCAGATAGGTGTAAATCAAAAGCCAAATGTTTAAAGTCACTTTTTAAAATTCTGAAAACTTTCCATTCCAAATCATTGAATAGCATAAGAACACCATTAACCTAAGAGATACCTAAAATGACTAACTTTTAAAGTTTTAAATATTTAACTTTTGAGGTTTTTAAGGTCAAAGATCCTGAGAGTGATAGCAGATTAAAAACTTATAAATAAATGCCTAAATTACCTTCCATGACACAATTTCAAAGATTTTAAATATTAACTCCAATCATATTTAAGTTTATTGGCGAATATGCAAAAACAAAGAAAGGTCCCTTGGAAAAATTATTTATTAAGACTTAAATGATCCATCAAAAGAAATAAAATGTGTTCTCAATTATTATTTGAAGTGCTAGATATGTGGAAAGTAACTTGATAATTGTAGTAAATATATATTCATTGATAGATTAGATTAATGTGCTCTAAAATATCTTTAACCCTTATTAAATTCTTTTAATGATTTAAAGGTATTTCATAAAAAAGTGTCAAAGTCCTTTTCATTTCAGCCTTGATAGACAAATAGTTGAGAAAACTTGTATCATTTAATTGATAGTACTACAAATTTTTTATTTTTGGTTAGAAACCTATAAAACATTGTTTTAATGGTTTTTTTTTCCAATTTGATAATCCTTCATTTGACTAATGTATTATGTGATAATTAAAAAGCTCAAAAGAGCTTGAGTTTCTCAAGAAATCTAAACTGCACAACAAAGTTTCAAACAATGTTTCTTAAAAAGAACTTTAACAGATTTGAAAGTTATGTCATTTTTAAATTTATAACTTCTTCCATTTTCCTATATGCTTGTTTTAACATCAAAGCATGTCAACCATTTTGAATTTATTTTTTTTTTTATTTAAGTAATTTTAAAATGAAAATGTTACAGATCTTGGCATGTTCTGCTCAGTTATAATTCATTATACAATATTCATATATTTACAGCTTAAACTGAATTAGACCGAAGAGAAGATAAAAGGTGTGCAACATTACTAGTACAACTTTTTGAACTGGTAGATAGGCTATATATAGTTTTTATTTTACTCACAGAGGTCAAACTAATCTTTGTGCATTAGATTGATCTTCAAATGTTCTACTTTAAAATTGATGAGGAAGATGATATAAGATTAAATGAAGATCCAACAAATTATGAAGATAAAGATGAATGTTCTTCACCTTTAAATATTGATTATGGTTCTTATCCATAAAAAAGCAGAGCCTTGAATTAAAATGACTTGAAGACCCTAGAAAATATGAGAACCCCCCTGAGACGGCTTGAAATCAAGTAAGGTGCTGTTATAGTGATAACAACTTCAAGCAAACCAGAATCAGGATTTAGAGCATAATTAGTACCATGCACTTAATTTCTCAAAACCTATTTTGGTATACTGCCACGGCAGTAGATGTTTGATTTGTTCTTGTGAAATCACAGAGAAGATGGATGAATTCTAGGCATGTTTCTGTATTCTGAATACATTAGTACAATCGTGTCAAAAACTTCACTGACATTTCAAAAAAAAACTTTGCTGTACATACAAGTATTAATAAAAAAGAAGTGAAAATATTTCTTCTGCAATAATTATGAAATTTTTTTGTAATTATCAACTTTTATCAAAAATAAAAAATTTTTAATTTGAGAGAATTTTCATGTGACAGATACTTTTTAAGTTAGAATTTTAGAAAAGTTTAACTTGTGCTTAATATATTTGTTAAATCAATTATATTCAAAATAAACATATTCAAGATCAATAAATGATTTATTAAACAAAAACTTGATTATGTTTTTTGTTAAAAGTTTCCATATTAAGTGACAATGCTAAACTGCATCTGAAACTATGCATTGGAACAGTTATCCAGTCATTTTAGTTGATATTGTTTTCAGAAGTTTATGTATTTATAAAATGATAAATTGTAGCCCTGTGTTTATCACACTTAGATGAGGTTTTATGTTATAGCATTAAAAAATAATTTGATTGACTTTAAGCAAAGTTTTATAAAATTTATTCACATAAACATTAAAAATTTATTGAAACAGTCTACAATGAAATCCATCATTCCATCCATCAGTCCAGGTCCCCCTGCAGGGGGTGCTGGACCTGCTGGACCTGATGGGGCTGCAGGTGCTCCAGGAGGAGGATTAGGAGAATCTCCTGAACCACCACTTAAAAAAACCAGCATTTAGTATTATTTATATACTGAAAAATACAGTGATGGTTTTTAAGATTTATTGTTTGATAGCAGCTCAAAAAAAAACCTTGTAATATTTTTATACGTAAAAACGAAACAACTGGTTTTGCGTACTTGCTACATTAAATGGATTGAAATATGAAAACTAAAGATTACCTCTGATAGTCTGTTCCATCTGCTGAGTCTGCTTCAGTCTTAACATTTTATTGATAACATTTTTCAAAATTAAATATTTAATAAACAACTTATGATTTATGCAAATATGAACCTCTTTGCTTTGGTACTCAGTATTGCAATGAAATCTTCACTTCTTAGACCCTTCCCAAAACTATCTTCTCTCTCTTACTCATCACTTACACTTCACCATCCGCCCTAGTACAAACAAGAACTTCTGTGACCTCTTCGGCTACAACATAGCCTCGTTTTTCTAAATCTGACATTACATTTTAACTCTGCCCAGTTCCCTGCAAACCTCCCTCAACCCCTCAATACGCGTGCTTAATACCTCAATACTCTTGCGTTTTCTGATTAGGAGAATATATAATTTGGAAACTTACTTCTTGTCATGAACTTCACAACAATAATTTTATGGTTTAGAACTATATATTTTAAATAAATACCTCCTCAGTATCTAAAAGATATTTCATCCCTTTGCTAGTATACAGAATGCTAAATATCAGGACAAAAACCAGATCTAACTTCATTCTTAATAAAATAAGAAGAATTATAATTTAAATTTAATTGGTTTTCAACATTTTTATATAACTAAATAACTCTTTCTTCATGGATATATCTACATTTTTATATAACTAAATAACTCTTTCTACATGGATATATCTACATTTTTATATAACTAAATAACTCTTTCTACATGGATATATCTTTATTTTGTAAGTATTTACTAAGTTACATGAATATGCTCATATAATTGTCTTTGGTTAGGGTTGTGTGGGTTTAATTTGTATTGTTATTATTATGTAAGTCATATTTTTGAAAATTTAAACTTGAACCCTGAAACAGTTAAAAAATTTTAGTAATATTACCTGATTTGAACAGTGAAACAAATTAATTGAAATGACTTAAGAATTAAATAAATGGTCATTAAGTTTATTGGTTTCTTAATTGAAAATCTACGGTGATATTTAATAGATAAAAAATAGACAAATCTGCTTATCCCATTTTTTCGTGTTTAGACCTAAACTCACATAAATCTTAAGAAATGAATAAATAATCTGTAAAAAAAATCTTTTACTTGCATAGTTTTGTAAATAATTGGCTTAATAATTGATATACAGAAGTGTACTTATTATCAATTGGATTACTTTCAGGATGATCTAAATTAGTTGTCATTTTTATTGTTATTATTTTTTCTTTTTTAGATCACTGAGCAGTAGGTAAGGATTGTCAGTCTACAAATGAAATGAATAGATTGTTCTAAAATATAAACATGTTAAAAAATATAACAATCTCTATAATTGCATGATCAATATTACATTAATATTTCCAAAACAGTCATAGCTATAGATTTAACAGAAAATAAAAAAATGTTTCATTTCCCCCTCTGGGATTAATAGGAAGTGTTACTTTAACCTGCCACAGTTTTTCTTCCAAAAAAAGTTTAAATGACTTGTGTACTATGCTGCAAGCTAAATACCACCATCTCGAAAATCATATAATAAAAACTTAAGAAAACTGCTTAAATGTTGTATGCTGAAAAGTTAGGGTTTCAAAATATCTTAGTAAAGGAACTGAGTTTTTGCTACAAACTCCGAGTTTTTAATCCCTATATCTTTGCAACCCAATTTCATAGACTTTTGACATTTCAAACTATGAATACTGTTAGATCAAATATTGTAAGTCTGAAATATCACAGGTTTGAACCATCAGGTTACACATATCCATCGTGGTTAGACAATTTGATTTTTTTGGCAGAAACTCAATTCCTTTAAACCAATAATTTAAAGCATGGAGTAATATTTTGAGTATGATTAGATTCTAAAACCCCTCAACCTTTTCTCTGAATCTGATCGGAGTAACAAAATTTTTTTTTTTTTTATTAATCTGTTACTTGAAGAATCTAAAACAAAGCAAAAATAGTTGTTTGTTTTGTCAAGCTAATTAACTAAACATTTTTTTAAATAGGTTAATCAAGTTTTTTTTTTCAATTTTGGCATCCATTTTGAGAAAAGTTCTAAAAAAAAGTAGGTTGATTATTTGAATAGATCATTATTATTTATAGTTAGTAGACAAAAGATTTATATAGATTATCTCTTGTGTACGAAATATGACAAAATTTATGCAGAATCCTTCTTTGTAAAGAAACCCTTTCTCCAATTTGTTTGCTCTCTTCAGGGAGAATCCATAAAATAACTTCAGAGGGAACGAAGGACAGGCTGAAGAATTTTATCAACTGGTAAGACATTCTTGATCTGAAAAAGAATTAAACATGGTTAAACATGTGAGTGAATTTTTTCTTCAAAAACTATATTTCCATATTGAAAAGTTGTTTATTGCATTAAATTATGAAATATCAATAACAGTTAAAACGGGTACTTATGGGAATAATCTAGCACTAGAAACTAAGTTATATTTTGAGTCTGTCCTAGAAACACAATCTCTCTGGGACAAACCCAGGTAATTTCCTAAAGAAGGATTTTGAACCCCCGCACCCCCCCCCCTCCACTATTTATTTTTGACATTACATAGATTTCAACTAATTTAAACAAAATTGATAAATGTTTTACTATTAGTTCAGAGTAAGGTGAGCTGTTAGGACAATTTCTGGGCCACATGCTATGGCTAGGACAGGCTAGGGGGCCGAGCACTGCAGCCCTCTATTACACCTATTTTCATAAAAATTAGTATTTATTGTGTTACATATCAGGGTTAGGTCAGGTTAAAATAGTTTCTGGGCCGAGCACTGCAGCTAGGACAGGCTATATGGCTGAGCACTGAGGCCCCATGGTCTACATGGATATATCTANGGGTCTGAAAATCCTATATTAGGAAATTACTGCCAACTTATTTATATTTATCTTTTGGTCTCAAAAGAAAGGCTGAATTTTTATTTTTTCGTGACACAATTGTTCTTGTATATCATGCTAAGATTTTAAGTATTTTTACATATATTAGATTGCGTAAATCAACTTACTATTTTTTATTAAATGTTTCCGATCAAATATCTTTAGTTTCCAGACATATCAAGTAATTCTTATTTTAAGAATTATTAGTTAGAAGTTTCTCAATACAGAAGTCTATAAATTTCTAAAAAAGTAATTTAAAAATCCGATTTAAGACCGAAATATTTTTTTAATGAAGAAGGATTACTCATAATTTACTAATTTTACTTACGAGGCATTTCAGTTTTGGGACGATAGAAATACATGCAAGCAAAGTTAAATGTAACATTTCTAGAAAGTTTACTATGATTATTAACTTCTTTAAATGACATTAAAAGATGACATTAAGTGTTTCATTGGGCTTTATTGTGTAAGGGATATTGGAAAGCAGTTAAAGATGATGAGGAAGCGTGTTAGACTTTATCTAAAAGGGAAAGGTGAGGAAGTTGAAAATGGGGTATTAGAGATGGTGTTTCAGATTATTGGGAGAATTTGAAGAAGGATTGTATGAATCCTTTATAAACTCAAACTCAAATATTATAATCCCTATATCTTTGAAACCTGATGGTGTTAACCTTTTTATTTTAGACTTAAACTATTTGATGTAACAGATTTCATAGATTAAAATATTTAACGTCTACAACTTTGGGTTGCAAAGATATAGGGATTAGATAATCTGAGTTTGTGGCTAGCACTCAATTCCTTTGATTCTCACTACCTTATTTGTTTTATCATTAAGGGACACAAATGAAATGTTTTGAAATTTTGTTTCAAAGTTAGCTTAAAACTTTAAAATATTGTTTGTTCAGAGCCCGCGACTTAAAAACTTCGGCTCGAGCCGTAATTCCTTAAACCCGACTATAAAACCCAATCTTCAGCACAACTCTGGAAACAGCTTGTGTCACGTGATTGACAGCTGCAAGATCTTCGGTTCGACTTAAGGAATTAGGCACAATGAAAATAAAACCGACCTTAGTTTTAGTGGAGAATAAGGCTCAATGTTGAGTATTGATCTCTTAAAAACCCAGAATGCGTCAATTCCTGCCATGAAAATCCGCCAAATAGAATATTAAACCAGTTTTTTAACTCAACTCTGTGGAAAATGAGCTGCAGCTTGAATCCGAAAGCTTAAGCCGTAAAAAAGAACCAACAACAGCTTAGACCCAAGCCGTATTTTCCCGAATTTTTTAAATCGCGGATGAAATAAAAGGTACACAGGAGGACCAGGTGGAGTAGGTGGACCAGTGGACTAGTTGGACCAGGAGGACTAGCTGGACCAGGTGGACAAAGTGGACCAGGTCGATTGGGGGGACCAGGTGGACCAGTAGGGTTGATAATTGTTTTTGAAAACGATCGTTAAACGATCATTATTTGTTTCGTTTTTTCAATCATTTTCAAAAACGATAGTTTCGTTTTCGAAAAAAAGATTCGTTTTTAAAAACGACCCACTTGTTTTGAACTTTTAGAAAATGATTGACGATCGTTTTTGTTAAAACGATTTGCAACTGTTTTTTATACCATTGTTTAAAAAACGATCACTTTTAAAAAAACTATCGTTAACAAAGGGTTGTCGTTAACGATAGTTAACGAAGCTAAACTTCTTGATATTTTCTTAAAAACTACTGATACGTGCAGATGCCCTTCAGGTCGGTTTACTCTCTTCGTTGACAAAGGGTCGTCGTTCACGATCATTAACAAAACTACAAATTTCATAAAGACGATCATTTTAAAAAACGATAAAATGTTCGTTTTTTAAAACTATCAATTCTAAAAGGACCATTTTTAAAGAACGAACATTAAAAAAACGATCGTTTATGAAAACGATCATTTCATTTTCGATTTTTTGTCCGTGTTCTTAACGAAACGATCCCTTTTCTAAAAAATAAAAACGTTAACATCCCTATGGACCAGGTGGGCTGGGTGGACCAGGATAGATAGGCTTGAATAAGTAAGAATGAGTAATTAATTCTAACTAACCCAAAAATAATATATATATATAGATATGCAGGCAGGTAGAAACCTCCTTCCTAAATTGCTTGTAGCAGACAACTAATTTTTGAACCTCTGAGAAAATGTGCAAGGAGAGACATCTATAGCAAATTGATTACTTTCTATATTCCTTTCTCCCCTTGCTGCTATCTGTAGGAAATACGCATTTGTGTTATATAAACATACAGTACGCGTATTGCATCCTGTATAGTTCAAGTGTTGCTATCTGGACCTGTTTGACCAATAAAATTAAATTTCAAGGTAACACAAACATACAGTACGCGTTTTGCTTATGTTATGATCAGATCAGTTGTAATTTGTCCTAGACTCGATGTACTTTTATAGTCATAATTTTTATTTAAATTGCGTTAATTTACGTATGCCATTCAGTACAACTTGCACATTTAAACTTTGTCTAGTCAAATTCCTACCTCAGTTTTATTTGCATTGATTAATTTGTTTCATTAAGTACAATATGCAGTATACATTGTTGATACTATAGTACGCATTTAGTGTTATCACGCATAAACAAAGTGATAAATTAGCATCAATCCAGAGGATAAAATGCCATGCGTACGACAGAGATGGTGCTGTTTGCACATTTTCTCAAGACCTCTAAATTTATACCTGCCTGCATATCTATATATATATTATCTTTGAACTAACCATATTTTAATTAAATAAAGTATTTATACAAGATGCCATATATTATAATCAAAACAATAATATATGCAGTATGAGGGAGTACACAGTGTACTGCATTTTAGGAATCCAACGTGGGTGAACTGCCACAGGTTCATAATTTTAATGTTTTTTTAATTATAAATAAATTTCTTCTGATCAATCAATCATTTAACTAAAACAATATTTTCTAATAATGAAAGCAATTACCAATTATTTTATTCAACTAAATTAAATTTTTTAATTTGATTTTAAATTTTAGTAGTTAGTTATTTAAATATATCTCAGTATTTAATCTTTCTTTAGCTTTACTTGTTTGTCTTGTCAAATCAGGTATGAAATCATTACATATTTTTCCATTTGTTATTTATTCTTATTATTGAAACATCTAGAACACCCATGCCCACATAATCAGCATTATCTGTTATACTGCCTTGCAAATATAATGAGCTTTGATGAAGTTGGGCTACATCTGATCAACATTAAGATTCGATCTTTTAAAGCCATGGTTAAATAAACAGTTAAATAAAATTGTTCTAAATTCAACTGTTAATTAACATTCCCAATTTAATTATCAGTCTTAACAATTTCAAAAATAGTCAATTGTGCCAGCTGTTAACAATTATTTCATCAACATTCTCAATTTTATTATTGGTCTTAACATGAAAAATAAAACATCAAAATACTTAAAGCAATTTTGTATTTTCTGTTAGTTGCCATCATTTGAAACACTTCCATTTGTTGATATTCTTTATTTTTTAAGAACAGCTATTTCTGTTTGTTAACAATTTTAAAATTAACATTTTTTGGCTCAATGTTATGATAATTCAATCCCAGTCTCAGTTGTTCTTACTCAAATGTTGTTGAACATACCATGTAAGTTTCACTTTGTAATCCTACTACAGCACCCCTCTTTGCATCCCCCGTTGGAAAATCCTGGCTACTCACCAGCCAACAGCATATGTAATTTATAACTAAGGTAACTAGGTAAAAGGGGTTCATATATATTTATAGTAGATGAACCTAATAATTGTTCTGCTATTATTACAAATCCTTGGAATAACTCCAAAACATTACCTTTTAGAAACTAATCAGGTAACACACCTAACCACTTAATTTTCAATTCTTTTTACATCTTTTATGCAGGACATGCTGCGAGCTGAAACTAAGCAGGTAACTTAAAAAATATAATTTCTTGTCATTTTACCCTAGATTATTTTAAGGAACAACAGGGCAAGGAGTCTGATTACATAGACTTACCTCCTCTTCCTATTCCTACCCTGAATATACCAGGGCTCACGCCAAGCAGAATGCCAATGGGAGGAAATGGTACAATGATGGGAATGATGAGAAGACCTGGACTCATTGAACTGGGTGGACCGGGACTCTTTGGACTGGGAGGATTAGCTGAATTAGCAGGACTACTTGGACTTGGAGTTGGTGGTGCTGCACTGCTTGCAGGGGACTAGCCAGGAGCAGATATCTTTAATAAATTCTGCTTGAAATATCAGACCTACCTGATTATATTAGAGTTTATTTCAAAAAGAATATTTACTCATTGAAATAAAAAGAATGTGAAACTATTATGAAGACCAGAGAAGTGTAAAGCTGGGCAAAGTCCTGTTAACAAAATGGAGGTTTTCTGTAACATATGGAAGCATCTGACGTTTACAAAATTGTTAATTTTAAAATCTCTAAGCTTTTAGGGCCATTCCACCCATCTTCTTGTATAAACATTTTTTTTTATTTGCCAATTTCATAATATTTTTCAGGCATTTTAAAAATTTTATGAAATTAAATAATTTGAGTTAAAAATATTTTAAGATTACATATTTTAAGTCTGATAAACATCCCTGGGGCTACTTGAGGTCCCACACAAAATTTGGGCCTGATCAGTTCAGCCAATTTGACGGTTATTGCATACAAATAAACAGACACCCAGACAAGCTAAATTTCTATAGTCAAAATAGATCAAATATGAGGAAAGGATTATTTAAAAATTTAGAGTGCATGGAGAAAAAATGCTAGATTTGCTGGTGGATTTAAAATCCATGAATTGTTTTCATCAGAGCAGGTTTAACTTAAAAAATGGTTACATTTCATTACTATAAAACTCTTTAGCAATGCATTTATAACTTTTTTTTAAAATATGACAGCATTTAATCCACTCTATTCATTTCACTTTTAATACAAGTTGAAGAAAATTGGATAAAAGATCAGTTCCCTTTTGAGAGGAAACCAAATGGTTTCATTCTCATGCAGGATTTGGCTAACAAAGGTAAATTTTCAAGATTTGTTGAAATTTTATAATTGAAAAATTTAATGCAATTTGAAAAGTTTACATATAATTAATGACTGAGAAGAATAATGATGCGTGATAGAATTTTGACATTTGAGGAAAATTTATGAAAAAAATATTTAGAACCTTTTAGGTTGTTAACTTGTTATGATCATGTATGAGCACAAGGAGGTAGAGGCTGCAAAGCATCCATGAACCCAACAAACTGACCTCCGGAGCCTTAAAATTCCCAGAATGACCTCCTAGCCAATCAAGATCATCTCCGTGAATCATGCTATGTCTTGTAGGCTCCCAAACTCAACTCTGCCTCAATAACAAACATTTGGCTTTTTACATACAGAGCCTTCTTTTAGAAAAATCTCAACATAATGATAAAGTGTTAATGGTATACATAAACAATTTTTATTAAAAAGTCTACTTTCATTGAAATTTAAATTAAATATCTAATCTTCAAAACTTTTATTCTGTAGTTAAACTCAAAGCATCAACAGATTTGGGAATTAACAAAGGTTGCTCTAAAAAGGAAAAAAAGTGTTTTTAACTTATATTTAAGATAATTGCATATAGAGCATGATCTCAATTATTTTTTTCAGTATAGATACGGTGAATGATAGAGGAAAAGAAGTAGTGGTCTTGTTGTTTAAGATGTGACAAATGACAGTTTAGGGAGTCAGTAGTCAAATCTAAAAGAATATGAAGATAATCAATATCATTTATATTCCATTATTTAAGGATGAGGATTAAGAGATGCTACTGCTTAATGATTATAAACTTGAAGAGATCACTTTAAATAAGATAAACACTTTCCATAAATTCAAATTTTTTCAACCCTTTATCAGAGATTTCAAACTATTAATGTTGGTAGATAAAATAGTCCTTACATCATTAATTTTCAAGATTTCCAAGGAATGAGAAAAATAAGAATTTTTGGTAAGTGTACAGTTCTGTAGGTTAGCAGAGATTAGGGTTTCCTCCGTAATAGATTCTTCTCTTACACGTAATTATGCGCAGTTACGCGTGATAATTTTCATTTTGTGTAATTTCGCATGATTTCTCGTAATTGGGCAAATATCCATTTTGCAAAATTCCGCGTAATTTCTAAAACATAATTTGGCAAAATTTTGTTATGATCACGCGTAATAAGCGAAACTATAAATTACGCTTAATTACGGCGTAATTTCGCGTCATTTCTACAACGTAATTTCACGAAATTTTGTAATGATTACACGCAATAGACGAAACTATAATTACGCGTAATTACGGTGTAATTTCGGCGTAATTTTGCGTAATTTCTAAGAGGTAATTTTGCGAAATTTTGTATTAATTACGCGCTATTAGCGAAACTTCAATTTCACAAAATTACGCCGTAATTTCTACAAAGTAATTTTGCGAAATTTTTAACTTTTAATTTAAATAAATCAACTAACTTACAAGGAAAATAATGTCATGCAAGTTGAATCAGAAATTTCAGCCAATACTATGTTGATGTAATTTTCATGTTCGACAACTAAAAAGTTTAACAAATGGCCAACAATTTATTTTTATCAAAAAAAAATACATAATCTATGAATTTTCAATTTTCGACGACTTGTTAATATTTCAACCTTCTTTCTCAAGTTTACCTTCCTTGTTTGAAAAAAGTGTCAATAAAATTGTCAAAATATGTTTGACATGGTTGTAGCAGGCATATCCTTACACTGTTACACATACTTTCCCGCTAAAATTATTTCTGAGAATTAATATGTACTTTATTTATTACGGAATTTTTTCGTATTACGTAATTTTGCGTAATTACACATTAATTAGTCAAAACTAGACTTTCTTTCATAAATGTAATAAACGCGTAATTAAGCATAATGCTCCTGCCTAAGTGAAAGAAAGTGTTATGCGAAACATAATTACAACTGGAAACCCTAGCAGAGAAACTGTTACAAGTAATATTCTATTAAATCAGATTACTTAGTTTATTTTATCACAAACAAAAAGGTTTTAAATGAACAATTGGAAAATGATATCTTTAACTATAGTTGTAATTTTGAATCATTTTAGCATACATTTTGACAATGTAAACTGTAAGCTTTGCCCAACTTACTATTCATTAAACTTATGTTTATATAATCTTAACAACATGTAATTGTTCATAAAAGTAAAAAAAAGTTTAATTATAAACACAATTCAATAAACCCATGGTTGATCCTGCAGCTGCAGTCCCCCGACCCTGGTTGCCTCAAGTATATAGTACATCCAGTAAACCTTCAACACCTCCTTTTCCTTTTCCACCTCCTTTACCCTTCCCACCTAGCTTACCCTTTCCGCCTAGCTTTCCCTTTCCACCCAGTTTACCTTTCCCACCTCCTTTACCTTTTCCAACCCCTTTCCCTTTTCCACCTGCTTTGCCTTTTCCGCCTCCTTTGCCTTTTCCACCGAGGAATGCTTCTAGTGGGAAACCTGGTGCACCCGGTAGGGGAGGTCCTGGTGGACCTGGTGGTGGAGGAGGAGGTGGAGGAGGGGGCGGCGGAGGAGGAGGAGCAGGTGGAGGACCCAATAATGAGGCCAAAAATTCAAAGAAATAATCAGTTCCATTGGTACCTCGTGCATGTTCCTTTAATTTGTAATGTTAAAGAAATAACATATTTTGTCCTTTAAATTACCTGCTCTGTTCCTACTAAGTCAGTGTTGCCTCTTTTCCCTGTTTCCTAAAAAGTAAAGGAATGTCCAAATTATGGATAATTATCACAGAAATTTAAGAAAATAACATATTCATTTAATCAGAAGCTTTTTTACTTTTCTTAAGTTGAGGGTAATATGCCAGCAAGGACCTCTTGACACACAGTTTGGGGGTTTTATTTAAGTCTCTGTGTTAGGGCTGGGCACGTTCCGACTGTTTTGAAATCGTTCCGTTCCGTTCTAGAACGAGGGCCTTCAGCTAAATCGTTCCGTTCTCGTTCCTCTTTTTTTTATCGTTCCGTTCTCGTTCCGTTCCGTTCTGAGTAGAAGCACGGTCTTCCCGTTCCGTTCCGTTCTTGGTGTTCTTAGTTGAAGAACGGTTGCATCCCTCTTGTTCTGTTCTTAATTAAGAACTTTTCCATCCACCGTTCCGTTCTTAGTAACGGACAATTACATCAAAGACAAAAGTTTTATAGAAAAGAGTTGGTTAAAAAGTAAAAATTACAATTTTTAAATAAAAAGTTCCTCACGGCCGTAAATAATACTTTAAATTATATATTTTAAATTTAGGGTTAAAAGAATAAGCTTAGATAATAATGTTTAATTTTGTGAGAGCGGGGGGGAGGGGCGGGAGTGCTTATATCCTTAATATGTATGTACGATACCTGCTGTTTAGTCTGAGTATTGCCAGTTTAGCAAAGACCAGGGAAGGGGGGGGGGTATGGGCGGTTTAAAGTGGTGATTTAAAATGCGTTCCCAACTTAGAACAAGTTCTTGATAAAAAGAACGTGTTAACGATTTTAACCATTCTTTTCAAGCAATTCCCGTTCCGTTCCGTTCTTTTACTAATCGTTCCAATATTTTTAAGAACGCGTTCTAAGCGTTCGTTTTTTTTTCGGAACGATCGTTCCGTTCGTTCTCAGCAAAGAACGATCGTTCCACCGTTAACGCGCCCAGCCCTACTCTGTGTAGCCACTAGCCACTGTCCACAAGTTACTTTTTTTATATGTGGAGAGGTATAGGTTTTCAGATAGAAAAAATGTCCGCTCTATTTATTGTTTTTTCCAAGGAGGTGTGGATAGGAAATCCACGTACTGCTATTTTAGGAAAAAGTAAGTAAGGAAATAGGTCTTTTTTCCTTTATGCACTGAATTGGGGCGCTAAAGATGGTCTCATAGGACAGCTGTTGGTTCCTGTGGGTTGATCTTTCTTCTTAGGTTCACAACTTTAGCTTTGGAATTAGTTAATGGTTTATTTTTCCTGCCATCAATAAAGATTTGACTGTGTAGACCAATTGAACAGAGAAGGTCAGCAACTAGCATATTTTTGGTGAACTGGTGTTCCAAAATGCTGTGCCTGTACCTGTGGACTAAGGTTGGTTCTCCTGTTAGGTGGTATACTTACCTACTTCTAAATAAACCGGAATAAGTGTAATTGATTGAATTAGTCGTCTTTGACCTTAAAAATTGGTTGTGGCATACCTTATAGGTAACCTAAAATGTGGTCTGAGCTGAAAACTTTGGAATATATGATATCCTTAATCCCGATCTAATTAATCTGGAGATTTTATTCATGGGGGAGAACAAACAATATTTAATCTGGAGATTAAGAAAAAGAGTGTAAAAGCATTAATCCCGATATCCACCTTTCTAAAGTTCCCAGCTCTGCTATCTTTTAGTTTTCACCATTACCGAAGAAATCAATGATTATGTCAGAATCACTGTTTTTTAAAGCAGACAAATGCCAGAACATTTCGGAAATTGCAGGACTAGGGCTATTTTCTAATTATTATTATTAGGTTGTCTTTAATGAATGTCACAAATAATTTTTTAGGTCAAAGATGACCTTAGGTCTTTAATCAATTTAAATTTTTTCGCTTTATTTAGAATATTCAAAAAACCATGTCTTTATGATACCTGCTTTGGTTCTGCTAGATTATCTCCAGAGTAAAAAGATTTTAAAGAATAGGAAATAAAGTTCTCTACATGTTACCTTGTTAGTTTCTATTAGGTAATGTTTCGGACTTATGCCAACACTTTGGAACAATACCAGAACAATGATAAAGTTCATCTTCTAAACAAATGCTTTAATCTTTTAGAGATTTGTAAATAAAAAATGTTTCAATCTGATTGGAAATATAAATAAAATGACTTCATGTTCAGATAATTTAGCTTTGTAATGAATGTTTGTTAATAGTTAAGAAATGACAACTTTGTATCCCTACAACTTATGTAAACTCTATCAAGATTTCATACTTGATTTTTGTTGTATCTTCCTGTATTAGACATTACAAAATCTAAAAAACTGATAAGTTAATCTTATTTTGATGCTTACTTCAATGTATAATAAAATGAAATATTGATAATTTATTTCAGTTATTCTACTGTTCCCCACTCATGACAGTCAGTAAGTCACTGAAAAATTATTCTAAAAAATGTAATATGAGTTAATAGAATAATCAGCAACAAATTAAGTCAAGAAATTAAATTTCTTAACTTTTCCTAAATATATTTTCCCAAATCTTAGAAATTTTTTTTTCCATGACTGCTTGAGGGTCCTGGCAGTCATAGAATAATTAGCACTAAATTATGCGAGATGAATGCATAAAGTGTAATAAAAATATTCAAACTTTTTCTAGCAGTGCAAATGATAAAGTGTTAACCATATTCCTGCTGGAAGCCCTTTGGTTTTTTTTAAACTATAAGCCTTGGAAAGCTTTAATATCTTGATTTAATTTTTTTTTATGACTGCCTGAGGGTCTAGGCCTACTTCCTGAAATAAGCCTGTTTTACCTCCTTTATAAAATTGTCTGATTTTGATGATCCATAGCTTTTTAGAAAAAATTGAAATTCAGGAGAAAAATAATCTTGAAAAATTTGCCCTTTTTTACAAACATTTTGCATAAATTTTGTCACAAAATTTGCACTAAATCTGACAATTATTTTATTTACTCAATAATAGAAAGTTGTATGTTTTTGTTAAGCTGATGAAAGAGTATTATAGTAGTTGAAAGACCTGAAGCTCTCTTGAGAGGAATCTTCCATAGCTGTCCTGTCCTCACAGCTGGTCAAGTAAAAAAATGGTATCATTGTGCATGGCTTGGATACCAATCAAGGTTAAACTCCTTCTTTCAGTACACCAAGCAGAAGATTAAGTTTTGTTTTAATCTATGTACATTCCTTGTTTCCCATGTAAGAAATTTTTTCAAAATACTTTTGCTATTCTTTAAGAAAAGTTGCCTCAAAAATGTTGGACTCAGTGTTGGTTAGTAGTTTTGACATTTATTGGATACAAACAAACAGACACCCAACCAAATATAGACTAGAATTACAAGGCGCTTTGCGCCCCCTCTTTCAGTAATACTTTAAGGTTTGAATGTTCATCTTCTGTTAAAAGCAGCCATTTTTTCTTCATATTTGTAAAATTCAGTTTAAAATTTTTTTCTGTTTATTTTGTTATTGTTTTTAGATCTAAATAGTTTTATTTACACAAAATAAGTAGCATGAGTTTGATTACAAATTTACATAGTGTTTTTTTTTAATGAAATATAATTACAAGGCTCTTTTGATTTTGTGTGTGGATATTAAATAGGGTCTCATTTTATTGGAAAATCTTTTTCACATTTAATGTAAGTGCAGTGCATATGTTTACTAGATGTGTGATCTACTAGTGGTGCGGATTGACTGAACAATGGTTAACATGTTCAGTTTCATCCACTGGGTATGAGTCCCTCTGTTTGTTTCCAAACACAATGTCCTATGTCTAAAGGTTTTTCCGATCTAAGCATAAGGGACCAAGGTTTATCACCATTACATGTATGCCACAATTAATTTTTGTCCTTCTCTCTATATATAGTGGCCGTGTCTATTTCCAAGTTCATTTTCTCATTCAGTTGGGATTCTGCAGGTGGATGTTTTTATTTTCAGGTTTATTTGGATGTTGGTCACATATTTAAGCTTTGAAAATTTTATTAATTTTTTATTTAATATTTAATTTACCGTCCCCAGTTAAAAAAAATTGTAAGTTGTTTTTAAATTATGTATTATCTCTTCCAGTTTATGATTTAACAATTTCTTATTTATTGTTATTTATTTTTGCTACAACAAATAAACAAATAAACATATAACATATAACATAACTTACGTAGCATGACCAATTAAACCAAGATTGTCAGTTTTTTGAAGGTATTCAAATAAAAATTTGAGGTCTACCTTTCCCCCTTCGTTTACCTTTTCCCCTCCGTTTACCTTTTCCTCTCCGCTTTTTCTTTCCCTTTTTGTTGCCCCCTCCACCAATTCCATTTATTGGAGAACCTGGAGGAGGAGGAACAGGTTCACACCCTAAACTAAGCTTTCGGAACATATATGTAGTGATTTGTAGTACTCTGATAGAATAGAAAGTGGGAGTTGGTGGAGAGTGAGTAAATAATGACAATAGCGCAGATAAAATGAAGAAATAATCTGTCCCATCTTCTCTGTTTGCTAGTTCCTGAAAATTAACAGATTGGAGAAGATATATAAAGTTATTGTCTTTATTCTTTAAGTCACCTGTGCTGATAACTTTAGAATGATGGATATCAAGATTAATGCTTAAACTCCTGGTTTTACTAAACCCGGGATTACTTTAATACACATTTTATATCCAAGAAAGAAGTATAAAATTCTACTAATAAGGGGTTTGAAAACCGGTTTTTTTTCTGGTGTTAATTGCAATTGAACTAAACATTGATTAAATAAATGTAAGTTTTGGATTAACGTTTGTTAAGACCAACGTTTAAAATGATGATAGTCCTAAAATGTGATAAAATATTTTTTTTAATAAGTTTATATTAACATGTTTAATTTTATATTTGCTTAAATGCTCTAAATAACACCTTGTGATCAGCTGAGTTTAATTCAATCGATATATGATTGTATCTGTAATTGTTATCAAACGTAACTTTTATACAGTAAGGATATCCAAAAAAGAGGATTAAGAATAAAATCAAAAGTGTGTACATTGGATACTCAGATTAAGCGATCAGGATTAAGGATATCTCATTCTAAAGTTTTCAGCTCTGATCAAGTTTGTCAAAGACCGTGCCATTTTCTCCGTTTACCATTTTCTTAAAAACAAGGAATAGAAAAAATAGAACATGTTTCCTCTTCTTACCTGAAAAGAGGTTACAAGAGTTGTACCAGGGCCTCCTTGAACTTTTTCCTGAAATTAGATTTAAAAGAATTGGCCTGAAACAAAAAATTCAACATTTTTTGTATAATTGTGTCATCAATTTTATGGAAATGTATAAAAATAAACTCTTGTGTCAAGGTAGAAAAAAAGATAGAAACTATACTTTTCATGATACCTGCTTTGGTCTTCCAAGGCTAGAACCATTGACTTCATGTACCAAGTCCTTAAGATTACATAAGCTTAAAAGAATTAGAAAACTTCTTTCTTTAAGGCATTACTTGAAAATTTTGAAACTGGCGGATTGATCTACTAAACTTGTACCAGCTGGTACTGTACTGTACTTCATTGGCCTAAATTCTGCTCTGTACAAGTTATCATATTTGATCAATTAAATGTACAATCAAATGTTACCTGTACAAACCTTTCAAGGTCAGTGCCATTTTCTCCTTGTCTCAATTTCTAAAAAATGAATTAATATAAAATAATTCAATATTCTATTGTTCATGTTACCTGCTGAGTTTCAACTAGGTAATGTTTCTTGCTAATGCCCACATTTTGAAACAAGAGCAGTACAAGGATTGGAGTCATCTGAACAAAATCTAAGAGTATTGATTGATTATTGTTGTCAACTTCTAAACTAAGCATATGTTCTTCACTCAATTCAAAAGATTTGATTTGATTTGAAAAGTGTGATAGCTGAGTTTGTCACAGGTCTAGGTTCTTTTACTTGATCAGACAAAACTTTTTCTGGGTACCGTTGTCACTTGAAATAAGGCTTACAGGAATCAAATCTTTGTAATAGCCATAGATAAAGATAGACTGCGCATAATTTTTCATCTTGAATGATATAAATGTACAGAGATGTTTTAAAGATATTCCTATTATATAGATTAACTAGGTCAGTTGTGGTGTACATGAGTTCTGTAGAGAGAAATTTAAGTTAGTTTAGTCCCTCTCATGTCCTTCTTCAGTTCTCGTCAATATGATATATTGCTTAGTGAAATATTGCTGTTCAAATAGTTCCATTCTCGGAGTTATTTTACACTCTATTATGAAATCCATTAAAACACCAAACCACCCCACTTATCATTGAAGTACACTTTGACCCCTAGAAGTATGAGTTCGAGGACTGTACAATTCTTGGTGATTTTGCGTACATAGGCTATCTATGTTTATTTATTTTTCTATGGCAATAGCATTTCCAATTTCCATAAAATGACAATTTTTTTCAAACGTTTTTGCACATCTTTTCCGCAAAAAGCGCAATAAGTTTTGCACAATTTGCGCAAAACATGATATTTTAAAGTAAATTGATCAAAATTAATAGTTTCAGCACAGCATCAAATAGCAAAAAGTTTATTTAAAATTTACCTGTAAACAAAATTGATGAATCAGGCATTTATGTCTCAAAGAAACATAATTATTATTTAAAAAGGTTTTAATCTCTGTATTTTTGTAACATGGTGGGTGTTTTTTTGAATATTTGAAACATAAACTATAAATTGATCTAACAGAATTCATAAGTTGGAATGGTAAAGGTAAAAAAACCAGAGTTTTGGAATGAAAACTTCCTTTAAATACAGTAAGTGCTATAGATGCTGAAAAAAATCTAGACCTTCTGTCTCAAGTCTTTGTTTTTGCAACTTTCTGACTTTGTGACTTTTTAATTTTCAAGAATCTTTGAAATTTTTTTCAATCCAATTTCATTTTTATCTGCGCCGCGAAGGGTCGCAAACTTAATCACCTTGAAGAAAAATCCAGATCCTGTGTTTCTGCGACTTTTTGAATTTTAAATTTTCAAGAGTTTTTTTAAATTTTTAAACCAATTTCATTTTAAAAAAGTCACAAAGTAAAAAGTCGCAAAAAGACCTAGTCTGAATTTTTTTTCAAGGTGGATAAGTTTGCGACTCTGAAATTGGATTGAAAAAAATTCAAAAATTCTTGAAAATTAAGAAAGTCACAAAGTGAAAACGTCGCATAAACACAAGGCTGGAACCTGACATATATCACACTTTCTTGGTGGGCGGTTTACACCACTTTAACAGTATAAATGCAGATATCCACTTCAAGCAAAAGGAAATTTTACAGAATAATGTTTTCAATCATAACTCTTCTTGTTGATAAATTATTGAGAAGAACAAATATGAATTTAAGTTATGATATGTAGCTGGATAAGTTTGACTTCCTAATATTTGTATTTAAAATCAAAACTAGAGAAGCTATGAGGTCACAATGTTGTAGATTAGAACGCAAAAAAAGAAGATTTAACTGAACTAAATACTTATATTACCTACCTTCTGTTTTTACAAAGGACATTCGCCAATCAAGTGAAACAATAAAATATAAAACTTAAATATGACATAACGAATTCATTAGTTTTAGATAGAGATGGACATCTTTTTTTAAACAAACGAAGTTTTTTCATGAAAAAGGGTATCATTAAAAAAAACTAATGATGAATGAACAAAATGGATCTTTCAGAAAATGAATAAATGATCGTTTTTAAAAACGAACAATGTTTTCCTACAGTATGTTTGGCTCCTATATTAAGTTTTGTTTTCCTGCAGTATGCTTGGTTCTTACAGTATATTTGGTTCTTACAGTATGTTTTTCTTCCTACATTATGTTGTTCTTCCTCCAGTATGTTTGTCTTCCTCCAGTATGTTTGTCTTCCTCCAGTATGTTTGTCTTCCTCCAGTATGTTTGTCTTCCTACAGTATATTTTATTCCTACAGTATGTTTGGTTCCTATAGTATATTTGGTTCCTTCAGTATGTTAAAACTGTAAATGATTTTATAATTATTAACAAATTCATAAACTAATTATATTTATTATTTAACGAAACAAACATTAAAATCTTAAAAAATTAAAAAACAAAACCCAACGACTTAAAATGGTTTACACAAATTTTTTTACTGTACAAACTAATTTTCCAAAAGTTTATGAAAATACCATAGTTTTTATTACATGAACATGTTTTTACCAAATTAATAAAAACAATATTTTTTTGATTGAAATTTATTTTTTCAAACAAACTTTAAAAAAAAGATATTTTTTTAACTGAATTGGAATGATTTATTTGAAGGAACGATCGTTCAGTGAGTAATCAAACGAAATAGATGGAAAATTAATGATAATTTTAAGAACAAATTGAATCAAACTTTTTTGAAGCAATTGAAAAAGCCGAAACGATCAAAATGAAAAAAGCCGACCGCGTCCATCTTTAATTAGAGAACATTGTCAGATAAGTGAGAAATATATATTTTCAATTAAAAAGAATTCATTAATTCTTTTTCTCAAATCAATTCAAGCTGTGGTAAAATGTACAGGGTGTTTAAAAAAATCCGCTCTATGAGACAAAGTAGCACTTTTGGACATTTTGATCACTGGATATCAATAAGAGGTATACAGGGTGCGTGCGGTATTCTTCTACCAAATTGATATATCTCTAAAACTCACAATGGTATTTTTTTCAGTAAATTCAGTAAATACTTTGAAGATTAAAGTGATAAGGGACTGTATTGCGTTGTAAGGAGTTCTATTGACATCCTTCTCGACGCAGGACTACGCAAAATAATCAAGGGGATATAAACCTGGGAAGTTGATGGGCCACAAGTTTGTGTCCCAGACGTGCTTCATGTGCACCCTGCAACCCATATCCTCTTCTGCTTCATTGCAATGCTAATAAACTGGCACCTTCTATAGATATTCAATTTATACCCTATCTTCATCTTCACAATCTTCCTCACCAGCCAATCGCTATTGCCCAGCAACCTCGCGATCTGCCTGATGAACATGCCCAGGTGGTCATCGATCATGTTTTGCATGTTATGGAAGATTTCCTGGCTGTGACTGTTCCCTTCAGCGATGATTTTTTTTTCCAATTTCTAAGAGAGGCTTTCTGGCTGGCCTTAATTATCAAATAAATGCCGGAATTTCAATTGAATTTTCAAAAGATACATGCTTAGAGAGCCCTGTGCTTGCCTGAATCTCCCTGCTAGTCTTCCTGTCGCGCAACAGGGTAACAACAATCCAGCTGTTGGTCATTGCCGTAGCCCCCACTAGTCAAGATATCCAATTAAACCTGGATCAGCTGATCAATTTACAACATTTCAAAAATTCATTTTCTTCATGACTAAAAATTGATTTTAATTTGGTCTGCACATACCGCTAGCACCCTGTAAAGCACACAAATTTAAGAAGTAAGAGGAGTTTGAAATTTGACATTTTGGCTTGGTTGAATTTTATCGCATAAATTTCAATTTATTGACTAAAACCTTAAAATTCTTATTCTGAACATATTAATTGATATTCTTGGTAATGGTGAAAACCAAAAAATTTCCATGGTGATATCCCAGTTGACTCCCAGTTCTGTGGTGATGTCCCAGATGACATGCAGTTCTGTGGTGATGTTCCAGACGACTCCTAGTTCCATGGTGATGTCCCAGATGACTCCCAGTTCCATGTTGATGTCCCAGACGACTCCCAGTTCCGTGGTAATGTCCTAGTTGATTTCCAGTTCCATGGTGATGTCCCAGATGACTCCCAGTTCCGTGGTGATGCCGCAATTGACACCCACTTCCGTGATTCAGGCTACTCCCACTTATGTTATGTTGTAAGGTCCCAAGAGAGTACTACCATTTGTGAGAACCCAGGAGACTCCCATTTTTGTTGTGAGGTCCCAAGATACTCCAACTTCCCTGGTGAAGTTACAGAAAACTCCCCAGTCTATACTAATGTCCCAGAAAAAGTCTTTATCCAGTTCCAAGAGGACTTGTCAGTCATCTGCGCAAAGGGAAAGGGAGCAGAGAAACAAACAACATAAAAAAATTGAAGAATTAAATGCATATTTGGCCGTGGAGTGCAAAAAATAATGTATTTTAAAATAGTAATCTATTGTAATGATGAATTTAATGAAACCTAACTATAAATTAGAATGTATGCAAATGATAAAGCTTTGTTAAAACAAATATTTAGATATTAATTTTCCTCTTTAATATGTTCTTCTTTTTTCTTATTTATCTCATTTACACTTTAAGGCATTTCCTAATTACTCTGGAGCAGGTAGGAGAGATTACAAAGTATTTTTTTAAAATGAAATATAATTACAAGGATATTTTGATTTTGCTTGTGGACAATGAATAGGGCCTCATTTTATTGGAAAAACTTGTTCACATTTATTGCAGGTGCATATGTTTACTAGATGTGTGTTCACTGTTCAACTTGTGAACGTGGTGCGGATTGATTGAGCAATGTTCAGTTTTCATCCACTGGGTATGAGTCCCTCTGTCTGTTTCCAAACTTAATGTCATATCTCACAAGGTTTTTCTGATCTAAGCACAAGGGACCAAGGTTTATCACCATTACATGTATGACACAATTGATGTTTGTCCTTCTCTCTATATATAGTGGCCGTGTCTATTTCCAAGTTCATTTTCTCATTCAGTTGGGATTCTGCAAGGTGGATGAGTTTCTACAGAACCTTGAGTATCAGTTTTCTTCTTTATATTTAACCCTAAATGTTTGCCTTCTTCAGTCAGGTTTACATGTTGTATAAATGTACTTCAGGCAGTATTGGCAAACCTGTTTCTGTTATCAGGTTTATTTGGCTGCTGGTCACATATATCAGCTGAATTTACATACCCTGTTCCAGAAGGTTTTCCTGCAGCCAGAATATTTTTCGCCAGCCAGGCAATTTTCTTTCCCTGTCCTTTCTAATTTTGGAAGGCTTCTTTTTTTTCCTTCCCATGGAACCTGAGGTCTAGGTATGGAGGAGAAGGTGGAATCTTGGGGTCTATTGACTGATGAGAAGGTAAGTGTTTCCTTCCCATTCTCAGTCTCCAGAGACATGCTAGCCTGGAATTATACTGATATACACTAATTGTATAATCTTAGGATAACATGTAGGGTTTCTAGTGAAAAGGAAAAATTGTTTTGAAAACATTTTTTTGCAACCGTTTTGCTTTAATTTTGCATTTTGTTCTCTGGCGAAAATTGCCAAAAATGTGAAATTGCTGCAAAATATAAAATGCAAAAATGTAGCAAAAAAATGCTAAAATTTCGCAAAATATGCAAAAAATAGTGTGAAAATTTCACAAAGAAAATGGAAATTATTCAAAAAAAAACCAAAATATAATAATATAATAACAAATCCAAAAATTTAATGAACAAGTTGCGAAAATTCATCAAGAAAGAATTTTGAGAATACAAGACTCATTTTCAAGGAGGGATTGATCTGCGAGCCCAATTAATGGGTTAACACAAAATATAAATATAGCTTTAAAAACCACTAGGAGACATCAGACAGTTCATAGATTTGCTTGAAAATACTTTCTCGACAGTTAAGATCTTTCTTCTTAAAACACAATATAAATTCTACTACAAGAAGAACCAGAACAATTCAGAAACTTAAAAAGATATCTAGTGAAATCAAATTCTCTTCATCAAACATTTATAGGAAGAGAAATTATTTATATGACATAATATAACTTCAAATATTGAGCTATAAGAGCAGAGAATTCCACAAGTTATTTTAAGCAATTACTTGTTGGAGCTATAAAACTCATGGTTTTTACGAAATTTTTGCATCTTGCTCTAGCTCTAGTGTACTGCAGCTGTTAGCGAATGCAGATAAAATCTCACCCCTGCACAAGACAGTATTTACCCCTGTGTTTCGATGCTGCTGTAGACATAAGAAGCGTCAGCAGAATCTAGTATTTTGCATTATATGTTATGTATCCGGTTTTTAACTGTACGGCGTCATTTCTTTCTAGAATATTCAGTGTAATCTAATCTTTCAAAGAGACAGTATATACTGATATTTATATGATTATAGTGAGTAGATTCCAAGGACCACAGTGGTGAGTTCTTCTATTTATTATTCTTAATGATGTCAATTTTATGTTACCCTTTTAAAATTCTTCTTCACAGTTTTTTATCGCTGAGTAGATTATAATTTCTTAGGATATGAAATTTATTAAGATTTGATTTACTTAAGCTTTTCTGTGATACATGTATATATGTTGATTCTAATCGAATTTATATTTCCCAGATTGAATCCTTAAATATATGTAGAAGCTTTATCATGAGTTTTTATGGAGATGTTATCTGTTAGAAGAGAGGGTTCCATTTCAAAGATCCATAGGAATACTAGCCGGTATATTTTCGTTCTTTTTTAAGCCACTAGGGTGGTTTCGAAACAGCAGCATTTACAAACGGTTGTGTTTGGTTCCAAGGTCAGCTGAATACTTTTAAGATCTAGCTATTTATTTATGCATGGAGGTTTTTCCATGTTTACAAATTTGTTTATATGGATTTATCAAAAAACTTTTATACAATGTTATCATGTACATACATTTGTAAATTAATTAAGAAGAAATCTAATAGTTTACGGATACATTTTTTCGTTTTTTCTTGCCAAAATTGCTACTAATTTTATTGAAGAAGCAACAGTTCAAAAGAAAAATCTACATTATATATGATAGGATAGCATACTTTTATGGAATATGACTGGGAGATACTACAAACACAGTGTGTGTTATCTCTTATTGGAAAAGGCTACAAATAACTGTGTGCATGTTTTCACATAAACATACACGGGATCGAGTTTTCTTTTTATACTAAAGAAAATTGTTGTTAGCTTCATAACGAGAAACATTGACCGTTCATCGTTAATGTTGAGGATACATAATTTAGGATAAAAGACAAGATCATTATAGTTGAGAAATATATTTATATCAAGGAAGATCGACTTTTATTAGATAAAGCCACAAATAACTATGTGCATGTTTTAACTGCCACAAATAAATTTGTGCATGTTTTTTTTAGTGGAAGTATTAATAGTTTCAACAGCGAAAAGATTAAAGAAGTATAATATAATTTTTATTTATGCAATTTGCTTCAGGAATCAATCATTCAATCAATCAAACAGTAGAAATTGAAAACGAGATTGAAGCTAGACTCAAAAAAAGATTTATGTTGAGGAATTTAAGTCATGATATGTAAATAATTAAGAGTTTTTTACATTCAGTATAGTTAAATAAAATTTGAGGGTGTGCTTGATTTAGACTTAAAGCCTCAATCTAAGCTAAGGAAGATTCGAGTGTGGGGGGTTTTTATTTTAAACGATGCAGACCGTCATGAGGTAATATTACACAAGAGAGCTTATCCTTTGCTAGACCTTTTTAATCTTACAAGTTCACAGTTCCATACGTCCACCTTCTATATATAAAAAGAGATAAATTAATTTATGAATTCAAGTTAGTTCCTGCACAGAAGTTCTATTTTTACCGTTATATTTACGGTGAAAAAGTTCCTCTCCAAGATCAAACAGCCCGGAAGAATACTGCTATTTTTAGTATGACAACATGTTATACTTCTCCTAATGTTTAATCAAGCATTGAAATTTTTAGTCGCATTTAATATTTAATTTACAGTGCTCAGTAAAAAAAAGTAAGCTGTTTTTAAATTTTGTATTTTCTCTTTCAGTTTATGGTTGAACAATTTCTTATATATTGTTATTTATTTTTGCTACAACAAATTTATACAAATAAACATATTACATATAACATAACTTGCATAGCAGGACCAATTAAACCATGATTGGCAGTTTTTTAAAGGTATTCAAATAAAAATTTTAGGTCTACCTTTTCCCCTCCGTTTACCTTTTCCCCTCCGTTTACCTTTTCCTCTCCGCTTTTTCTTTCCCTTTTTGTTGCCCCCTCCACCAATTCCATTTATTGGAGAACCTGGATTTCGGAACATATATGTAGAAATTTGCAGTACTCTGATAGAATAGATAGTGGGTTTTGGTGGAGAGTGAGTAAATAATGACAATAGCGCAGATAAAAGGAAGAAATAATCTGTCCCATCTTCTCTGTTTGTTAGTTCCTGAACATAGCAGATTGGAGAAGACATTTAAAGTAATTGTCTTTATTCTTTAAGTCACCTGATCAAGGTTGTCAAAGACCATGCTATTTTCTCCATTCACCATTTTCTTAAAATGAAGGAATAGAAAAAATTAGAACATTTTTCCTTTTTTTTACCTTTAGAGAGGTTACAAGGGCTGTGCCAGGGGCGCCTTGAACTTTTTCCTGAAATTAGATTTAAAAGCAATATATTTTAAAGAGTTTTTATCTTTTTAATATGATTAAACTGTGAAAAAGATTGGTTTTGTGTCTTCTATCATCAATTTTATGGAAATGTATAAAAATAATCTCTTGTGTCAAGGTAGAAGAAAAACAAAGAAACTATACTTTTCAAGATACCTGCTTTTGTCTTCCAAGGTCAGAACCATTGACTTCATTTATTAAGCCCTTAAGATTACATGAGCTTAAAAGAATTAGAAAACTTCTTTCTTTAAGGCGTTACTTGGAAATTTTGAAACAGGGGGATTGATCTACTAAACTTGTACCAGCTGGTACTGTACTGTACTTCATTGGCCTTAATTCTGTTCTGTACTGTGTATAATATTTTATCAATTAAATGTACAATCAAATGTTACCTGTACAAGTCTTTCAAGGTCAGTGCCATTTTCTCCTTGTCTCAATTTCTAAAAAATGAATTAATATAAAATAATTCAATATTCTATTATTCATGTTACCTGCTGAGTTTCAACGAGGTAATGTTTCTTGCTAATGCCCACATTTTGAAACAAGAGCAGTACAAGGATTGGAGTCATCTGAACAAAATCTAAGAGTATCTGCGACTCTGCGCGGTGCAGATCAAAATGATATTGGATTGAAAAAAATTCAAAAATTCTTGAAAATTAAGAAAGTCACAAAGTGAAAACGTCGCAGGAACACACGGCTGGAACATGATATATATCACACTTATTTGGGGGGTGGTTTACACCACTTTAACAGTATAAGTGCAGATATGCACTTCAAGCAAAAGGAAATTTCACAGAATAATGTTTTCAATTATAACTCTTCTTGTATTAGAACTATTAAGAAGAACAAAAATGATTTTATTTTCTGATATGTAGCTGGATAAGTTTGACTTCCTAATATTTGTACTTAAAATAAAAACTAGAGGAGCTATGAGGTCACAAGGTTGTAGATTAGAACGCAAAAAAAGAAGATTTAACTGAACTAAATACTTATATTTTCACCTTCTGTTTTTACAAAGGACATTCGCCAATCAAGTGAAACAATAAAATATAAAACTTAAATATGATTCATTAGTTTTAGATAGAGATGGGCATCTTTTTTTTTGAACAAACAAAGTTTTTTTTCATGAAAAAGGGTGTCATTAAAAAAAACTAATGATGAATGAACAAAATGGATCTTTCAGAAAATGAAAAAATGATTGTTTTTAAAAACGAACAATGTTTTCCTACAGTATGTTTGGCTCCTATATTAAGTTTTGTTTTCCTGCAGTATGCTTGGTTCTTACAGTATATTTGGTTCTTACAGTATGTTTTTCTTCCTACATTATGTTGTTCTTCCTCCAGTATGTTTGTCTTCCTCCAGTATGTTTGTCTTCCTCCAGTATGTTTGTCTTCCTCCAGTATGTTTGTCTTCCTACAGTATATTTTATTCCTACAGTATGTTTGGTTCCTATAGTATATTTGGTTCCTTCAGTATGTTAACGAAACAAACATTAAAATCTTAAAAAATTAAAAAACAAAACCGAACGATTTAAAATCGTTTGGTTTAAAAATTTAAATAAACGAAATACATGGAAATTTAATGAAAATTTTAAGAACAATTTTAATCAAACTTTTTTGAACAATTAAAAAAAAGAACAAAATGGATTGTTCATGAAGGATGAATGATCAAAATGAAAAAAAGCTGACCTCGTCCATCTCTAGTTAGAGAACATTGTCAGATAATTGCATAAAGTGAGAAATTTATATTTTCAATTAAAAAAAATCATTAATTCTTTTTCTCAAATAAATTAAGTTGTGGTAAAATGTACAGGGTGTTTAAAAATATCCGCTCTATTAGACAAAGTACCACTTTTGAACATTTTGATCACTAGATATCAATTAAAGGTATACAGCTGGTGCGTGTGGTATTCATCTACCAAATTGATATCTCTTTAAAACTGACAATGATATTTTTTTTGATACATTTTTTTAAGGATGTTATTTTAGTCATAACAAACATATTTACCTTTTAAAACTGCATTTTGCAGCAACGACCTACTCCACACATTTCCTGAAGCCACAACAGGCATAGACGACTTTTGCTTGCCGGAATTCATTGAATACTCTGGAGATTTCAGCGATAATGGACTGTGTTGCGTTGTAAGGAGTTCTAATGACATCCTTCTTTACTAAGGACTACACAAAATAATCGAGGGGATTCAAACCTGGGAAGTTGATGAGCACAAGTTTGTGTCCCAGACGTGCTTCATATGCGCCCTGCAACCCATCCTTTTCTGCTTCATTACAATGCTAATAAACTGATACCTTCTATGGATGTAGGATTTATACCCTATCTTCACCTTCACAATCTTGCTCACAAGCCAATCGCTATTACCCAGCAACCTCCCAATCTGCCTGAAGGACATGCCCAGGTCATCATCGATCATGTTTTGCATGTTATGGACGATTTCCTGGCTGTGACCGTCCTTTCAGCACAATTTTTTTCCAATTTCCAAGAGAGACTTTTTGGTTGGCCTTAGTTATCGAATAATTGCCGAAATTTTGATTGAATTTTCAAAAGCTTGCCTGAATCACCCCTCCTAGTCTTCCTGGCGTGGAACAGGATAACGATGACCCCGCTGTTGGTCATTGCCGTAACCCTCCTGATCAAGATATCCAATTAAACTTGGATTAGCTGATCAATTTAAGATTATACAATGGCAAAAAAGTCATTTCAAAAATTCATTTCTTTCATGACTAGAAATTTATTTCAATTTGGTCTACGAATACCGCTTGCACCCTGTTAAACACACAAATTTAAGAAGTAAGAGCAGTTTGAAATTTTACATTTTGGCTTGGTTCAATTTTATTGCATTATGGAATTTCATTTGGGTCTGAAAGCAAATCTTCTAAACAAATCAAAAAAATCTTGAAAATGGCTTTTAAGTATCACAAAGAATGAGCAACAAAAACATTATGCCTGGCCTTTTAACGGAATTTTGATGCAAATTTCATCATGCAAAACATCCTTCGAGGCTGCGTTGAGCCAATTATCATTATATCAATTTAATAATTTTTTGTAATTGTAAAACCCTTATTATAATCTTTTGAAATAAATTGTGATTGCAATGATAATAGCAGTGTTCAACTAAGCCAAAATGCCAAAGGTCATTACTTCTTAAATATATGTGGTAGATACCTATAATGAATATTAATGGATCAAAAATGTTACATAGATTTAAAAATGTCTAAAATTCTAAAAGTTTGTAAAAGAGCATTTTATGAGACCCAGCTGTATTTATGTATCTTTATAGAAAATGGCAATTATTTTCTAAAGATTTTGTTATTTATATATATATTTAGCTGGTTTGTTGTTTTGACTGTTTGTGTCCAATACGCGCCAAAATAGCTAAACCAATCTAGCCCATTTTTTTGTGGGACCTCACATGATCCCTGAGAAGACTTATGGATAGAGCTGGGCGTGTTTCTATTTTTTTATATTGTTCATTCCTCGTTTTAGAAGGTGTACCTTAAGCTGGATTGTACGTTCCTGGTTTGTTCTTTTTCCAATCATTCCATCCCTGTTCTGTTCTATTCCGTTCTTTGTTTTCTTGATTGAGAACGGTTCCAGCCCTTAGTTAACAATGAATTGTTAACAGTAAAGAACATTAAAGATTTTTATCTTTCCACATTTTAGATTTTTTTACCTTCCTTGCACGAGAGATGTCATTACAATAATGTAACATAACGTAAAATGTAAGTTTTTCACGTTACATCACTATAATAAGAAACGTTTGGATAGTTTCTACATAACTTGAAACTTATTGTTATAGGAGCTTATACCTTATGATAACATTTAATGGGAACAAAAACCTTGTTTTTCTAAAATAAACGACATGTTTGACTGTAACATAAAGAAAGGTTTGGTTTCAATGGAGAGATTGAAAATCTAAAGTTTTAAAAATCAATTGTGATTTGATTGCATATTGTAACAAAAGGATTTCTATTTTAAAGTTAAAGTTTTAAAAAGTGTATCTTTGTAGAACTGAAAAGTTAGAAATGGTTTATTAATTAATTAATCAGAGAATAACAGAGAATAAATTTCAATAGTGTAACACATAACATTTAAAAAGATGTATTTCTGTTAATCAAAAGGTTTCATATCTTTCTCTGAATTCTAAATTGATTAGCTTAACGTTTGATATATGTCTGATGAAAATGTTGTTCATAAAACATCAGGTATAAGGGCTTAGTTTTAAGTTCAAAAGTGTAAAAATAATTCTACCATTCAAAACGTTTCAAAACGTCTCGATCTATTAATGAAAGAGATGACTGATGGTTTTTTTTTATTTCAAGTTTAAAGATAACAAGTTTATTTTTCAATCACTATATCTTTGCAACCTTCAGGTTGGTAATATATGGGGAGTAGAAAATTTTACAAAAACTCAGTTCCTTTCTAAAGTGTAAACTAAAAAAGCCTGTTAAAGGGAGTGTTCGCGAAAAATGAAAGGGGGTATAGGCTTAATGCGATAAAAAAGCTCTTTTGGTCGATACTAATCTTACTTCTATCTGTTGCGTCTATAAGGAGAAAATTGTTAGAAACGACTCACACGGAAGAACGCAGCGCCCATACAAATTCGGAAAGATGCAACAGTCAACTCGGATCGTAAACAAATCAATTTAATTCCAAACAAATCATTCAGATATTACAAACAATAGTAATCGGTTATTTTTCGACGCATTCATATATAGTTAATATTTCATAATATTTTTGATTTTGTTTTTTTAGATTAATTTTCGCTGGCGCTGGATTTTCGAACATTCCTGGAAAATATGAAAATGTCGTCTTCATTATCAAAAATCCTCGAAACAGGAAAAAATGTAACTCTCAAATCATGAAAAATACAAAATATTATGAAATATCAACTATTTACGAATGCGTCGAAAAATAATCGATGACTATTGTTTGTAATATCTGGATAATTTGTTGGGAATTAAATAGATTTTTTTACGATCCGAGTTGAATGTTGCATCTTTCTGAATTTGTATGAACACTACGTTCTTCGGTGTGAGTCGTTTTTAACAATTTTCTCCATATAGACGCAACAGATAGAAGTAAGATTAGTAGCGATCAAAAGCGCTTTTTATCGCATTAAGCCTATACCCCCTTTCATTTTTCGCGAACACTCCCTTTAATGAATATTATGAGTTGTTAAATATAAGAAGTTGTATAAAGATTTTAGTGTTATTTAGTGAGCTTTATGTGACATGCTATTAGTGAAAATTCTTCTAAATGTTTCTGGGGCATTAAAGGTTTTAGATTTGCCATTATTCAATGGAAACCCCTAAATCTTTGGAAAAGGAAGACGGCATTTAAGAAATTTACAAGAATTTGATTCTATAAAACAAAAGATTTACTTTTAGCTAAATAATCAACTTATAAAGTGGAACGGGCTTGTGTAGACACTGTACGATTGTTGTTTTCTGTTTATTTGTCTATTTGAAATCATAACTTCAGTCGGCAAGGTTCATGTTTTACCAGGGTGAACATTTTGAAAATGTAGAAAAATGCAATAAATATTTTATCAATAGTAAAAAGTGTGTTATGTTTTGATTATCAATAGATTTTTATGAAACTTTGTAAGGGAATAGAAAACTTGTTATTAATCGATTCAATAAAAAAGACAAAAGTCACAAATATTTAGCATTTGCATTTAAACCCTGAAAATATTTTCATTTTAGTTTGTAAACTGAAACTAATTTTAATTTTTTACTCCCCAAAGTAGCAAAAAAAAAATAATTGAACATTCGCCACAAATTATAATTTTCTTATCTCTATATCTTTGCAAGCTTATGTTTTCTGTTGGATGAGAAAAACTAAAGTAATTGAGTTTTTGTGATAAACTCATATTTCTGATCCCTTTATCTTTACTACCCAATGTTGCACACCATAAGTATTTCAAACTATGAATTTTATTAAATCAAATAATCTAAGTTTAAAATTTTTGTTTGTATCTTACAAACATTTTCGTAAAATTAAGGGTGCAAGGTAGAGATATTAACGTTTTGATTTTTCTAAGTTCTGCTTTTGAATTATGATAGTGTTCATGAAAAGAATAAAACATTTTAAATGTTACATTGCACATTATGCAATTTTATGGCATAGAGTACCTATTATGTTACACGTTATATGTTTATTTGTATACATTTGTTTGTAGCAAAGAACACTAATAATAATTATCAAATTGTATTAAAGAATTTAACAAAATAAATCACTAAATATTCCAAAGCTTGATTCAACATTGGAAGAAGTTTCCTGAGGAAAGCAGAATAACATTGTGTTATGTCAAAAATAACTTGTGTTAAAATTGAATGTTGAACTTGAAGCAAAAAGTAATGGTTCAAAAGGATCCATGAGAAAATTAGATTAAATTAAATATTTATATATATACTTGTCTGTCTGTTTTTGCTTAATAAACGTCAAAACAGAAAAATCTGCAAAATCTTACATTTAAAAATATGAAGTAAAAATGGCTGCTTGAAGATCAACATTCAAACTCTTGAATTGTTGCAAAAAGAGGGGCGTCTGTTTGTTTGCATCCAGTAAATTTTCATGCGGCCTACTGCTTACTAGGGCCGGGCGTCGTTCCTGGGGAATGATCGTTCTTTCACAAGAACAAACAGAACGATCAAGAATGATCCCATTGTTCTGAAAAAAGAGCGAATTCATGCATTCTTAAAAATGTTGGAACAATTTGTAAAGGAACAGAACAGAATTTTTTGAAAAGAATGTTTAAAATCAGGAACAAGTTCATATTATCAAGAACACATTTTAAGTTGAGAATGGAACAAGAACAGAACGATTGAAAAAAAGGAACAAGAACGGAACAATCTAGCTGAAGGCCCTTGTTCTAGAACGGAGCAGAACAATTTCAAAAAAGTTAGAACATGCCCAGCCCTACTACTGCTTACTGCCTGAAATAGGTCTGTTTTATCTTTGCTTGATACCAATAAAAAAGGTCAATATTCTGATGATCTTTTTTGAAAGCTGAAATCAAGGAAAATATTAATTTTGAACAACATGCTTCGTTTTTAGTTTAGTTTGCACTTGTTTGTGATGATTTTTTACACAGATTTAGCAAAGAAGAGTCAACACTTATCACATATTTTTTCATTGACATACATTCTATAATATCATAATTGAAAATGAGCAAATTGCTTGTACAACATTTTCAAACTTTTTTTTTAACCCTGCAATCTTGCTGAGATAATTGGCAGAAGCTGAACTTTTATTAAATAATGTAAACATTTGTTAATTATTTGAACTAGTATGGCTGAATGCTTTCCAAAAATATATGAAATGTGATGTAATAGAAATGTCTAAAACTTGTGCAAAATGTAAATTTTAAAAAATTGCAATTTTGCTTTTTCTTCTTTACAGCAATACTTAATGATATGATATATAACTTTATTATAAAAGAATTTTGCAAAAGTTACATATCATTTCGCAAATCTAAATTTCTAAGGTATATTAAATTGTAAACCAAAGCTTTATTTTTGTTTTAGTCATCTTGAGTTTGAAGTGTGGAGGTGCAGGACATTATTAGATGTTTGATTTTATTTGATTTGACAATGGATGGATTTGGTAATAATTGATAACATCTGTCATTGTGTAAAACATCTTAAGCTTTGAAATATATTGACTAATACCCTAAGTTCTTCATTTTAAACCTAAATATATCTATAAATAAAGTATGTACTTAAACCCTTTTCTGTTAAAATATTAAGAGTGATAAATTAGTCAAGGTAAAGCTTGTTAGCTTTGTTAAACATTTAAAAATTTTTAAAATTCAATTAAAGTTTATAGAAAATTAAGTAAATGGAAAATTTTAAAATATATGATTATAAAGATAAAAAGGTGGTCTTAAAATATTTAACAAGATTCTATATAAACCAGGTTTCAATTGGGGACGTTTTTTAAACCAGCAATTTTTTGAACTTTGAATAAACATTTATAAAGAATGCTTTTCAAAACTTAGTAACATTATAATTTATGTTATACCTAACCTAATTAAGGAAATGAGGTAGGTATAAAACTTACATAAGCCAATTAAATGAGTTTGTAATTGATTTTTCTTAAAGTAAGTCTTTCACATAAAATTAGTTTATTTTTAAACAAATCTAAAGCTACGATGCTTGAACAGTTAAACCTAGAATAAAAAAACTCCTTCTCAAAGAGACTGATGTAGAAATTTCTAGTGATTTCAATTTCAAGAGGGGTATGCCTGATTCACATTGATATCTTTCAAACCTGATCTGATGAAAAGTTTAGAATTCATCTTTTTTAAGCTTTAACAGTGTTTAATTTTGACAATTTTTTCTTCAATAATTGTAAATGCAACATTTTTAAGATAAAACATAGATATTCTATTCATTTTTGTTCAAACAAAGTTTAAAAGGTCACTGCTGTCAATCAGACATGCATTGTGCAAACTGAGGATCCCTTAAAATGATTTAAATTGCATTAAAAGTCATTGCTGCAAAAAACTCGTGAAAAAAACATTCTTCTATTAATTAACAACATTTCGTCATTCCAGTAAAGTAGTAAATCTTGTAGCTTGTAATGAAAACATTTAAACTTATTTTTGAATTTGTTTTGAAACCTTTTCCTATTAACATCTCCTCTTCCCAAAATAGACTTGGGGGGCATGGGTGCAGTTCCCCCCACTATTTTAATGAGATAATAATTAATGACATTTCTTCCAAAAAAATTGTTTGTTCAGTAAGAATTTAAAAAAAAAATTTTTTTTTTATTTGTTTCATTAAAAAACGATTATTTTTTAAAAAATATTTCAAAAATTAGTTTGTTCAGTAAAAACTATAGTTTTTTCAAGATAATTCTACTTATTGACCTTTAACTTGCAATAGAAATTAGCATAGATCAAAATAACTAAATTTTAAAGTTAACACAAAAAATAAATTAAGGTCTCCATGAAAGTATTAAAATTAGAAAGTAAACATTTCTGAGTGAGATCCAATTAGGACAAGAAAGCTGTTCTGAATTTTAACATGTTTTAGCATGATGAAAATGTATGGTATACTAGTCCTGTTGTTATGCTATAATGCTGCTGTCACAGGGAAAAAGTATCTTATTAACACTTTAGATCAGGTTCAGCCTCAGGTTCAAATGTTTTTGAATATTTAGAATTATTTTCAACTTTTGACTCAAAACTTTGTTTGGTACTTTTGAAGTTAAAAAGAAGTTTTCAGCTAAAAACAACTGGATATTCTAATCCAAATCCTAACAATTTGTATTTCTTTATGCTTCAAATTCATTACAAATGCTTGTTCCTTGCATTGCAAACATAATCAATAAGAAACTACAGTTGAAGATTACTACCCTTATGTAAAATCTAATTAACACATTTTGTTAAATGGATACTAGGTAGAGGTCTGTAGGCTGAATAAAAAATACTAGAGATATGCTACTTTGACGATGGCCATTAGTGCTTGGTTAAACGTTGATATAAAAATGATGTAAAAATTAAGGAACAAATTATCTAACCATTTTCCTTTATATAATCTGGAAAGTTACTGCTCTGCAGTAAAAAAGTCTTTAAGCTTTTCAACTTTGGTGCTACAGACCTCTAACTAGTTGCTATCCTTAGAGAGCATATAGTAGATTTAAAAATAGGGTTTCCACGAAATGGCTAAATCTTTTGCGCAAAATTTCCACTATTTTTGCGCAAATTTTTTTTGCGAACTTTTGCGCTATTTTTGCGCTATTTTTGCGCATGAAACGTAATGAGTTTTGCGCTATTTGCGCAAAACCGGAAAGTTGAGCATGAAACAAAATTTTAGTTTTGCGCAAGTTTTACGCGAATGTAACTTTTTAGACAAATTGTCAAAAATTGACATTCTAAGCTTAGAATTAAACAACTGAAGATTTATTCCATACATAAAAAAATATTAACATGCGAGTATGATAACGATTATACTACACTCAATTGGTTACTTCCAGTTACAAAAAGTTTAAATTAATGGACCAAAATTAATAAAATAGAAATTAGAGAGTGTGAAACTTGGTAATATTTTAATCCTATTAAATAATTTCAAGTAACCCTTAAAAGCTTTGCCTAATCAAGCATGAATTTTATTCTTAAATTTTTTAATCTTTTTAATCTCATATAAAATAATGCAAAAAAGTAACCAATGCCTGAAGAATCCACTTTTAGGGAATATGCATGACCAAAACTAAAATTGTCGAGAAAATTATGAGATTTGAACTCTTCTTAACTGTCATTGGTCAATTATGTAAAAGTGACCAATGGGAAGACATTCCAAAACAAGATTTTTCCAGAATTGAATTCTAAGAAACACACACCGTCACCATACCGTTTGATTTTGACGAAATTGCGGAATTGCACAAAACTTGAGTTTCACAAAAGCGGAAAAGGGCAAATTTGCGCAAAATGACTTTTGAGAATGATTGCGCAAATTGTTGTTTTTTCGTGCAAAGAAAGAAAAATTGCGCAAAAGTTTTGCGAATGGAAACCCTGTTTAAAAAATACCTTACAATGTAAAAATTACATATCAATTTGAGTGCTGTAAAATTTTCCAAAGCACTGTTCTCTAAATTTGTTTTAAAAGCTAAAATTTTAGGAAAGTTTGCTACCACTGGAAACCTTATATTAAATAGAAAATTTTCTGTGTATATTTTAATATTCTAAATATCTAGAATTATTTTAAGGAGTCATCAGATTATAATGGGCCCAGCCCAAGTAAAGGTCCAGCCCCGGCCCCAGGCCCAGGATTGGACCTAGGAGGTATTATGTCAGCTGTTGGTCCACTTATTCAGGGAGGAATGGACATGCTAGGTAACATCCTAATTTCACTTTGCAACCCATTTCCCATCGAACAATAATTCCTCCAACTGCAGAAGTTTAGTTATTTTTTGTATTAGGAACCCATGCATAAATTCATTTAACTCCCCTGTAAACAGTTAATATGTACATGACTGTATCAAAGGGGATAAAAATACTTTTTTCCTGCTTATTAACTTTATTGTTACTGACCCATGATCCCCCAAAATCAAGATGACAAGGTTAAAAAGTTTTTGTGAACAAATTCATGTATTTTCATCTAAATAGATGATAGAATTGTGTAAAATTCAGATTTTACTTAACATCTACACTCCACAAATTCAGAAGACTGAATTTGTCTTTAAAACATCCAGATCATAGCAAGGGATGCTTTAAGTAAAATACCCTTAATTTAAATCAAATTGACAATTGCAAAGATTAAGACTTGTCCAAAAAGTTTAGATTAGCTTCCAGTAATGATGTCTAATCAAGAGTTTAAACATTATTAGACCCATAATGGTAAAAATTGTTATCAGTAACATATTGACTTTATAGGAGGTTTGGTGAGCTCTGGAATGATGCAAATGATGATGGGTGGTGGTGACTAGATGTGGAGATAGTTTTCTCTTGTTATACTTGTACAGTAAAGAATATTTTATGTCCCTAGTCATTTTTGTGTAATTTAAGTAACACTGGCATTTGTTTATTAAAGATAAAACCAAATCAAATAATTTGTATTTTTGGTTCTGTTTTATTTAATACCAAATGTATTGACTGCAATGTTTTCCCTTGGGCAGACATGTGATGATATTCAGTGTTTAAGTGCATCACATCACATTTTAGAATGTGCAATCTATTCCGCTTTTATAATACTATCCTATCACAGTTAGTGTAAGTATATTTGGGAAATTAATTGAGTGCAACATATCTCACACCTTCTTAGCAAGCAAGATTGTTCATTGGGAATGTCTTATTAATTGCCAGTGCATAACATTGCCATCTGTTCATTTATTTCTCCTAAGGAGTCAAACATGCTTTGTATTTATTACTTACTTACTTTTTGTGAAAATATCACACTTTTTAACACCACAAAATCAATCTTCACTTTGGAAGAGATTATTTTATTAAAAGAATTTACTATTATTAAATATTAGATTCAGCTTCTGCCCATTATGCAAATTGGCAGTGTTTTTGCACCAGCTTTAGATATATTTTTAACACATCACACATCAGATATTTTTGGAATGCACTGAACAAACTTTTTTTGCCCACTTTTTTTGTTGTTGTAATTTTTGCATTTTTATAATAATTAACATAATGTGGGTATATACTCTTCTCATTCACTAACAAAAAACATAACTTTCTATTTTTGAGTGAATAAAGAAACTGTCAGTTGTAGTGAAAATTTTGCGACTAAATGCAGGCAAAATGTTTGCAAAAAAAAGATAACAAATTTAAGGTTATTATTCTCCTGGATTTCACCCTTTAAATAGCAATGGATCATCAATTTTTTAGTGATAAATCCAGTCCCACCCCCGACACTCAGCTGTGAGGACCTTGACCCTTACTTACCCTATTGGCCCCCCATCAGCTGAATCATATGGCGGGACCAGGTATTTTCATCAGTCTACACCAAATTAAAGAATGAATATAACTGAGCTTATCCTGGAAGTATACCAGGACTGTGTGAAATTTTGGCTGGAGGTCAAGTTGAACCTGTGGAGTAAAGGAGGAAATGAGTACTTCTCATCTTCCAAAACCCCTGGACCCCAGTTACAGTCCTAGTCTTGGAAGAGGAGAATGAGGAGAAAAAAGACTCTTACAGAGAAGCGAGATCTAGGGAGACCCCAGTTTGTGAGGAAGGTCACCAATGGGCCCCTTAGTTTGACAAGATAACAATTGAACTGAGGCCCTTAAACTTGAGAGGCCGTTGAACACTATTTATTCTGAGGGGCTGAAAAAAGTAAAAAGGTTTGAGAGTCCTGCTGTATATAAGGCTAATGTGACCACCTGTTTTAAAGTACAGAATGTGTAGTCTGTTTTTAGTCCCCAGAGGAATAAAACAGCCAGCCAAACCCTCTTAGTTTTAGCTCTACTCAAATACCTCAAATAGATTGCGGAAATTCGGCTACACCCGAAAACCCTGAAACTGAACCTTCTTTCCTAGATACACAGGAAAATGTATCCTCCTTGCCTACTATTTACGATTTAACCCATCTTACATCCACAGTGAACACAAACCTATATCCTATTTTATCTCTAACTATTCCTGAAGGATATGGATTGGTAGAATTTAAATCAGCTGAAAATGCACTTGATGTTAAAACCATCCAAGACAACATAGAACTTTTTCCAGATGAACCCTGGTCAACTACACCTAATGTCGAATTTTCTTTAGAGAAAGAGTTAAAAATAGAAGAAAATATTAGGGTTGTGATTGCCTGTGATTTTACTAAAATCTATTTGTAATTTAATAATCTATATGTTTTCTGTGATAATGAATAATTCAACCATATAACATGACATAGTCAATAAATCTATAGATTTTTAATTTTTATTGATATTACAAACAAATTAATTCTAGGAGATAAAACAGGCCTATTTGGGAAAAATATTTATAGGAAAAGTCAAGAAATTTAATTTTTTTACTTAATTTGTTGCTAATTATGCTATTAACTCACATTACATTTTAAAATTAAATCACCATGAATTTTTCAGTGACTTACTGACTGTAATGAGTGGAGGAACAAAATAATTGAAATAAATTAACAATATTTCATTTAATTAAACATTGAAGTAAGTGTTAAGATAAGATGAACTTATCAGTTTTTCTGATTTTGTTTGACTAATACAGGAAGTTGCAACAAAAAGTAAGCATGAAACAAAATAGATTTAGAAAATTGTGGTTTAAGTTTAGTTGCAGTATATTGTTTAAAATAACTTTGGCAGCAATTTTAATTTTGGTAAAGATTCTTAAACTCATAATGCCAAAGCAATAAGTATTGTGTGGAATTTGTGTGCACTTGTATTGATACAAAGTTGTTATTCCTAAAGTATTAACAAGCATTCTCACAAAGCTAAATTATCTTAATTTGAAGACATTTTATTTATATTTCTGATCAGATTCAAAGATTATTATTATTTACAAATCTCTAAAAAATTAAAGCTTTTGTTTAGAAGATGAACTTTATCATTATTCTGGTATTGTTCCAAAGTGTTGGCATAAGTCCGAAACATTACCTAATAGAAACTAACAAGGTAACATGTAGAGAACTTCATTTCCTTCATTTTACTATACTTTAAAATCTTTTTAATCCTAAGGAATCTGGGGATAATGTCACTGACTTTGCAGAACCAAAGCAGGTACCATGAAAACTTTTAGTCATATTCTAATTAAATTGAAATAATTTAAATTGATTGAAGACTTAAAGTCGTTTTTGACCCTAGAAATAGTTTGCACCATTCATTAAAGGCAATCTATTTTAAGCAATAATTTTTTATGAAACAATAATTACAAAATAGCCCTAGTCCTGCCATTTTCAAAATGTTGTCTGACATTTTTTGTTTTCAAAATACCAGAGATATTAAATATTTTTTTTCAAATTTCAATTCATTGACTGAAAACTTTAAAACTCTAATTCTGAACATATTAATTGATATCTTTGGAAATGGTGAAAGCCTAAAACTAGCAGACCACATTTTAGTTGCCTATAATGTATGTTGTATTAAGGCCAAAGACAACTTTGTAATATTCAATCAATTCAGAATTGGACTGTAAGCAAGTAAGTATCTCACCTAACAGAAGAACCATCCTTAGTCCACAGGTACAGGCACAGCATTTTGGAACATCAAATCAAATATGGCTAGTTGCACGCCAACCTTCTTTCTGTAATTGGTCAACAAAGTCAATCTTTCATGATGGTAGGAATTTAAAACCAGTGTTGGAGTCGGTGATCAAGATGAATTCAAACAATCTTAACAATTGTTCAAATTTGGTTAATCCATAAACTAAACCTAACATTTCACCCTTACTACTATGATAATTACATTTAAAAGGCCTGTATTAACAGTCTTTAACTCCTAAAAACTGTTCTCCACTCTTCTTTTTTGAGAGAGAGAACAGCACCAACTGCATATTTGCTAAAATCAATGGTTAGAATTTACAGTTTACCTCATGTAGAAAAATCTGGTGGGGCTCGGCGAGGGAGGGAGTCCAGAGTTCCTCAAATAGTAATCACCGCCACCCAAATCTGTATTGCGGCAAGCGTTCTCCTCAATTGGTAATCTCCACCACCTCAATTAGTGATCACAGTAAAATTTTGTTTTCTGTGATTTGAATTTAATGCACTTTTAACACAATTTTTAGAAAACAGGGAGGCTGGTTCACTTTTCAGCCGAAAATAATACTAGCGAGCAAAACAGAACACTAACTCAAAACACTGACTTTTAGGTGGAAAAATACAACGCGGTGGGTTGTTTAACTTTGGACTTATAAAGAAACGTATTCACTAGTCCAGGGTCACCAATTTGGCGGATAGCAATAAGACGAGGATTTTGATAACGACTAACTATATTTTAAATATAAAGTTACAAAGTTAGAAAAATATATATATCTCGTGGCTTCTAGAAACTCCCCTATTCTTTCTCCTTGCCGCGAGAAGTTCTTCAAGGAAAGACGACTTTCATAGCCGCCACAAAACTAAGGAGCAATAAAGAAAGCTTTAACAATATTGTACACCATAGGGCCATTAAAAGAGGTCAATATGGTCTTATTTCTAAGAAATAAACGATTTAATTTTATGCTTTTTTGGGCTGATTACTATTTGAGGTGGTGGAGATTACCACTTGAGGAGCTTGCTTGCCGCAGAACAGATTTGGGTGGTGGTGATTACTATTTGAGGAACTCTGGACTCCCTCCCTCGCTCGGCATGGTGCTGCTAAAAACATCTGTTTAAGAGTGTTAAAATTAATAACCATCTCTGTACTCCATGTCAGCGTATGTTTGTTTTTTACTTCATTCAGGTTTGCTGTTATCTCAGCGAACCATGGTAAAAACTCTCTATAGTAACCAGCAAATCCTAAAATTGATGAAAGATCCTTCCCTGTTGACAGCAGGAGCCATTCAACAATATTTGAGACATATGCAGTTAACAGACTTGTGCCCTCCTTACTGATCAAGTGACCAAGGTACTCCACCTCAGTTCTGAGAAGAAAGGTTTACCTGTATTTAATTTGATTCCAGTTGCTCTGTGTGCCAGAAAAACTTTGGCCTTTTTACTTTTATTAAATGCCATTTGGCTTAAAAAATTCTGGAGCAGCTTATTGTAGATTAGTACAAAAGTTAGTTCACATTGACCCATGAGCAATGATGTATCTTGGGGTTAAAATACTGTTGTTCTCGGATAGACTTATTTAAAAAATGGTAAAATACTTACATGTGTCTTGTGTCTGAATACTCCTGCCACTGCTCCAGTTAGATTTGACTTGGTGACCAGTAAAACGGTCAGATAATCTGCTGGATTCAAGGAACAGTTACCTCCACGCCCTGTGCCATCTTAGGAGGCAACAGTTCACTGGTTGTAGACCTCTTGAATTAAATTTCCAGTAAACTTTGCAATTAAAGTTTGACTTTGATTTGAAGAGGTGTTAACTAAATTGGCATCATTAGGGGTAAACAATGGGCTCAAACTGTTGTGTTTAAAGAAATTTATCCCAAATATGATTGGAAGGAATAACACACAGAATGGATCAACCTGAAAAAGTAATATTAATCCTACTAAAGACTAACTTAATTTCTACTTCTCCTAACGTCACCATCATTGCTTTTTTTCTTAGTTCCCCCTAAATAACTACAAAGAAATCTACCAAAATCCCAGAAAGAACAAGTGCTCCTGTATCAACTAAAATGTTACAATTTGTAAAACTGTTAGTACCTGATTGTCCAATGTTAACTGCTCTGTCCAGGAAGTGCCTTGCAAGCTGTAGACCCAGAACACTCCTGTTACTGGGTCAGCCTCTTTTTCAGGTAGGGGTGTTCTGACTGGACTGTAGTGAGCTTTCATCAGATGCTGGTCAAGGCATTTTGAGCAGACAAGTTGAGACTGAGATACTTTACAATCAGCTTTATCAAGACTTGCTCTGCAGTCTGCACTTATAAGAGCTTTTCAGATTGCAGTCCTGGATGTAGTGTGGACCCTCACACTTTTAGCATCTGATCCCTATTGAATTTACCTTAAAATTCTAGTTTGAAGGGATCTGCTGTGCATATCGGCCAATTGTGTCTCTGAATGCATTGAAAAGAAAGGGAACCTGTCCAACATAGCTTGATACTATGGTTGCCAGAGTTTTGTTGCTTAGCCCTTCTACCACTGTGATGATGATGAGAAATACTTTATTCATACTGTAGCAAGAAGCCAGATCAAAGGCATCCTTGAATAACAGTCTAACCCGTTCTAAGTACATCTCCTGGGAGTTGTTGTACTCCTTGATAAATTTGCTTAGTAGCAAGGACAACATAGTTTGGGCTATCGTATAGAATGCAATTTGTACATAATAGCTCAGAAAGGGTATACCCAGGATTCAGGGCCTCTATCCTGACTTCCATACTGTCTCTGCTTTGTACTGGTGGAAAAACAGTTGAAGACAATGGCTTCTTGTCCTAAATTAGACGTGATGAATTTGCTGTCATAGATTTACACAAAAAACTGACACCAGTCTTCAAAGGAGTTCTTTGAGAAGTCTATCACTGTATTTTGTAAATTCTGCTTGGATCCAAGTAAGTAAAGATGTAGGCAACAGGATGTCTTTTTTCATTTATGCACTGCAGCAGGGCTCTATCTGCTCTTGTACCTAGTAATGAGTATATGTTAACCATTATTTCTAGTGCAAACAAAATATGGCAGTACTCTTAATAGGGTTTCCAGTCATAATTATGTTACATGTACCTACGCATAACACTTTCTTTCACTTATGGAGGAGAATTACACAAAATTTTGTGTTAATTATGTAACATGTACAAAAGAAAGTCTAGAATCCTGTAATTGAGGTGTAATTACCCAAAATTACATAATACAAAACCATTCCATAATTAGTAAAGTACATATTAATTCTCCTTTAATTTTTAGGAAATAAGGAAAAGAGCCAACACTGACTTTGTAGGAACAGAGCAGGTAATTTAATGGAAATGATTTTCTATTATCTTAACACAACACATTTTAAGGAAACTACACATGGAACCAATGGTACTGACTATTTCTTTGAATTTTTGGCCTCATTATTTCCTCCTCCACCGCCAGGTCCACCAGGACCTCCCCTTCCGGGTGCACCAGGTTTCCCAATAGAAGCATTCCTTGGTGGAAAAGGAAAAGGAGGTGGAAAAGGCAAAGGGAAAGGAAAAGGTAAACTGGGTGGAAAGGGTAAAGGACGTGGAAAAGGAGGTGGAAAAGGAGGTTTTGTTATTTGAATGAATAATTACAGGTTGTAAAAATCAAAAGTATCTTTACTAATCAATGTCTAACAATTTTGAATAGCCCTATTAATTTAAGTAAAATTCAAATTGTTGTTAAATATATCCGTTGCCTAATTGTTCATGTAACCTGTTTCTTTGTAATACAATAAACCAAGTAATCTGACACAATTTGATATTATTTGTGACAGAATCTCATTGGAATAGATCTAATGAATGGGACTATATACAGTATACAAAAGCAAAAATCTCCTATTTTTCTTTTTTTTAGCATTGGAACTTAAATGTTGTAAATCTTGGAAATTAATAATCTTAAAGATTTTGATCTACCAGAATCTGAGAATTCAAAGTTTGAAATATCATAGGTTTTCAACAAGAGGTTATATAAAGAAAAATTAGAATTTGTAACAAGCCTATTTCAAAACTTTTTTAAAAAGTTGTCCGAATCATCATTAATTTTTGTAACTTCTCATTTAAAATCTTTTGAGGAATTATGCAAGGTTTAAAATTTTTTACTAAATTCTGTGCTATGCAACAGTTTCGTCACATTCTGAATTCCCTCGCCGCTGAGTTCTTCACTTGAAAGATGTGAAGCCCCTAAAGTCGAGTGCAGCAGCAAAACCAGTTTTGATTTGTAAACTATGTGTAAGATTTATACTATATGCACTGTTAGATTTGATATCTTGATCTATAAGAGATACTGTTGTGATTTGCTTACAGCACATTAAGGTACTAATAAGGCTATCTATATATATTTGTACCTGATTTATGAGCTTGTAATTAGTTTTCTACACATTGTATTCTTGAATTATTCAAATTTAACTGAGTTTTGAGTTATTAAAGATTATCGCATCTTTTTTCTATGAGCTTTAAAATAATTTATCCTATTAACTATTTTGTATATTCTTCCGTTTATTCGATTTTGTATTTCATTACATTACTGTGGTTTATAAATAAAATTAACTTGGGCAATCTTTTACAGATTGAACCCGTTTCCTCATTTTCCAGAGCACTGTTACTATCGAGGAGAGATTCTAAATGAAGTAGAGTTGTATCCAAGAGAGTCTAAGGCTTAATGATGGTTGCGATCATGACAAGGTTTGATAAACTAGGATAGTTTAAGCGAGTATTAGCTCGGGAAACATTCTGAGCATTCATACGAAGGGTTGGGCTTTATTCCTGGAGAACAATCTTTCTTTTACAAGAACAAGCAGAATTTTCAAAAACAATGCCAGTGTTCTGAAAAAAGAAAAACTGCATAGAGTTTTAAAATATATTAAAACAATCTATGAATTAACAAACATGAAACAAATGGTAATTGGTAAAAAAGAATGGTTTGGAATTGTTATATCAGGAACACATCCTAAATCTAATGGAATTGAGTCAGTGTTGAGTAATTAAAAGAAAATTTAAGTTAGCTGTTTTTAGGTCAGTTTATGACACCCAACCAAAGATAGACTAGAATTTCAGAAATTTTTCTGCCCCTCTTTTAGCAACAATTTAAGAGTATGAATGTTGATCTTCAAGCAACCATGTTTTCTTCATATTTGTAAAATTCTAAATGTTGTGGATTTTTCTGTGAACATTGTAACATAAACGCTAAAAAATATGCAGGAATTTTTTTCTTCAATTTTTACCTTCCATAAACCTTTCCTTGGGTCTTGTAATGTCAGACAAAAAATGTGGGCCCAATCGGTTCAGTCGTTTTGTCGTTGATTAGATAATAACGGACAGACAAGCACTTTTGATTAAAATGAAGCTGTTAAACATATAAAAAGCTTAAAGCTTAAATATGCCTAAACATAGAGTTCAAGACAAGCTATTAATTAAAAAACTTCTCTTTATTATTGCCTGTAAACTTTAAAAAAAAGCTTGTTAACATCATTACATAAATAAAAAAGTCGTCTTCATTGTATTGATATTATCGCCTACCACTGCATATATATGTATAGACTTAATAATAATAATTTAGTTTTCTGATAAATCCTTGCAAACTATAATGGCTTTTCCTCAAGTAATTTTTGATTTGACACAATGTTATTCCACCGTTCTCAGGATACTTCTCCCAATGTTGAAAATCAAGATTTAGAATATTTTGTGATTTTTAAAAATTCGGTGATGGCGATGGACCAAACTTCTGTAGAGTAAAAGCAGTAGATGATAGTTCCACATTTTATTGAAAATATATATTTTGGTCTTGGTTGACCCTCGTCAGTTCTAACGATATGTCAACCATCAAAATCGATAATAAAAAATGTTAAAAACCACAAGAAAATAAACAAACAAAAAGATTACTTAAAAACAGAACCATTGGCTTCATGTACCAATTCCTTACAATTAAATGAGATTAAAAGATTTAGAATCTTTTTTCTTTACATTACTTGAAAATTTTGAAACACCTCCTCAAACACCCCATTCTAACCAGTGTTTTCTCTGTTCTTCACTCTTCGTAAGATTTGAATTGATTCGTAAGTGTGATAGCTGCAAGTTCGTCACAGGTCTAGGTTCTATCTATTACTTGATCAAACAAAACTCTTCAGGGTACGTTGTAACTTGTAAATCGGGCATTGTGAACTTTGCTTGAAATTAGGCTTACAGGAATTAAATCTTTGCAACAAACTCTGAGTGGTGATAAACTTGAGGAATCAGGCATTTATATCTCAGAGGAACTTTAAGTTTAATCTCTGCATCTCTGTAACCTGACGGGTGTTAATTTTTTAATATTTGAAACTTATACTATTTGATCTAACAGATTTCATAACTTGAAACATTAAAGGTTGCAAAGATATAGGGATTTGTGGCAAAAACTTTCTGTAAGCATAGTTATAGAGTGCAGATTTCCTAAACTATTTCTTGTTGATGAACTATTGAGAAGAACAAATATGTAACTGGATAAATTTGTAAAATCAAAACTAGAGGAGCTACGAGGTCACAAAGTTATTGCAGCAATGTTGAATAAATTTGACCATCTCCTTTTGTTCAGTTTGCAGTGCATGTCGAGATTTATTACTGTAGATCAGAAACCAAATGTAAATCTTCTATTTTTTTCAGAAGTTAGAGGACAATCTCGTTCAAGTGAAACAATAAAATATAAAACTGAAATATGAAGAATTAATTAGTTAGAATATTTTCAGATAATTGAATTAAGGGAGAAATATATATTTTCAATAAAAAAAATGCTTTTAAACAAATTATTCTATGGATGCAAATATCATATTTGAGGGAATATAAACAGGTTTTATGTGTACAAGCCTTTCAATAGATCATTTATGTTTCCTGACGTTCCTTATTTTTTTCTCAAAACTATTTTAAAAACTGTACAGTGTGTATCAAAAACTGTAAAGTGTGTATCAAAAAAACGCTTTTTTAGATGTAGCACTCACCTTGGTTCAATTCTTGGTTCAAAATCTTTTTAGATTTATCTATTTATTCGTTTAAGTCAGGTTAAATTATTCTTTTTTGTATTTAGAAAAGAACGTTACAGAATGTTTTTTTCATAAATGTTACATGTATTGTATAATAGTCTCAAATATGATTTTTTAAGGAAAAAAACATGTTCATTAGTATGAGAGCTATATATAGTTAAAAACTCGGTTTACGCGGTTTCTAAAAGCTGTTGTCTATAAAAATATCATATTTGAGGGAATATAAATAGGCTTTATGTGTACACAAACCGTCCAGTAGATCTCTTTTGTTTTAGACCTTACTATTTTTTTCTCAAGACAATTTCTGTGACGGAAAAATGAGGAGGTTGTCCCAAAACCCTCTTTTAGACACTATCACTCAATTTGGTTCAATTTCAAAAATCTTGGACATTTTTGAAACCTAATGGTTTAATTATAGATTATTTGAACTAACATGATTTATAATTTGAAATGTCTAAGGTCTACAACATTGGGTTGCAAAATTAAATTGTTTAATACTTTAAAATTCAAATTCATAAACTCAACAAAGCCAAAATGTTAAATTTAAACTCTTCTTACTTCTTCAATTTTTGTGCTAAATACCACTAAGATTTCAACCGATCGGAAATGATCCATAAATTAAAAAAAATATTATTTATGCAAATTCTAAAAACATGTTCCATACCAAAAGCAAAGGAAACAAAATAATTTCCAAAAAAATGTTTCTTTTTTAAACCGTGTTTTTAACCTTATAACAAAAAAGATATTTGAGACTTTTATACACGTAATCTTAATGAAATTAACCTTCTGTAATAATCTTTTCTAAATACAAAAAAGAATAATTTAACCTGACTTAAACGAATAAGTATTTAAATTTAACCTAGGTGAGTACTACGTCTAAAAAATCGTGCTAATGTCGCAATTTATACCCCACAGAAAGTTATTTCTTTATATACCCTTGGAAACAAGGTTTTTTTTTACCTCTGTTTGGCCCAGCTGTTTGCCCAGCTAAAGCTAGGGCTGGGCGTGTATTTTTAAGCAAGGGCCTTCCACTTGTTTCTTCCTCGTTCGTTATTATTCCAATCTTTTCATCACCATTAAGTTCCCTTTTTTAGTGTTCTTGATCGAGAAGGGTTCCAAGGAACGGGAGTGAATGAGTTCAGGGAGGAGAGGTTGGGGGAATGGGAGGAAACACTGCCATTGGTCAATCCTGCCAAACTGAGAGAATATACAATAATACAGATAAATTAAAACTCCAATATTTTTAAGAACTCGTTCTATGTGTGTATGTTCTTATTTCGAAACAATGGCATTGTTCTTGATAATTCCGTTTGTTCCCTTGAAAGAACAATCGTTCCCTGAGTATGACGATTAGCCCTATATCTAAAGCTACCATATATATGAGCAAAGAGCTTTATTCTATATATTTATTTTTGTCCAAATTTTCTTTTTCTTCTACATGGCGGTTTGTTATCATAATTAATGATCAACTGGTCCAACAATACCAGGGTTTCCAATTTTTTCTAGATCAATTTGGACCCATTGAAACCTTACAGAACCTTTCCTGAAGATGTTAAGAATGATACTATAACACATTAAAAACTCCTGGAATTGAACGACAGAACCTTTCTTAACTGGTTTTCAAATAAATCTACCCCTTAGATAATACAAATAGTTTCTAATATCTAATTTGTCTCATTGAAGTTACTTAATCACCCTACAACAGGGTGATTAAGTAACTTTATCGACCTACTTTTGAATAATTTGAGTAAAACTGAATAAAACTATATATATTTTTGAAATGGGTATCATGTGTGCGAAAAAGTTTTTGCTGGGATTTTTAACTTTTCTAGTTTGCTTTCGATCAAATAAAAGTATTTTCACACCTCACTACGTTCGGTGTGAAAAGAATAAAGACAATAACTTTATATATCTTCTCCAATCTGTTAATTTTCAGGAACTAGCAAACAGAGAAGATGGGACAGATAATTTCTTCCCTTTATCTGCCCTATTGTCATTATTCTCACTCTCTATCAACACCCACTATCTGTTCTTTCAGAGTACTGCAAATCACTACATATATGTTCAGAAAGCTTAGAAGATGATTATGGTGGTCAAGTCGGTCAAGATTATGTTGGAGTACCCCCACTTCCTCCCTCTCCCCCTCCCATTGGTGGAGGTGGCAACAAATAGGGAAGGAAAAAGCGGAGGGGAAAAGGTAAACAAAGGGGAAAAGGTAAACAAGGGGGAAAAGGTAAACAAAGGGGAAAAGGTAAACTAAGGGGGAAAGGTAAACAAAGGGGAAAAGGTAAACAAAGGGGAAAATGTAAACAAAGGGGAAAAGGTAAACCTCAAATTTTAATTTAAATACACCATTTACGTTCCTGCTACTCATATCATGTTATATGTTTATTTGTGTACATTTGTTTGTAGCAATAATAAATGATAAAAAAAAGAAATTGAGATAATACAATATTTAAAAACAGCTTACTTTTATTTAACTGTTCACCACTGTAAATTAAAATATTAAATAAAAATGACTAAATATTCCAAAGCTTGATTCAACATTAGGAAAAGTATCCGGCCATTTTGATTTATTTAAAGATCGTTATAATTTCGTCTTTTCATAACAAAGGCATAGTTCTTGATAATTCTGTTCGTTCCAATGAAAGAAAGATAGTTCCGGTGAACAATTGTTCCCCAGGAACGAGGCTCAGCCCTTCTTATCTATGGTCAGAATTTAGTAAACATTAAAAACCTCGAAAAGCAGCAAGGAACCATCAATGTTCCGCGCTAGTATGTTTCTTAATTATATAGCTTCTTACCTTTACGTCGGCTAAATAGCTTCAAGACTACATAGTTTAATTAATATAAAGCCACACCAACGAAGAACCATCAATGTACTTCGTTGGTAGAGCTCCCATTCTGTGTGTTTTCACATAGTGTATATAGACTCTATATCAAGTTTTCATTAAAAGTGTAAAGTGTATACGCAAACTGATTTCAATATAAATTGCTCAAATTGTATGTAAACGATTTTGTTATAAAAAATTTCTATTCAATCCACATACACTTTTCTCATCAATAACTTATTTTATGCATTTAATATTCTACCACTTTATTGGTACACTTCTTAATTTGTATGTTTTGCATAACCCAAGTAGCCTTGATTCCAAATTTTTATTTAGAAATGTATCCGTAAATTAACTCTTATATAACTCTCTCAAAATATATGTAAACGAGTTTGATGTAAAACTTTATTATTTAACTCATGTAAACTATTTTGTACAATTTAAATAATCTCGATACGGAGATAATAAATATCTAGATCTTAAAAAACCTCGAAAAGTTTAATAAAAGATTTCAAATGAGAAGATTCTTATATCAAGTTGTTTTTACGGTGTATAATGGCAGAGTAAGCCAACAAATTTGAGATTAAAAATTCTTCTGGGATGTCAATTTTGAAGGTTAGCTTTAAAAACCGTGTTTTAAATTGTTTAATAACAACGACAAAATTTTTTAGTAAACTAAAAAAGTTGAGAATATCAGAATTGGCTCTTATAATATCTTATAATATCAAAATTAGATAATTTATTCAATCCTTTTGACAACATCTGCAAACAAATTTATAAAGATTCAGTATTCAAAATAATGATTTTATAATAAAAAATAATTCTACCATTGCCTTAACTAATAATTTATTTTATTCAATATCTTTGTAAACAAAAGTTTTTGTCACAGTAATCAAAAGAATCAAAAAATATCTTAAACTGAGCTGAACGATAACTGAAACCTTTCCCAAATTTTGAAAAAATATAAATTTTTTATTACTGCCTGAAGGATTAGGCCTGCTGCCTGAAATAGGCCTGTTTTACCTCAAAGATTAAATTTGCTTTTAACCCAATCTCTGCTGGGGTACTTGAAAACCAGGATATGCTGGGGGGGGGGTCAATTTGACCCCCCCCCCTCTAAATCCTATGGTTGATGTCCAAATATGACAAATGATACATCATTGGAAAGCTCTTGTGTATTACTTATAGAATCTGCAAAAAAATTTGCAAATTTGCAAAAATTGAATTTTTCATCGCAAAATCCAGTTATATAATAATAATGTATGCAAAAAAAATTTTCCAAAAAATGAAAAATTATATATTTTTGAAAAGCCCTTGACCATGCCATTTCAAATATGCAGAAATTTTTAGAAAAATTTTAAATAACCTGATTTTTAATCAAGAAAAACTAAAAATGTGAAAATTTCCTTTGACAGGTTGTTTGCAAAAAGTTTGCAATTTTTTTTCGCAAAACTTGTGCAATTCGTTTCCTTATGTCAATGGCTTTCCAAAAAGCTAAATTTTATCAAAAGCTGACAAGTGGAAGTGAGTCAAAACAAAGATTTAGTCATAGATAAAGATAGATTGCGCATAAGACGACATTTTTCATCTTGAAAGATATAAATGTACTGAGATGTTTTAAAGATATTCATATTATATGGATTAACTAGGTCGGTTGTGAACATTGGCTTTTCTTATGTCATTGAGTACTTGTGGTGTACATGAGTTCTGTAAAAAGAAATTTAAGCTAGTTTAGTCCTTCTCATGTCCTTCTTCAGTTCTCGTCAATATGATAATTTGATAATTTGATATTCTCAAAATAAAATTCACTCCTGAGTGGTTTAATAATTATGAAATCCAAACTATCATAATTTATAAAGCAAAACAATTTGAAAAACCGATCGGTAAAATGTTGAGGTCATAATAAAAAAATTATAAAAAATTCCCCCCAAAAAAATGATTGCCATAATTATCATATACTAGCTGAAGCGTCCGGCGTTGCTGATGAAAATTCGAATTTTAGAAATTTCGAATTTAAAGATAAAGAATGATAAAGCAAAACTATTTTTGTTCATTTTAACCTTACTTTTAAAATTTCTCTTTTTGGTGGTTTTGGGTTGCACCTCAAACACAATACTAAATTGGTATCAATCATACAGAATTGTTTATTCAGATAAAAAATTCATCACTACTGCTACCTTCAACATCACTAGTAGGGGAAGGAGATGAAGGAGTTGAAGTGGGTGGTGGAGAAGGAGGAGGAGGAGTAGGAGGAGGTGGAGGTGGTGACGGGGGAGCAAATATTGATCCCAACATGCCCATTATGTCGATAAAATAGTCGGTGCCATATTCCTTTGGTAACTCATCCTTAATATCAAGTGCATTTAAAATTTTTTCTTTTTTTCTTTTTTTATTATTTACCTGCCGAACTTCCTCTTGCAATCCATCCTAAATATTTAAATATATTTCAAACTAGATTGATTTTATGGTCAATGTATACATAAATTGTCGAAAAATTGAAATCTGTTACAGTATTTATGTAATAGTCTTTCTCTAGTTTGAGGACTAACAGAGTCTAGAGACTGTTTGAGTTAGATGTATGCAGTGTAACGGAGATAAAAATTACATTTTAAAGGGACTGTAAGCATAACCGACTGTAAACTTAACTTAAAAGAGATCTTCCATGCAAAGATGACAATTTGCCCCATTAACAAAGGTACAGGCCTTAGCATTTTTGTCTAAGCATGTGTGAATTCAGAATTAGATATCAATATGTATGATATTGTAACCCTATCATTTTCAATTGCAGCTTTTTTATACAGAACCATGACTTGTGGATTTCTATGGGAGGAAAAAATATGATAATTATCGGAATTTAAAAATTAAAACCCCAGAAAAACGTCAATATCTTTGAAATCTTTGAAATGCTGGCCTTAACGGAATTTGTTTCTGAATTTTATGATTCAAGTCGAATATTTTATATCATATTTTGATTTATTGTTTCAATTACTTTAAAGTATATAATCAGCTACATAAAAGAAAAAATGCAAAAATCTTAATGTGGATAAAGAAGAAAAATTTCAACATTTTAAAAAAATTTGTACACGAGATAACTTCAGGATTGGTGCATCATGTATTTGAGCATTTCACCCTTAACCCTATCCCTTTTCAAAATATTGCTGAGACACTTTTTAGGATTCATTTGAGACATACAAAACGTTTTAACAATGTTTTATTACTGAGTTTGAGCGCAAAGTTAACGTTTAAAATCATCCATTTGGGTGTGTACGTTTTGAGAATTGATTTTTTAAAAACTATTAAATAAAGACAACAGAAAATGTAAAAAATATTCTACAGTAAACTTATTAGTTGTTTTGGAACATATTTCTCAATTTGAATTTTCTCAAGAAATCAATGTTAAAATTGCAATTATTTCTTTTTCATCATTATATTGAATTTCTTATACTTCATGAATTTGTTCGCAGATTTCTTCAAATTCTTCAAATGTCGTCTTTTCAACAAAAAAGTTCGTGAAAAATGAGACATTAAAGGGACCGTTCACTTTTTTGGGTAATTAAAGAATACAATAACTGAATAAAATTACTTATTTTCGATGATAATAGTTTATTTTTATTTTCTCAACCTGTTCCTAAACAACTAATTTGTTCACTGCAGAAGTTATAGCACATTTTTCGTCGTCGTTATGGAATAATTTATCAAAAAAGGGATTCTCGACATCATCCCTCAAAAGTGAACAATCTATGATGATTTTAATGATTAAATTTGCGCTCTTGCTAAACAAATATGCACCGTAAAAACATCTTATATGTCTCAAATGATTCCCACAAAATTTCTCCGCAATACTACATTCTCAGTTCAACTACCATATATTGCTGGTCACTCCATTAAAAAAGTTTTGAACTATCTGTGAGACACAGACCTGACTTTGGGCCTTCCTCAACCCTACCCCTAGCATAAAACTATACCGTTGGAAAAGTGAAGAAGTTTGAGCACTCTGTGTAACCGGTTTTTGAGTTATGAAGAAAACCCCACCTGGTGGGTGTAAAACAACAACAAAAAAAACTTGATAGGGTTAATAAAATCATTAATCCAAGATAGAAAAGGTCTCTGAATATCTAAGCCATGCAACACAAATACTGACGGGTATCGTTTTAAGGGCCGTTTCTAGATATTAAAGCTTTCACACTTTTATGAGTCCTGAAAAAAATTCTATTTTAAAATGGCATGCGTGTCAAAATTTGGGTTTGTTGCACTGTACTAAATTTTATCTCTGATCAAAGATATATTTACCAAAATGATTAGTAAAAGTGTTTAAATCTTTGACCAGTGAAAAAAATCCTATAATGTAATTTTTCAATAAAATTTATGACTCACATTTGTGTAAAAACACGTTTAACATCAAAACCCCCAAATGTCTAAAAACGGAGCTTATCACGATGCCCATGAGAAATCAGTTGATAATATTCTACAGGGTGTCCTAATAAACATGGGAAGTAAGTGACGAATTCGATATCGTCTTTTTAAATAATTCTTTGATTTAGTATAGTGATACCTACTGAGAAAGCTGTAATCTGTAAAAGTTTCGTCTGCTATGTTCACATTTTGTTTGTTTATGTTTTGACTGTATACGGTTGTACTTATAAAACAAGAAAATTGCAGTATACAAACAGTGTAAACTTGTCCGTCTTCATCTGTTCATCTTGCGGAGACATTATAGACAGATCTTTACAGTCTTTTACCCTTTTCATAATATAAACTCTAGCAGACATAATACTATTATGGATTTTGAAATTAGGTATTACAGTGCTAATTCATAACAAAGACGATATCGAATTCGTCACTGAATTCCCATGTTACCTGTTTAGTTTCTATTAGGTAATGTTTTGGACTTATGCCAGCACTTTGGAACAATACCAGAACAATGATTGGATTCATCTACTGAACATTTATTTATTTAATTTTCACATTTCTAAAAAAAAAACTTATTTTTTATGATAAATCAAAAACAAATCTACAGCTTACAAACAGGTTTTTCCTACTTTTTACTTTGTGTGTATAAATAAGTGTTCCTTGTGGAAAAAAGTCGTCTTCCGCAATATTTTGAAACTGCAAACTTTGTGCTCTCTTTTATGTAGCAATAATTTTTTCACAAAATTTGTTTTAGCATGTTTGTTCGGAATTGCGATTGTTTTCCCAACGTTTAGTTTTGCCCAGAATTCCAGGCAGAGTATACAGAATTCCACAAAAATTTGCTTCTGGTGGTGGCCATAGTTTTAATACATGAAACAATTATCCGCACTATTCCTGTTGGGGGGGGGGGGTCAGTTTGCCCCCCCCAAGCGTATCTTGGTATTCAAGTACCCCAGCAGGGATATGATTAATAGAAACTTTATACCTGATAATGTTCTGTCATGGAAGATAGAAGTCACTAATCATGTGAAACAAGTCTATACTTCAAGTCTGAATTAATCTAATAATTAGCTTTTTTACATTGTGAGGTGATCACATAAAATGAAGATTTATACATTTTATTAATACTTCAAGCTTTTTATTTTCATCATAAAATTGATTTATGGATTAAGTAAGATTACACAGATATTATATAGTATCATATGTCGCTAGGCATGGGCGTTGCTTTCTAAAAGATATAAAAATAATTTTTTTAAATCTTCAAGATTATTGTTAAATATGCATTATAATTCCACCACCAAAAAGCAAAATTCTTCTGAAGGGTTTAAGATTAAAAAAAGCTGTGCCTACAACAGGAGCTCATTAATAGAAATCACTCCACAACCGAGCTATACACGCGTGTTTAAAAACTTTTAAGATCTTGGTATAACAATTTTTCCACTTAATTGTTAAAGCCTCATTCCTTTATAAAAAGCTGGTTTTTTGGTATGCAACAAGTTTTATTTAATCCTGCCCCATTTATTAGCAATAGGTAAGAAGATAAAATGGAGAATTTTTCTCTCTATGCTTTAGCTAATAAGATATACTATTGTTGATTTATTTTGATATTGAATACAGTTGTTAAGAAGAAGAATTTTTTATAAAGGAATGTCATTTGCTCTCAGACAAATTAGAATCAATGCTACGCCCTCGGGTTTATCATTGAATCCCTCGAGGGTTTAAAGGAATTGAGTTTTTGCCACAAACTCAAATCTTCTTATCCCAATATCTTTGCAACCTGATGGTGCAAACCTTTGATATTTCAAACTTAGATTACTTTATCTATAAGTATTAATAGTTTGAAAAATCTAAGGTCTACGACATTGGTATTCAAAGATATTGAGATTAGAAAATCAGAGTTTTTGGCAAAAACTCAATTCCTTTCCATTGATTCTAATTTGTCTGAGAGTAAATGACATTCCTTTTTAAAGAGTGGATTCAATGATAAATAAACCCGAGGGCTTGCGGATTTTGCGGATTTTTTTTGCCTTTGTAGATTTTCAAAGTATCTTTCAATGAAAATATCCCGGCGGGATTAAATGAAAATTGTTGCATACCAAAAAAACCAGCTTTTTATAAAGGAATGAAAATTTGTCAGAGAGTAAATACATTTATAGTGGGTAACCCTGTTTTTTGGTCGTAAATTATCTTCTATATGAAGTTGTAATCTCTGTTTGTCTGTTTTTTCTCGATCATAACTCAGGAACCCCTGGGTCAATTTGCCTCAAATTTAAATTAGGGAACTCGGGAGAGCCACGGGAATGTTCTTGGCTTTGTTCTGAGATTCTAAATGGAAATCAGGGAAAATAGTTAAAATCTTAATTTACGACAAAGCGCAGCTAGGTAATCAGAGGGACTATGACCCCCCTGTGCAACACTGGGTTCCGAAGCCTATAAGTATATTTATAAAAGTACAATGTAATTCTACCCCAGGAAACATTTTAAACGACTTTAAGTGCCGATGGCGAAAATGTCTGGTAAATAATTCTGAACTTTTGATTTTCGACATCGGCATATTGTTGACTTTTTCACAATGTTTTTATAATTTATTTTTGATAATTTTTGTAAAATAAAATGGAACGAGGAGTAGGTAAAAGTTTCAAATGTTCTTCTTTTTTCTCCTTTATTCATCTGCACGACTGCGGTTTCTCTTTTTCTTACCTCCCTTTGCCAAATTTATGGCGCTACTTTTGAAAGAATGTTACAAGTAGCTATCTATGTGCCATTATAAGACAGTAAACGATCAGCCTTTCATTGAATAGATGTCCCCCTCTCCGTTTTTGTTTTGTTTAATTGTATTTGCAGCCTCAGCGCTGAACATTCTATTTGCATGTTCTAGGTCACCACTCCTGGACTTCAAGTTAGTTATTATTTGCAGCAAGGAAGCAATAGCTTCCCTGCTATGAACCGCACATTTTTACTTTCATGTACAGCAAGGAGGGTTGCTATTCCACAAAGGATGATCAAGCGACCAGCTTGGAGGTAATTTTGTTGTAGGATCTAACTGAGAAAGGTCCTCATGTCTCATTTTTCTGCTTGTGAGAAGGTTAGATGGTAGGGGGAGGAAAGCGGAGATGAGGATAAGACATGTTTCGTTAAAATCACTCCATTTTTCCACACATGTTATACTGTATCTCAGTCCAGTGGAATTCCTTAGGAAGATCGCATTTACTGTGAACCGCTGCGTGCAGAATGCGGAGTTGTCCCCTTTTATCAGCTCTGCTCAGGGAGCAGGGACAGAGCCTTTACAGAAAGGGCTCCAATCGCTAAGTGGAGTTGATGTAAAACCAGATTAGTACAAGCCATACTAGCTCTTTTTTATTTGTATTTCTTGACTTAGTACCCTGGCCGTGGATACTGTAGTTAAGAAGGAGGCTAGATAATTGAGCTCGGGGTTCAGGGGCGCTTGGCCTTCCCTCCCTCCATATGTGCAGACACCTTTCTCAGCGTCCACTGCAAAAAGTGCAGAGAGCTCTGCTATCCTAGGCTGTAGGATTTCAATTCACATGTCCGTGACTAAATGTTTGCAAGGATAGTATTATGACCACCAGCTGGTAAAACTGTTTTATAATTCAACCCAGAACAAGGATACTGCAGGTCTAGTCTTTTCTTGTACCAACCCGTCTAGTGTACCTGCATTATGTACTTGTCTGCAAGAAACATAGACTTAATGATTTAGTTAACATGAGTGCAAGCAGATTCAGGTAGATGTGTAGATTTAAAAAAAAAATTCTCATAAGTCACACTAGAGGCGCTAGTATGAAGTTATCGTAGTTTGTAAAAGAACGAGGCCAGTCTACGGCGAAATAATCATTTAAATGTAGCAGTTTAATTATCTTACGCCAAAACTGTAAACTCTATTATTTTTAATTACACCCGTTAAAAAGGGAGAAAAAATGAAGTCCTTGATTTTAATTAAACAATCAATCAAAAAAGTTTTGATTTAGTAAGCCACGCAAACTTGTATACGATGATACTAAACTAAAACAAACTACTAAAATTGTTTTAAAGAACAATTTATCTGCACTGCCTAACACTATACTAGCAAATGCCCATTATTATAGAGATGGACCTCTTTTTTGTTAGCAAACTAAAATTTTCGTTAAATTAACAATGACAAAGCTAACAAACGAATTCAAATTTCTATTGAACAATTTAGAACAAAAAATGGTTATTAACAAATGATGAACGAACAAATTTTAAAAAGCTGAACGCGCCTATCTCTTCCTTTTAGTATGTTTTCAAACAGTTTTATTACGAAAAATGTTTTTTTTAACTTTATTGAATGTTTTGAATTTTAAAAAGATAATTATTACCTTTTTTAATAAATATCACACAATTTTGTTTATAGAAATATGATATTATTGCAAATAAAAAAACATGAATTATTGTCCAATGTTTAAAAAATAAATTGAATAAAGATAAAATAAGTCAGACAATTGTTAAGCACGTCAAAAAAATTTCTTTCAAGACCTTCAGAGACATGAAATTAAACTATCTACAGTGATATCCAGAATACTCTGAAATAGGAAGACGACTTTTAGAATCAAGATATAACTTTTAAAAGTCCAATGAGCATGAGACACACGCAGCAATTGTGCAGTGCAAACAGATCCATTTCACTAAATTAGCAATGTAGTGTCTAGGAAAAGTAATTGCTTTGTAACAACACCAAATACACTTAGTATAGCACATGTTGTATTGAAGAAAAAGCAAAATAGTGAAAATTCCCTTTTAAGGCGTTTGTACAATGAGGATTCAGGCAATTAGGTGTCCCGGCTTTTAGCCTAATGTGAGGAGCATGTACTATAGTTAGAAAAGTAAAAAAATTGAACAGCCTCAGACCAATTCTTTTTGAGTTATCGCAAAAAAACGTCAGGGGTGTCAAAGTGACCCTCTCTCAGTTGGAATAGGGTTAACTGTTCATACTGTTTGGGAACTAATGGGAACAAGTTGGAAACTATTGGGAAGAAATATTTTCAGTGATTTATGCTTTTCTGTACATTATGAAATTATGTACCAAATTGTAGAATATTCTGAAATAATGGATTGTTCAAGACACGTCCAAGATTCGAATTTGTGAATTGTGATATGTGGGAGAATCGAAAACCTTAAATTGTTTCTAAAATGGTATGGGTTTTTAAAAATAAATGACCGCTCACAGTTTTAAATTAGAAAAGAAGTAAATAGTGTTAATAATATGCAGTTGGAAAAATTTGCACTCAAATTGTGGAATTTGCGATTTTTCCATTTTGCTGAAAGCCCTATATTTATCCAACTAAGTAGCATATTTGTTATATCTAAATCAAACTTTCAGAGCTTTATGTTTATTTCAAAAAAAGTTTATTTAAAACAATATTTATTTGCATTAAAATCGAACCATTTACTTCCTCCCCCAACACCCCCAGCATCCTCCTTGGGGAGGAGGAGGAGGAGGGGGAGGAGGTCCTCCTCCCCAGCCTCCCCCTCCTCCCCAGCCACCCAAACCTCCCCAGCCTCCCAAACCTCCAAAGGCCAAACCCCCCAGAAATAAAAAGTAATCGTCTCCAAGGGCTGAATATCCAGGTAAATATCCAGGTAGCATTATGTCTCCATAACTATTCATTGCCTGAAATTAGAAAAATTCGTGTTGTTAACTTTTATTGACCTCACATTTAGAATTGGTCATGTCGATTCACAACGGTACCCTTAAAAACCCTTTTTCTAGTTTTAAAAATGGTTAGTTCTGATAAGATCAGAGCTAGCTGGGAACTTTAGAACCTTTAATCCAAACTATTTAATCCGAATATCCACTGTGGAAACTTTTAATTTTAGTACTAAATCTACTCTTTTTCTCTTTTTTTGGATATCCGTACATTATTTTCTCCAATGAGAGTGCAAGAATATATTTCGTAAATTGTATAGCCCAATGACAGCCTTGAAAACAAATTCTATCTCATGAGAGAAATCCACAATTTCTAATAAAAAAAAAGAATTTGTTGTCTGCCATTTTGTAAATTAATCGGTGAAGAAAAATATTCAATAACACGTTTGAGATTCTTTTTTAACCAATTTCAACTAATGTATTAATAAATAAATGGGTGAGAAATTAAGTGAAGGCCCTTCCAGTCAAGAAAACGAACTAATCAGGCATTCTTGGAATCCATTTTGTTGATCTAATTACTTAACTTCAAAATAATAATAAAATAATCTCGAGATTAGCAAAAAGAGAGGATCAAGCATTAATCCTGATATCCCCCATTCTAAAGTTCCCAGCTCAGGATATTTTTCCCGAGCAATTTGCCTTTTTTTCTGCTTAATTCTTTATACGCAAATTGAATTTTTTAAAATCCCTTGCAATTTTTACAAAAATTATTCTAAATTAAAATGTTCAATCTATGTTTGAGTACCTGTGTATCTGCTGTCTGAATAAGAAATTTTTTTGCTGAAACCATTTGAAGAAAGCAGATGCATAAATTTAACTGCTTCAACATGTTCTGAAATTGTCTTACAGTGAATCCCAACTTAAAGGGTCAAGGAAAGAAATTGTGTGAAATGTCGTCTTGAATTAAGTTTGCTGAACGTAATGTAAACAAAAGGGTTATCTTGTATTTTCGAAGTAATGTGGAGTAAAATAGATATAAATATAAAATCCGAAACGACCGTTTTTATTTCTTAGCTGAACAATCAAATTCGCTGGTCCATAGCTCGTTAATTACCATCGTCTAACAAAAATTTTGATGGTTCACTTCTCTTATATCACTCGCAAAATACAAGTTCTAGGTTTTAGTTAGATTAAATTACAATTTTTGTAATTTCTTATTTAATGTGCCGTCTGGAAAAAGACAACCCACCAAGACTTTCTATCTATTTAAGCTTATGCTAACCTGCAATAAAATCATTTTTCAGAGAGAGGAAGTATGGGGGGGGGGGTCCAGAAGAAAAAGAAGAGGATTGATACTACAGTTTTAGACTAACTTTCAGTATCTTTATCATATTAATCTTAATATTGAATATTTTTTTGTATAATTTTGAATAAGCTTTTATCAATTACCAATTTTTTATTCTTCTTTTTGAAAAGCATCAATTTTTGAATTTTTTTGCTTGTTTGAATGTTTTAAGGAATTTTTAACAACTATAAAAGAAAAATATCTAGAAATAATTTCTTATTCTGCTGAGTATAGTAATCTTAGAAATCAGCCTACCGCTTACCGGGGGTTTGGGCATTAAATTTAAAACCTTAAAAATATTGCAATAAGAAAAAAATCGTCCATACAATTTTGATGGTACGATTAAACATCAGAGAAACTGCTAAATAAGCCGATAAGCGCCAAAAAAAATTTAAAAAGTTACATGTTATATTTTAACATTTCTATGAATGATTTTCAAATCTGAATTCGGCATAAAATTTCCAAAAAATTGAGGTAAAGCATGAAATTATTCATAATTATTATGCCAGTGTTGTAATTTCTCCGGTCAGAATATGGACGATTTTTTATTATTTTTTATCATTTTTATTTTTTTTATCATTTTTTATTTTTTTTATTATTTTTTATTATTTTTATTATTTTTTATTATTTTTTTAATCATTTTTTATTATTTTGTATTGCAATATCGTGGGTGGTTGGCTCAGTTCCAATATTGATGATGCATATTGTGTAGGTTAAAATTCTGAAAAATCCTCTCAGCCTGTTTACACTAATGAAGCATGGAATAAATGTTCTAAACAATTATAGGATATAAAAAGATCTGCATATTATATAAGACAGAAATTGCAGTAAAATTATTGGCTTAATTTTCTGAAAAAGAATTTTAGATTACTTATTAGATATCTTAATAATGTTTCACAGACTCTTCCAAACTTGTATATAATTTCATAGAGAAGTTTTTACCCTAGCCCTGTGGGCACCCCGGACTTACCAGAGTTAGAGCATTCGGTTTCTTCTATTCGAAATCATACGCGTTTTGTTTTATATTTTAACAATATTTCAACTTAATGATTTGTTTGTTTTATACTTTTTATTCAAAACATATATGCCGGCAAAAAAGTATTTGAGAAAGAAGGCTGAAAAAATATGTTTAATAGGAGAAATTATGATCGAAAGTCATAGCTTTCTGGAATATTGACAGAACCATTAAATCCACGTGTGGGGTACTAGAAAACCAGGATAGGCTGGGGGGGGGGGGGTCAATTTGACACCCCCTCTAAATTCCATGTCCAAATATGACAAATGATACATCATTGGAAAAGCTCTAATGCTCTACTTTTAGAATCTGCAAAAAAAGCAATTTGCAAAAATTGATTTTAAAAAAATCCTTTGTATTATAAAAATGTTTTAAAAGCTTTTGACCATGCCATTTTAAATATACAAAAAAGCTGCACAATTTTAAATAATCTGTTGTGTAATTAAGAAAAACTAAATATATGCAAATTTCTTTCGACGTATGCAAATAACTTGCAAAATTTCTTTGCAAAACTTAAGCAATCTGCTTCCTAATGTAATAGGCTTTTCTAAAAAGCTAAAAAATATTAAATTTGACAACTGAAAGTGGGTCAAACAAAGATATTTAGATTGGTATAGGAAAAGTAGTCATTCAGGCAGTCCGCAGTGCAGCCTGACGCAGCCTGAGAACTCAGGCAGTATGTATAAAAGCCCGGTAACTTAAGAACGCTAAAAAAATATATGTATAAGGTAGAACGAAGGACAGTCAAACGGCGCGGGTCAAAATCAGAAATGCTTAATAACGTTTTTATTAATTAAGCTACGAGGCTAAAATTTATAAAATTGAAAAGCCCATTAAACTTTTTTTTGAAGGCATTGAAAAGTTAGACCAGGGACATGTATTACACTCTCCTATCTCAACTCTAAGGACAAAATCACCTATATTTGACAAAAAAATATCCCAACCGGGATAGAGTTAAGCTGTACAATGTTTTAAGCCAGAAATATCTTTCAAACTTTATCAACATTATTATTCAATTTTCTTACATGAAAAATAAATTGTCGTGTTTTTTCTTTTTTCTTGAATTGTGTGTATTTATAACCCATAATTAATAACAGCAAAATATACCGGGGATGTCGATTTTTTTCATGGATTTTGAGAAATCCAAGGAGATATTGAATAGAAGAAGGAGGTGATAGGGTTTCCGTATACTTTGCTGTGACGTTTTTAGACTGCTGGAGAACTAGTTTTTGCGTAACAACAATAATAAAGATTGTAAACAATAGCACAAATGATAAACAGACATCTGGCATCTCTGGCGTATTTATGAAGGGGGGGGGGGCAGGATAACCTTGAATTTGATTGAAAATGTCGCTGTAATAAGGTCCTTTTCGTATAAAACTAAAATCCTTAACTTTTTCAATCTTTTTTAACAAGATAATACTACTTTTACAGTTTACTAACTCATGTTTGTTTACATTAGATCGGCTGCCTTTGTTATTGTTGTTACGCAAAAACTAGTTCTTCAGCAGTCCAAAAACGTCACAGCAAATTATACGGAAACCCTATCGCCCCCTTCTTCTATTCAATATATCCTTGGAGAAATCGAACTAAAGTCAAATTTCTTAAAGGACCATTCACACCCCTTCTTTTGGTCAAGGTTTAACAAAATAAAATTTGGGCGGAACTGTTCACACGCACTGTTTTGACGTTTATGTGACACGAACAAACAAACCAAAAAACGAAAGTCTGGATATAAATATATAAAATGTTCAATATTATAATCATTTAAATTTTCAACTTAAAACTTACCTAGTGCTTTATCAAGATTCAAAATAAAATACAAATAATAAGATGATTATATTATCATAAACTAGAATTAGAAATTTGAGACAACATAAATAATATTAAAATTCTTTTAAATATCACACTAGAAATCTTGTTTTACTGTGTTCATTAATATTCATTGATAAAGCTAATATAGGTTCTACTAAGTAAGTAAGAGTAAGTAAGCAACAAATTATGTATTTTTAAATATAACAAAAACATTAACAATCAAGTGTTCCAGAAGAAATATATTTAATCAATTTTGAGGTAATTTATCACACCTAATATTTACCGTTATAGAGCAATAAAGTTACTATATACTTTCATTTTAATCTCAAACAAATAAGAAAAAGTAAAAATCCCGGCAAAAACTTTTTCGCACTTAATAATACCCATTATTGCAATGACATAATAAATATAAAAACCTTCAAAAATAGAAGTTGTAGAAATATTTTATCTCAATTCTAAATAAAAGGAAAGAAAAAGGAAAGTTACATATTTATAGATTTGTTTACATTATATTTAATAAAATATGGTTATAAGGGTTGTGAAAAAGATTGGGAGTGACCGGCAATGTAACATTTTTGAACTGAGAATGCAGTATTACGGAGAAAAAAACATTTATAGGATTCATTTGATACCACGGGGTACAATATTTGAATAAGAGCGTTAAGTTGTATGTAATATTTCACCAGTTGTTTCACCCAGCAGAAGAAACATTTTCATTTTAATAGCCTGGACAAAACATGTAAAAAATGTTTCATAGACAGATTTGTTGTTTAGGAACATATTGCTTAAAAGTAATTATCGATAAAAGCCATAGTAGAACGGTAGAATCGATTATTTCATTATCATCATTATCTTTGCTTTTTCTGTATTTTTTTTTTCAGAGCTACCTTTAAAATGTCGTCTTCACAATCTAAATTAAGAAAACCTTCAATAAGCTACCCTAGCTGCAAGAATTTGCAAAAATGAATTTTGAAAACTTATTTTCAATGATACAAGTTCATTATTCTTCGCAACCTGTTCCTATACATGACATTGGTATCAAATGAATTAAAAAAATATTCTCCATAATACTGCAGTCTCAGTTCAAATGTGTTACATAGCCAGTCTCTCCCTTTAATCATCTTTTTAAGCATCTTTTCTAATCTATTAGATACCATTGTTGTTGTCATGGCAAAAAAACGTTCTTTTCAAAAGAAAATTAAAATTGGCCCAAAATGAGGTTATTTTTTATCGTATTTTCTGTACTATTTAATTTTTTAATTGTGCTAAAAAACTTAATAATGGGGGATCAAAGCTGGAGGGGCGATCCCGTTACCAATTTGCTAAATAGGATAAATTCAGTTTAGAAAATGTCTGAAGGTTTTTTAAATTTAATTTAATGTATATTTCAGCTTATTGCTTCAGAAGCCAGAATGACCCGACCTAATGTTTAAATGTAACCAAATAAATTTTCTTCTCTTACACGAAAACTTGAGGAGCTCCGAAATCAAAATGTTGGACAATAATTGGGATTTTCTACAGTTAAACCCTAAATACGCCATACATTGAAAGAATTTATCAAATGTCGTCTTGACAATTTTTCAATGGGTTTTATACTATTTTACGTAAATCTCAGTATTTGCGAAAATAAATAAATAGCGATGAATATGCATGAACAGTTTTAAAGAGCTTCATATAATCATTTAATTAAAAAGCTAAATATCTGCAACATTCCATTTTCAGAAAGTGAAGAATACGACATTTGAAAAATTCTTTCGATGTATTCGTTATTAAGGGTTTAACTGTAGACAAATATGTAAAACGTGAGCCTGTGTTGAGTTTGCACTGTACGCTATATTCTAGTTTAACGACAATTTGAACTAATTTTAGAGATAAACACACAGAGTTCTCTGCTTACACTTACAATCCCTTTAATATTATAATTGTATTCCCTAGATTCCTAGGAAACATAATTAAAGTCTGTGAAGTAATATAAAATTCCGTCTTGGAAATACAAGTTATAAACTTGGAGACATTTTAACATTTTATTTTTGCACTATAGTTTCAGTAGAAGTAAACATTTCAATCTACTGTTAAAGCACCGATATAAGGATTTATCTCTAATTGGATAATGAGCTAGATAGAAAGATAAACGTTACCGCCATGCAATTTCTATTGGCTCAGATTAGACAACAAACACATGACTGAACTCTGATTGGATCAGGCGCTAATGGATCCGGCACACTATAGAGTGTTATCAATCTTACTCTTACTCTGTTTTTTTAATTGATTTAGTCCTTCCAGGGAAACTCAATGAAATTATAGATTTACAACGATACCCTTTAAAACATTGACGGTGATAATTGATGGAGATATCCTTATTTTTCTATCCGAATGTATCACTGGTTTATTTTATATACCATACAACGGTATATAATAGGAATTAAAAAACGGGGCAGTACGCCAAATAAACAATCTTTTTCTTGTGAGATTATTGTGATACTGAGGGTTAACAGTCTTCTTAAGGTAGAGTAGAGAATTATTTTTATGTGAGTTACATACCCTATGGTACCACTTAAACGTTAAATCAAGAATAATTAATGACATATCTTTGATTTCTTTCCAAAAATTTTATGTTTTTATTTTCAGGTTTGTATGCAACAGAGACCCGGAAGGAAATTGCCATAATTGTCCATTTTCAAGATAAAAAGGACGATATCTGCTTGATTCCTTGTTACTTGTTAGTGCATTCTATTCACTTAGAGTAGTAGTTTTAGTGTTTAGAAATCAGTGTTTTAGGTGTCCCGCTTTCATACAGTCGTCATTGTACATATCAATTTACAATGAAGAATAATAGCTTTAAATTTTGATTTATTACAAGTTTTTAACTGTGTATCTCAAACATAAACATGGAAACAAAGAAAAGCTTTCCTTTAACAGCTTCTATTTGTTCACTTGTAAATTCGTAATTTGAAAATAGCTTTAAAAACCGAATGAGCTTTAACTTTGAATAGTGCATACTATTTTTTAACAAACTGCATACTTTTTTTACACAAACTGCATACTTTTTTTTAGGGGGATACTTCATTAAATACATTACATAAAGTCTTCATCGATAGTAAATATTGATATTCCGTGAATATGAAAGAATTTGAATACAATTAGAAGTGTCTCTATAGCTGTAGAGAGAGAACTAGAAAAAGTTCAAGGTACGTTGAAAGGGTACCGTAGTTAATCAGAGATTTCCCTCTGTAAATGGAAGGTGGCTTGAAATTTTGCAGTACCTTTATTATCAATTGATCAAATCAATTATTATTATGTATCACAACATTGCATTATTTTACCTCAACCAAGAATGTAAGGCAAGGAAAGTCAATTGCGGTCGTGTATACTCTGTGTACATATTGAAACCAGTTCTCTTTGAGCGGAATTTGTAAACAATAATAGATGCATCAGTGTTCGTTTAGTATCCAAGGAGGTTAAAAGCATTAAATTTTGATAATTTTGATAATTCACATAATAATTTCCTATGACCAGAATATTTCCTTGATTTTTTATGTGATTGATGGATCCCATGTCAGGCTTCGACATCCGTCTTGTGTTTACATTAGCGCCCAGATACAGTACAATGCAGTACTAAAGATGTGTACACTTCTGAAATGACTTTCCTTGCCTTACATTCTTGACCTCAACCATCCACCACTTTTCGCTAAAACTCACTATAAACATGAATCGGAGTACTGCAGATCTCGTTGCACTACTATATAATCAATCATAGTGCTGCAGATCACGTTGCATTACTATATAATCAATCAGAGTACTGCAGATCATGTTGCATTACTATATAATCAATCATAGTGCTGCAGATCACGTTGCATTACTATATAATCAATCAGAGTACTGGAGATCACGTTGCATTACTATATAATCAATCAGAGTACTGCAGATCACGTTGCATTACTATATAATCAATCAGAGTACTGCAGATCTCGTTGCACTAATATATAATCAATCAGAGTACTGCAGATCACGTTGCACTACTATATATAATCAATCAGAGTACTGCAGATTATGTTGCACTAATATACAATCAATCAGAGTACTGCAGATCACGTTGCACTATTATACAATCAATCAGAGTATTCCAGATCACAATGCACTACTGCCCGAAAGCTTAGTCTAGTGCAGGTGCCCCTTTTTGGCGGTCATCATTTTGCTGGTTTTTTGTGTGTCCCGGACAAAATTAAATATGTTTAGTTTGGCGTGCGTTCAAGTGACATGAACGACTCATATTTGAGCCGCACCACAGTATATATATGTATCAAAGCGATAAAAATTGATAAAGCCGCCTTTTTCCGGCCTGACTGGTCAAGATTTGTGTATGAACATCTCGCTCGATCGTTAAAATGTAAAAAAAAAGTTTAACCATTTGGAAGGGGGGTAGAAAGTGTGATAGCGACATAACACAATTCATATCAATGAGCAATTTTAGAATAAGAAAAATTTTTTAGTTTTAATTATATGCACATTTTCCAAGGTATTATCATTTATCATGTGGACTTTAGACCCTCCATTATTTAAGTTGCACGCGCATTTCTGATTTTCGTCGAAACCTCTGCAGGGATATCCAAGTTTTTCTGTTTGATGTTGGATTACTTTCAAAGGGGATTTCTCTATTAAACTAAAGTAAGGATTTGTGCTGCAAAAAAGGGAGGAAATTTTCAGATTTAAACACATTTAAAACTACAAAAACGATGAATATTAGTGAGCTGAATCTTATCTAAACTTATGTCCTGGGTCTTTTAAAGCCATTTAAAAAAAGTTTAAGCTTGATAATTTCTCGCAAAAATTTACTTTTTTTGGTTTATTTTAATAAAACTGGGAATTTCAAGTAAAAAGAATGACATTAAAATTTTGTATTATAGAGTTATATTTCTAAGAATGAAAATGAATATTATCACAAATTTACATATTTACAATGCATTGTATACACAAATTGTTTATTTTCAAGAAATCAAACAAATAAAAAAATATTTTTCATTTTTATATAGTTTCGGTTTATTTTATCAAAGATATTTAAGTATATAAAGGATTTTTTAATGTTCCTAGAATCAAACTTTATTAAGCGCTGTAGAAAGCAAAATTTGAATAAGTTATTGATATTTTTTTTTGATTTTTAGTACATCTAAAATAAAGGCTGATAAGAGTGGTGTATTGTATAAAATGTAAAATGTTTAAGAATTAATTCGTCAACTTGTACAAGAACAATGTATTCTTTAATTTATTCAAATGGGGCGATGTAAAAATAATCTTTATTTGGTAATTTCATTTCACAACTTAATTTTACTTGTTCTATCATAATTTAAACTTTATTTTAGATAAGAAAGAAACAGGGATTTTACTAATTTTAAGGAAATGGATAATAAAAATTTTTTTTTGTATTTTTCTTAAATTTGAACATTTCTCTTAAAAAGAAAATAATTTTGAACATTTGATAAAAATTCTAAATTATGTGGAAATTGAAGGTTTTGGAAAAAATAAGTAATGGAACAATAAAAGTGTTTCATTTTTTGCGGTTTCATTTGTATCCAACAATTATATAAAATTTAAATTAATATTTGTATTATAAAGAAGTAGAATTAAATCTATACCATGAGTAATGAATTTACAAAAAAAAATAATATATTAAAAAGTTTTAGCTACAAGTTTATCCTGCACTCTCAGGAAAGCATTTCTATTTCACGGGTTCTTTAGTTAACTAATTCTGGAGGATTTTCTCAGATAGATTCAAGTGTTTTGTTTTCGACGAAACTTTTCTTTTAGCTCTTACTGGATCCACTGTAACTTTTCAACATTTCCCTGAATTATATAAACATAGATTAATAACAATACAGATAGAACACTAGATGTCGTCTTTCCTAGATTTAGGGGTTTTTCGCTCAAAATAACCCTGAGGCAGAAGCCCAAAGTAGTTACGCGCATGCTCTCTTTCAGTCTTGTCATTCAACGCGGCATGGGTTTCTGCCTCTTGGTTATTGTGAACGAAAAATCCCCTAAATGTTGAAAAGACGACATTTAGTGTTATATTTGTGTATGGTTATTAATCTAAGTATATAAAGTTTACTTCAGAAACAGAAATGAAAAGAAAGTTGGACTATACTTTGGAACTTACCAGGGAAGAACGAGACAAAACTGTAAATTTTAAAAATTTTAAAAAGGACCTCAACTCTCGTTATGAACTCTAATATCCAAATCTCTATATAATCTTTAATATTTTAAACTTGAACTATTTAATTGACCAGTGGCCGAATTTAAATAATTTGAGCGGCAGTTTGAATTTAAGCCGCGGTTTATATATGGTTGGTTCCACTTAAAATTGTATCAAATGATTTAAAAAGATTTAAGCCGGCGCTGAATTTAAACAGGGTTTTGGCGGATTTAAAACGCTGCTCAAATTCTTTAAATTCCATCTCAGAATTCATATTTTAAATTAGCAAAGGTCTACAACAACAGGTTGCATAGATATAACGATTACAAACTTAGTATTCAGTTTCTTATTGGTTCCTTAATTTCATTACTTTGTAAAATCACATACGGAAATAAACAGAAAACTCTGAAATACAGTTAAACCCTTAATAACGAATACATCGAAAGAATTCATCAAATGTCGTATTCTTCACTTTCTGATAATGGAATGTTGCAGATATTTAGTTTTTTTAATTAAATGATTATATGGAACTCTTTAAAACTGTTCCCGCATATTCATGGCTATTTATTTATTTTCGCAAATACTGAAATTTACGTAATGTAGTATAAAAACCCATTGAAAAATTGTTAAGACGACATTTGATAAATTTTTCCGATGTATTCGTTATTGGGGGTTTCACTGTAGGAAGACAACTTTTAGAATCAAGTTCTTACTTTCAAAAGTCTATTGAGCATGAGACTCAGCAATATTTACACAACAGATCCGTTTCTCAAAATTAGTGATTAATAAGTGTCTAATAAATGATTAATAAGTGTCTAATTAGTGATTAATAAGTGTCTAATAAATGATTAACAAGTGTCTAATAAATGATTAATAAGTGTCTAATTAGTGATTAATAAGTGTCTAATAAATGATTAATAAGTGGCTAATAAATGATTAATAAATGTCTTAAAAAACTGTTAAATTTGTAACAACATTAAATACATTTATTGTATTTCTATAAAATCGTGTTCCTATTCCAATGTTTTCTGGTTATCTCTGTAGCATTAACAATATTAAAATTCCTTCAGAAGACATCAGATCAAAGAAAATAAAAACTCCCAGGTCGTCTTTACAGTTTCGTTTATTGTGAATCATCTTTATAATGAAAAATATATTTATCTTTTTACCTATACTGAGAGTAGACTAGTTTCCTAACTGCTGGGTTCGTATCAGATATTCCAGCTTTTCCACCTCCATTTAGGGCTCTAGGTCTTACACCTCCATTCAAGGCTCCATTTAGTGATGCACTCTTCCCATCTCCATTTTTTCCACCTCCATTTAAAACTTCCTGGTTGCTATTAGCTCCAACAATGTCTCCCCTGCCCCCTACCATTTCCCTTAAAGAATTACTACTCCCATTTATTGATCCTTTGCTTCCCATTACTCCACTCCCATTCTTTATCTCGGCTTGCTTCTCGGTCTCCATTTTTTTCAAAGGCATAATAGGTGGAGGTGGAGGTATGTTAAAGGACGCATTATCATCAATATGCTCCTCTTCTTTCACCTCCATTTCAACAGTATTATCAGAATTATCATCAACATCAAACCTGACCCCTCCATTCTTAAGTTTGGCTCCAGATTTTATTTCATCCAGAAAACTGACTGGTAAACCTCCATTCTTATGTTCTCCACTCTTTTTTAAAACTCCTTCTAGCCCGGGGCAGCTAGGTTTTATGGGCAAAGTGTTGCCCTTTACTTCCTTAGCTTCTCTAGTTTGTAAATCTGTATTTTCTGTCTGTTTGCTGGTGGTTAAATACTTATTGTATCCCCGGGATTTCAGTTCAGAAAAGGACATTGTAGAACTACTGCTGGTGTTGGACAAGTTGACATTTCCCTCCAGTAATCGTATTCTACTGCTTACAAGGCTTTTCCCTGATACTGTAGGGGTGGACTCCCTTCTTGCAGGTTTAGGAGGAGCTTGCACTGTAGCTTCCACATTTACTTTGCTCTTATTGTTATTAACAAGAGTTTCGGTGGATTCTAGGGTTTCATTTATGTCTTCTTGCTCAATGCTAGCGTTGATATCAATTTTGTTCTTCCCTATTTTTTCTTTCAGCTCACTGACAACGTTTCTCTTTTCGTGCAGGAAAACTTGCGGATTTTCACCGGTTGGGTTTGGTTGGATTTCTTGATTTCCGGCATATTTGGTGGATTTTTCATGATTTAACTGAGCCCTGTCCCCGTAAAGACTGACATTTCCTGATTCAACTCCGCTAGCGAGACATGAGTTCAGAACCAATCCAAAACTTTCCTTTCTCAATCTTTCAGCTGCCAGATCTGTCTCATCCTCGTCGGTTTCGTGAGACAAGAAACTTGATTTTCTGTCACTTCTCTCCAGATAGGATTTTAGATCAGGATTCTCAATCTCTGGTTCAGGTTCAGGTTCAAATGGTCCTGCTCCGGTTTGAGAATGGAGAAAACTTTTCATCGAATTGTGGAGTGCAGATCGGACATTGCTGGTTTTAGAAAATATGGAGCCGTTTGACTTCTGCTTGACTGTTACAGAAGATTCATCAACATAGCTCGGTTCTCTAGTCACGCTTGACTTTTTTGAGTTCTTAGAATAACTAGATTCTTGAAAGGTGCCCGGATAAAGTATACAGCTTGACTCCTGAAAGGTGTTTGGATTAAGAATGCTGCTTGAATCTTGAAAAGTGCTTGCATTAAGTATACTGTTTGAATTAAGTACACTGCTTGACTCTTTAACAGAGCTTGACTTCATTATAGTGGTTGACTCTTTGAAGGTGCTTGATTCCTGAACAGAGCTTGACTCTTTAAAGGAGCTTGATTCTTGAAAGGAGCTTGATTCTTGAAAGGAGCTTGACTCTTGAATCAAGCTGGACTTGAGAACTGAACTTGATGCTTGAACAGAGCTTGACTCTTGAATGGAACTTAACTCATTGGTCGAACTTGACTCACGAATCAAACTTGATTCTTGAGTTGAATTAGACTCCGCAAAGCTTGACTTCTGTTTTGAGCTTAATTTTTGAACAGAGCTAGAGTGATGGAGAGCTGAATTGATACCACTCTTTAACTTTACATCAGAGCTGGTGTTGTTGTTGATGTTGTTGTTGTTGTTGTTATTGTTATTCATAGAATTAGAATTTATGAGTTTTGCAATTCCTACAGAAGATCCTAAATAAAAGTAGTTTTTGACCAAAAAGACCTTTTTTATTCCTTGTATATATTACATATCAAATTGACAAAAACTAACCTGGAACCTTTTCAGGGGTGTAACTTCCATGAAGGAAACTCTTGACCCCTTCCCCTCGTCCCTCTCCTACCCCCTTCTCCACTGCTCTTTTCCCCTGGAGAGCCTTCAGGATTTCAGTCATATCGACCTGAAAACAAATTAATATAAACAGTTTTTAAATTAGATTAAAATGGCAGCGAGAAGGCGTTTGGGAAATTGAATCCATGTAGGCAAAAATCTATTTCAAAGTCTGCGCCCTGTTAAGATTGACTTATGTTTATGCATTTCATGGGAAAGGGCCAATGATGGTAGCCCCCCCCCCCCCGAAAGAGGGAAGATTATGAATTCCTGACAAATCCCCCTGAAATGTCAAAAAAAGGATAAGCCCCCCCCCCGGCCCTGTATACGCCCCCTGATACAATCCCATGTTTTACAGAGTTCTTAAACCCTGTTACATTCACCAAGCCACACCTTACATTTCTATTTATGCCTTCTATAATGTTGATTTAAAGGGACTATTAAGTTTTTATGAATGCTATATATGGAACCCAATTTTGTAAAAAAACAGAGTTCCTCACATAAGTAGGAAACTTTAGTAAGGACTTCATCCTCCCTTTTTTTACATTCATGGTTCCCTGCAGGGGCGCATTTTTTATTAAATAAAAATATGCAACAAACTAAACCAAGAAATTGAAAATGAAATTTATACAAAATCTTTTGCTTGAAATGTATGTTTTTGATATATGGTCGAATTACTGGGTAAAAATAAACGTTTTTTTTGGACTGCTCTTTTATCATTTTTGAGATGGAAGAAAATGTTTAAAGTTTTTGATGGATACCCTGCACAATATTATAACACTCTTGTTCCTGACTATGGATATAGGACTCAACTACTGGAGTTTAATTTAATGCACGTAGGTAGAGTCATTTAGCATTGTATTCAGCACAGATACAGGGTGTCTCAAAAAAAAGTTTGCATTTAATAAATTCAAAAATTTTACTGGCACAAAAATTGGCTTGGGGGATAAAGGCCAAACGAATTACAAAGATTGAAGACTATCTTTGAAATCATGTTGGCCATTCTATTTCGTGGGACACCCTGTATATCAAAGTATACAAGGTTTAAACTTTAGCTGTATACAGGTATCCTTCTTTCTTTTAAGCTTGGCTGGTGGGAATAGAAATCAGGAACTATCCGACCTGTAAATTATTTATAAATGAGGGAGATCACTGATCAGGGCTTATTTTAAACTATTTGGCATTGTTCAATTTTATGCAAATAATCTAACAAAGTAACTTTATAACTTTAAAAATAATTTAAAACTTTAAATATTTAAAATCCTGAAAATTTTACTTCATGTTCTTTTACCTTGTTGTCAGTCTCCCCATTCTTGAGTGCTGCTAACTCCAACAGTTTTAGAACCTAAATATTTGTTTCTTTCAAGAAATTGTTCAATCTATTAAAAAAACTCAAATTATCAAACTATATTTCGATTTTCTGACAGACATCTTTGACATCTTTGAGCGAAAAAATTAATTTATTTGTGTTTTTAATGTTTAATCCCGAAAATTGGGATATTTGGTAGATCTCAGGTACGTTCCCAAAGGTTTTTTTTTTCTCGATCGGCAACTACCAAATTGTGCAATTTTCCAAGCGGCACTTCCCAAGACTGTCCTAGCCACAGTGCCCGCCCCCCCCCTAGTCCATCATAGCCTCAGCACTCAGCCTGCGGCGCCTCGCAGGACCTAACTTAACCTTTGGGAAGTTGCCGCTTGGGAAATTGAACATTTGGGAAGTCACCCTTGGGAAAATGGCTTTGAGAAAATCCTAACAACAATTTATATGTGATCATAAAAAGCCGAACAATCCCTTTGAAAAACATATTAATCTATAAAAATGTTAAAGAAACACTTAAACGTCGTGTACTGTACTGTACTGTACTGTACTGTACTGTACTGTACTGTACTGTACTGTACTGTACTGTACTGTACTGTACTGTAACCCCCACAAGAGCTAACAGAAAGAATTTCATGAATTCTAGGGTGTGTCTCAGTCAGAATACTTTAAACAATTAAACGTAAGAAATGATTCAAAGTTTTTAATGGAATGAATATTGAATATATTTAACATATTCAAAATTCAAAAATAACTATAATAAGGGTTTTATTTAAAAAGGTGAATTAAGTTTTCATATTTAAAATCGCGGCTTTTGATTAGAAATGAAAACCGAAGGAGTTGTCAATTGCTTTCAATCTATTTAAAAAAAAAGTTGAAAATGAATAATTATTCTAGAGTCGTCTTTGCATCATTTATCAATACAATGTTGTTGTCGCTATGAACAAGATTCTGACGATGAACAGATAGACAAGGAATAACCCTCAAATCAAAATCGATAATGCAGAAAACTCTTTATTTCCTAAAAAAAAATGAATGGGGGGGGTCTTAATGTTAATGGTTGACAAATGTAGAGGACTTTCGATTTCAAGCTGTTAATAAAATGGGTACACATATTAACATAGAGGTCAAGAGAAACTGTCAATTAAAAAAGCTTTTCTTAAGCTACTTGTAAACTCGTCATTCGAATTAACTTAAATAAAAAGTCGTTTTTATTGTATCGATATAATCGCCTACCACTTCAGGTTGCACAGTCCAATATCAATCAAGCACAATCTAAAATGTGAATTTGAAACTCGCCAACTCGTGATAAAATTAGAAATAAAAAGATTTTCTTTTTAGTCCATGGACTGAGCACTCACAGTTTAAGAAATCATTTCTATTTAGTTTTAAGATTTACTCTTACAAAATTTAATTTTAAGATTTTTGTCAACCCACAAAACTATGGGCTACATACGGTAAAAGAAAGGGTTTGGGTTTCAAGGGTGTTCATGGTTAGACTTGAACTTGAATGCATATATGCCTTACACGATCCTGCCTGTTAGAAAGTACACTGAAGTTTATTCTTAAAACCCCGGTTATTTTATTAAATTTTTACGCATTTTTGGCGTATAAAGAATTATTTTGTGAGATGAAAATACCTTGTTTAAAGATAAAAAAGTTTAAAAGTCTCATTTTAAGTATGGAAATTATCTTTATAACAGTTGTGAATCGGGTATGTACCTCTTTTCGATAAAAGTTCCTTAAGTTACTTTCGTCTTGTTAACACATCTTAGTTAGCTTGCATCGTCTTATAGTCAACAAGTAAAGTTAAGTTTTATCGCTGAAAATGTAAACGTCATTAAAACCAACACTTTGCTTGTCATTTAATCTTGCATTGAGAACATGATTGGACAAGGTTAAAGAAAATCAAAACAGAAGACATGAAACAGGAGACATGGAAGATAGAAATCAAAACAGAAAACATGAAACAGGAACCATGGAAGATAGAAATCAAAACAGAAAACATGAAACAGGAACCATGGAAGATAGAAATCAAAACAGAAGACATGAAACAGGAGACATGGAAGATAGAAATCAAAACAGAAAACATGAAACAGGAACCATGGAAGATAGAAATCGAAACAGAAAACATGAAACAGGAACCATGGAAGATAGAAATCAAAACAGAAGACATGAAACAGGAGACATGGAAGATAGAAATCAAAACAGAAGATATGAAAAAGGAGACATGGAAGATAGAAATCAAAACAGACGACATGAAATAGAAGATATGGAAGATAGAAATCAAAAAAGAAGACATGAAACTTGATATATGGAAGATAAATCAAAACAGAAGACATGAAACAGGAGCCATGGAAGATAGAAATCAAAACAGAAGACATGGAA